TTTTGTGTGGTAAGATTAGACCGTAGTCATTTATCTTGTCAGTGTGCTTGTTTTAACAAGAGAAATAGTCGACTTTCACTAATAACACAAAACAGAGGTTGTTCTGCAGGTTCGTCGTCGTCGTCTTCGTCTTTGTCAAATGTCTGTTGTTGACATTTTATTGAATAAAAATGTTCTTTGAAGGTATCGTGTATCTCTAATCAAACTACAATAATGGCCGAACGTGGGGAGTTGAACTGAACGTGAACTCATCGAGAGCGGGCGGAGTGTGACGCATCTCCTTTTTATTTAAAGGGGACGCTTTAAAACGGGTCGCTCAGAGACGCACATCAAAAAAAGGGGTAGATAAGGGGCCCGTGGAGCTATAATAATGAGGAATTCAGACCCAAGCATTGCAGTTATGTTTTATATAGACCACAAATGTATGATTTATATGTAAAAATGAATGATTTAAAAGCATGATATGTACCCTTTAAAGTCCCCGTGAAATCAAAATTGAACCTATTTACTTTGTTAGCGCATATTACTAGTCTTGTGGTGAACAATTAATCCGTGCAAGTGAATATATATTAAAAAAAAATGTTTTACCTTAGTAATCTTTAATCAAAATCTGAAAAGTTACTTCCGGTCTGGAATGGTTTCTTTTTCTGATGACGTAGGTTTCACAGTTTGGGTGGGGAAACGCTTAACCACTCCCCTCAAACCGTTAGTTTGCTATGAGCGAGAGATGGAGAGGAGGAGCGCTAGAGTAAAACCCTGCCCTCTGTTCAATATTCCGTTTCACTTGGAAATACGTCACAGCACTGGAGAAAAATCGTTTGCAACTTCCGGTTCACGGGGACTTTAAGAGAAGGAGAACTAAATGGCGTGGGTTTTTTTTCCACCTCCGCTCCGCACGTGTTCTTAAAGAGAAAGACACGTCTTTTCAGCTTGCCACTATAAATCGCTATTTTTCTGCACTAATCTAGTGAATTTCCCCAAGAAATATTCAGAGATGATAAACAAGAACATGAAGAAAAAAATTCAAGGAAAAAACGTTTAAATATGTGATTTTGATGATCAAAGATGAGTTTTAAGGGATGAAATTATTGACTATAGGGGGATTTTAAGTAACTTCTGATCTTCTGAGCTGTTTCTGTCACTGTAGTGGGTGAATCAGCGTCATCAGAAATATCCTGTCGCTTCTCTAAGAAAACCGATCAAACAGACGTGGAGGTGGACGGTTTGAAGGCAAGTTCAGGCGTGACACTGCATGTAAGATATGGACTGGTGCAGAGAAACAGAATGAGAAAGAGGTGAGCTGATGCAGGGGTCAGCGGGGGTCTGTCTGGTTGTTGGTGTGTTGAAAGTCAATAAAATTTTCGCTGCGGGGGTTACAGCATCACGATAAGGAGAGCTCCAGACTGCTGTTTACTGATACGATATATCAAATTGGCCTGGTAATTAAAACTAAATCAGAAGCCTGAATGCACAAGCACTTATTTACATTGCTGCTGATCGGAGTGAATCATTTATAATTATGTCATTTTTCAATTGCAACCTAAAACAAAACAAGTCAGACTGCCAAAAGAAAGAAAGAAAAAAAAATCAATACAGTTTTCCAGTAAAACATATCTAAAAAATGCTTAGAACAAGATATATTTACTCAATAAGAAAAAAACAAAATGCATTAAGAGTAAGTTATGAGAAAATTTACATTTGCATTTAATAATTTATCAGTTTGGAACAACTTGAGGGTGAATAAATTATTTTCATTTCAGGACCACTATCATCAGTGAGCTTGACTAACGTGACCTGCCAGAACTGACGCTATGCTTGATTTTTGGGTGAACTATCCCTTTAAGTAAACATTATTATAAATACCCTAATACAAATATTACTTCTCAAAACAACATGATTGTTCTACACAGAATAATAAAACAGGCAAGGTCGCAACCTCAAGGTGGGGAATCTGTGCTTTAACCAACACGAAATATCTTTTTTGCTAGACTATTTTTAAATCAATTTGGTCTGAACTGACCTGTGCAGATTTAGTTTATTGATTTGTGTCATGCTGTCAAAGTCTGGCAGACTCATAAAACGCCACATCTGTGCACATGAACACAGACACACACAATATTCCCTTCAAAACTGTAAAAACAAATGAATGACAGAACTGCTTGCTGTTCATCTCTGGACCAGGTGTTTTCGCAGATAAGACCGTCCTGAGGAGTGAGAACATGAAAGCATAGGCCAAGATGAAAAAAAAAAAAAAGGTTTCACTTGTTAAAATAAAATCATTTTAGATAATCAGTTCTAAATATCAATATATAATAACAGTTATAGCCTAAAAATAGAAAGATGATGAAAATGGCATCACACACATTATATTGAAAATTCAAATGAAATTAAACGGGATGTACATTAGTCGCAATGTTGGATATTTTTATTTTATTTTAGAGTACCAGAAGCATTCCCTCATTCCCAAGTAACTACGTCCTAATTAGTTCTGTCCCCAAACAGAAGGTGAAGTATCCCTGTTTTAATTTAATCAAAGCCTGTTTCTAAACAGTAATTACAGCGATTAAGAAAATGAAATGTGTTTGAGGGGAAAAGGAAGAGGTTTTCTTCACTGCTTCTACTCTCGGCTGATTACAAGCCACTTTGAGAGCTGACTGGCAGCCAAATGTTACACAGTTATTCCCGCACTGTAATTACTAGAGTTAGCGCTGAGCTTCAAAACCCTTACCGCATCCTCAAAATGGTGGGAAGAATCACAGAGGTAAGCATAATGGCTTCTAATGGTCATAAAATGGGTTAAATAATAGATTATGGATCAATAATTTGCTGGTTATCATGGTTCAGTTTGGTGGCAGTCGTACCTACGCTCTCTGACTGCAAAGGTCAATTCAAAAATGTACACATTTTGATACCAGTTTAGAATAATGGTCCGTCATTAAAGTCAACATGAAATCAAACTCGACCCATTTACTTTGTTAATGTACATTACTAGTCCTGTGGTTAACAATTAATCTGGAAAATTTTACTCAAAATCTTAAAATTTGCTTAATAGATAACTGCAGGAAGCAATGCAGGACAAATGAGTAAAAAAAAAAACATTTTTCTTTTGTCAAATCAACTTAAATAATTGATTTAGTTCAGGTAACACGTGATTTTGAGTTTCTGATGATTAAATCATTCTTCTTCATTGTATTAACTCACTTTTTCCATTTCAATTAACTTAAAATTTCTTTTTTTTTTTAAGTTAAACCAACAATATTTTTTTACAGTGTTGGGTGGGCGATGTTTTCCAGATAGCAATTACTTAAACTAAGTATATCCAAGTGTATTTATATGAGTATATATCATCAGTGGAAGGATTTATGAAATTAAATGAAATAAATCTGATCTGAAATTATTTCACTCTCAGAAAAAAAAGGTACAAAAGCTTTCACTGTACCTTTTCAAAAGTACCTAAAGGGTGCATTTTGGTACCTTAATAGTACATATTAGCACCTAAAATGTACATATTTGCACCAAATGTCCATATTAGCACCTAAAAATGTCTATATTAGCACCTAAAAATGTACATATTAGCACCTAAATGTACTATTAGCACCTAAATGTACATATTAGCACCTAAAATGTACATATTTGCACCTAAATGTCCATATTAGCACCTAAAAATGTCCATATTAGCACCTAAAATGTACATATTTGCACCTAAATGTCCATATTAGCACCTAAAAATGTACATATTAGCACCTAAAATGTACATAATAGCACTTAAAATGTACTATTTGCACCTAAATGTTTATATTAGCACCTAAAATTTACATATTAGTACCAAAAATGGACAAAAGTTTTCCCTTTTGAAAAGGTACAGGCCCAGTGACGGCTTATACCTTTTTTTTTGAGTGTACGCCTGTATGCTTTGACGAAACAGCATGCGACATAGACAAACAGTGTTCTCCAACAAGATTTTATATAGTCTGACAAATAAATTCATCATTGTAGTTCATAAATTGTAGTTCATAATGACTCTTGAAAACTTATGAGAGTGCATGACTAACTGCATCTCTGCTGTGTTCTGCTCAACAAGGAAAGAAAACGATTCCATGTGATGTAAACCGGTTTTAAAAATACCTGCAATAATCTTTTAGGACTTTAGGTTACTAATTAATTGTATTTAAAACAATAAAAAAATAAAAATAAAAACTCTTTTGTGCAGCAGACAGGTTTCTGCATATCACATTTTTAAGGAACTTTGGTGAATAAATTGTGCTTCTAATCTCTTGCGTTCTATGTTTTTTATGTTCAATGTACACCGGCTGGTGTGTGAGACTGGGATTTAGTTTGACAGGAACTTTCAGTGCCCCCTGCTGCCTTTAAATACTCACAAAAGTTTTTGAAGAACTCCTGGGGACTTGAGTCGGACAACTCTTTTACTGGATTACCGGCTAGATTCACGCAGGTGACACAACGCCTAGATAAAACATTCAAGACATCTGGATTAGTGGATTCATATCATCATTTTGTTATCAAAGTACTTGAAATCTGCAGTGAAGAATTATGAGTAGCTATAACCTACCTGCAGATATTAGCCGCTAATAAAATAATCTTCTTTGGCTGTTTGACGCACTAAAAAGTTCACAAAAGCAGAAATCTGAAACTTCAAATTAAAGATAAACACTTTGGAAAACTTTGAATGTGCCATAGCGTTGATTATGCTAAATGAGCTATTTCACTTTGAAATTAGAAACTGGGATTAAAGTTTTCCTACATGTGATGCAACATAAATTTATTTTTGCGTGTCTGTTTAAAATAACTGTTTTATTGTAAAATAAATATTAAAATTACCTTTACAATTGTATTCATATTAAAAATTATATATATATATATATATATATATATATATATATATATATATTATGTAACATAATTCTATAGGTTTGCATTGATTTGAATTAATTATATATATAATGAATTAAAAATTTCACATCCACACTAATACCATCATAATATTTTTATTTAATTCAGCCAGGAGGTCCATTTTAATTGAACATGTTTAGATATATCAAGACAGTACAGCAAAGGAAAAATAAACCACAGAGATATATTTATCAAGTACAAATAAACGGTGAATGTTTGAGCAGAGGCCACCCTCGAAACAGTATTAATCTATGTGCATTAATATGTAGATCACCCTAAGTTCATACAGACCGCTGCAGTTCAACCTCTGAGCCGTAGACGACGGATAACTCTGATAGTTGTTTTGGTTTATCCTGCTTTTCCTGATGCTCCAGACATCTTGTTCTACAATCCCAATAGGTTACAGCAGCCATGACAACAACGCTAAGGGATACGAGCAGAACTAAAGCTGAAAACTAATAAAACACACAAAAATTTATATCAATTACTTTATACGTAAATAAATATTAAGACTATAAAGCTGTATAGAAACATTTTATTTACTGTGTATATAAAACCAGTACACTAACCCTTGAGTAGAAAATGAGTTTTTCTGTCAGTTCTCGCAGGTCTGTTGCGTTCACTCCAGGGTCCTTCACTCCAGTGGGTTTGCACCATTTTATTTGGAGTTCTTCATCCAGCACGTAATCGCCTTCCCAGTGTGTCATGCCACAAGCGACATATTCCCCCTCAAACAACAACAGAAAGACCCACAACGAAGATGGAATCAGACAAACTACAAATAGCCCAGCACAATGGGAAGATGACCGTCTGCAAGGCCTTTGAATGAACATCATCACAGCCAGAGCCAGAAAAGCAGGTCCAAGAAAGATGAAGCTGATCAGTGTCATGTTAAACCCAGTAGAACATGGGCAGGAAAATTCCCGATCCATCAACTTCTGCAGTCCAATTAACGCAAAGCAAAAATGCAATACACTGAAAGAAGCTGTGCTACTTTCTAGTCTTTCTGGATTGTTTGAAAACCACCCGAGAAACACCATTTTTTTATGAACGAGGTGAAACAGCCCACTTTAAAGATCACTGGCTTACTTTACACCTACTGAAGAACTGAGAGCTTTTTTAAACAGAACAGAAAATTAATATCTGTTCACCGAACAATGTGTAGCAGCGGAACTCATATCCTACAGCAATTTGGGATATTTATTATTAACTATTTGCAAGGTCATTTATCATACCATGAGACAAAGGACAATGAAAAAGGACAGTAGAAACTAATTATGGTGATCTGACTCCACTCCTTTCTTTTAGTAATTCAGATGTGCTCCATTGAACAAAATTCTATGAAATTCATCAGAAGTAAATGAAATCTTGTTTGGCCAACAAAAGGAAAACAAACAGCAAGCATTCATTGTCCCACATCATGGCACATGACAATGCCATACAGCAAATATTTACACTAAATTTAGAAGACATTAGATTAAGTGTTACTGGCTTCTCACATTGAACAACTGCAAAGGTTGCATAAGAACTCAATTAATATGTAATGTATTACAAAATAAAACATAGTTGTACTATTACAAAAAGAACCAGCACAATCTAAGCTGTATTTTGACAATGCTAACATAGCTTGGATGTGCTGGTTATGTTGTTGTTGTTTGTTTTTTTGTTTTTTTTCTAGATAAATCGCTAATAAAGTGATATTTATGTATAGACTACATGTGTTGTTGATCAATATTACCGTCGCTGACTGAAAACGCTCCAGCATTTTCGCGCCTGTTTCACGTGTTTACCTCACTGTGAAATCATGGTCCACTAGTTCTTCAAAATAAAAGTGCCTCACACACGAAAGACAAGCAGCACCCCCAGTGGTGACCAGGGGAAGTACAACAATAGACCTAATTCAGAGCAGCGCCATGACAGGTATGAATGTGAGGCTGTGAGGGATAGACTTACCGTGTTTACAATGGCATCCGCTGTAAAAAGCGGAATAAAGCTCCTAGATTACTTACAATTTTCCACAGCTTACATTGTCGGGAGTTTTTTGTCAACTGACATTCCTTGGAAAGATATTTTTCCAGTGTTGAGCAGAACAATCCGAAAACACATTAAATAACATTACAGCCCATTGAAAAGATGCATGACTATCCCTCACAGCCTCGCTTTCATTCTCATTAAAAGTCAAAGATGGCGCTGCCGTGAATAAGGCGTAGCCTATAGTCTTGTTAAAATATTAAGTTATTATACATAGCTAGCCTATTTAAGTAAAAATTGTTTCAAGTGAATATTTTGTATTTTAAGCAGAACGATAATATTTATTGTCTGCCAGCAATTATATTCTCAGACAAGAAAACGTACTGAAAAAAAAGAACAACAACAGAAATCAGTCTACTTTCTTTATTTGTGAACCTGTGTCTTACACAACATATTCACACATGCATATATGTTTTATATATGAGTTTGACAGGAGAGACAAGTGCTTGTGGTAACACAGGGCTTTTTTCACAATTGTCAATAAGGATTTGACTCTATGGCTAGTGGATACATTTATGAAGTTTTTGTGGAGTTACATTGATTCACTCATTGACTTGCATGTACCCTCATGTTTAAATTTTACACAAGTTGACACAGCTCTCTGAGGTTTTGACATTTTTTGGGCGAACAGTGTTCTGTGCTCGTCTGTGCAGCAAACAGAACAGTTTGGATGCTTTGCTTGAACTTTTGTCATTGCATTAGAACTGGTTACACTGTTTTTGTTTGTGAAAACCAAATGATGTTGCCGTAGGTGGAAACGTGCAGATTAAGGGGCGGTGATATTATAATAAGATCCCCTTTCCACTTCAGACGGGTCACGAAATCTGCTCGTAGGATAAGGATAAATATTGATTAATAACTTGACTAACAACCACTCAAAGGATATACATTGAAGCGGTAGTGGATACAAGAATTTAAAAAAATTAAGAATAAAAGAATAATTGGGTGTGTTCACACTTGTATTTTGGTTCGCTTGGTGTGGATCGAAAAATAAAATAAATTAGTCCTGGTCCTCTTAGTGTTTACATTGGCATTTTTCCACGTACCTTAAGGCATGGCGATGTTCACAACCTAACTGACTTTTATTTATGGAGTTAATATTGTGCCAAAATTGAACAAACAAATCCAGTATTTTGCAAACAAACTCGATCTACTTTGCAAAGGAAAACTCGACTCGCTAACAAACTGAAAGCAATGTGCAAGTACAAAGGTTAATTTGAGCGAAAATGCAGTGGAGTAACACATATGCATTGTTTTGCAAATATAAATAAATGAGCTTAGACAATATTTCACAAAAAAATACAAACCACCTTGAACAAATACCAAATCTAGTGTATACAAAAGCATACCTGTATGTTATGATTGTGAGATTTGGCTTTTTATGAGATGTCTCGGGTCGATTTTCTCACAAATGTGTCCAGGGCGATTTTCTCTCCTCTTCTAAAACAGTAGATGGCGCTAAGATAGGGGATTCATTCATTCAGTCTACAGCTGTGGAAAATGACAGATGAACAGGTGTGTTTCTGTCTTACTTTATCCATAATCAACTTTTTTGAAGTTTTCTTTTGCAAAATTTTATTACATATCTAGACAGAAAAATGCACTTTAGCACTTAGACTTCACTCTCGCTATAGGGGAATCAAAATTTACTTTTTTTTTCGTTCTCCATAAATGAATGAGAACAAAATAAACTGTATTTGGGAGATAATCTGGACACATTTGTAAGAAAATTGAGCTGAGAGATCTCATAAAAAGCCAAATCTCACAATCATAACACATATGCATTTGTATGCACTAGATTTGGTATTTATTCAAAGGTTACATGCAATTTGTATTTATTTGTGAAATTTTATCTTTATTTAGGCTCATTGATTTATATTTGTAAAACACAATGCATATATGTTATTTGACCTTTGTACTTGCACCTTGCTGCATAGTTTTCCTTTTTTAAAGCAGATCGAGTTTGTTTGCAAAATGCTGGATTTGTGTTTAATTATGGCACAAAATTAACTCCATATCACATTTTGTGACGTTATGTGTCTTTTTTGGTTCTTTTAGAAGTTTTTGGTGTGCAAATCGCTCCAGAGTACGTTTGGAAACAGATTGAGTGCCATATTTTCAGGGTTCTTGGTTCTCTAGTTTTGTGCGCAACAGGGTTCAGATGGCAGCGTTCGCACTTATTCAAATGGACTGCACAACAGATCAATCGCACCGCTTGAATCAAACCAAACATACCAAGTGTGAACACAACCTAAGGCATTGCTGTGATAACACCTTTTTGGAACCTATATTTTTATGTGAATGTGTATATCCCTCCAAAATTCAGCTGTTTATTCATTTTTAGAAAAAGCAAGAAGTGGGTGTGTAGTGATGGAGGCGGTGGGGCTGAGCTCTACATCATCCTGTCTATGACGTTCAACGTGTCTCACTTTTCGTCCGCAGAACAACAACAGTTCACTTGGGCACCAGTCACATTTCCCACTTATGCAGCTGTCATAGATAGCCACAATGGCAAGCGACAAGACACTGAAGAAAGTGATCAAGACATAACCTGCATACTGAAAGAACAGAAAGAAAAACATTACTAGAATTTGTATTCATTGGATATAATTTGTCATTTGCCTACAGATTGTGAGGTCAAGAACGACTATATTTAATATTTCCTTTATGATATTACAATAACAGAACAAGCTCATACAGTATATGATATTTACCTCAGATTGATGAATATACTTGCGAGTTAAATCTTTTAGCTCCATCTCCTTTCGCATCCCTTCGGTTGGTTTACACCACCGTGTTTGTAGTTCATCATCATGAGAATAAATTCCATTCCAGTCTGTCATGGCACAAGCAACATATTCACCTTTAAGTAACAAGAAGAAGATCCACATTAAAGGTGGAATCAGACAAGATATGAGAGCTTTAGGATAGCTCCGAGGCGTATCATCTTCCACTCGTTCAGGGCAGTGAAACCATCCGTATTTAAGAGGCCTTAGAATGTGGAACATTATGACGAAGAGAAAAAAAGCAGGTCCAAGGAAGAGGAACAGTGTTGCCACTGCATTCTGATCATTTCTACACGGGCATGTGAAATGAGCAACCAGAAACCACAAAAGTACAACCAACCAAATGGTCAACATGACAAAGCCTAAAGCAGCACAACGTTTAAGGAACTTGTCACTTTCCTTCTCTTGAAATGGCATCATCTTCTGAGGGGATGTGATTGCTTCTTTCGGTTTTATTCCGGTTCAAAAGCTCTTTGTAGTCTCGACAGATTCCCTTAAATGAAGAAGATGAGAATTATTATTCATTGCAGGAGAATGAAGCAAATGGTTTTGAACATAACATTTCACTCTTAAAAATGAAATCCTTTACCACAAAGGTTCTTTATGTTGGAAAGTTTTTGACACTAAGAAAAATGTATTCATTGACTGGTTAGGTTCTTACCAAAAACGTTTCGTTGGCATTGCTATGAAAACCCCAAGTTACAGAGTGAACAGAACAAAAATTAATAACCTTCATAATTCCTAAAAAGCTGACAGTTCGTCGCAATCTCACACTCTTTTATTATCAGTAAAGCTGACTGCATAATGAATCTTTCATAATATCCACACTTTATTTGTTATAATTTGAGGATTTGAGGAAAAAGTCAGTTTTGCAGTTTTGAGCGGTGAGTGGAGTCAATCTTAAATGCTTCTGATTGGCCATTGCGTTCAAGAAATCAACACATATGCCTGTGATTGGCTCGCTCAACGCTGCAACAAAAAGTTATGAATGAGAACTCTGGCCCGTAAATCATTTCTATTTTGTTTTAGTTGTTCTGGTTGCTTTTCTGCATAATATTAATGCAAATCTATTAGTTTTTATATGTTTTATTCATAGATATTTTTAGTTTGGGGGAGTCCGCGAATCGTTTTATCCTCCCCCACCCCGCGCACACACCGAGTGACTGCATTCCAAGCGCTCCCACTTGGCCATCAAATCTTGTCGCGCGCCACACTCCATATAACGTTGTGAGTGCACGTCTCTAGATCAAAGGCAAAGTAACGGCCCCTCCTTTTCAATCGGGCTCGGCCCCGGGCAGAGAATCTATAAGCTCTACCCCCAGAGAGCATAAGAAAAAGGTATAAACGCATGTCGTGTTTTACATCGCATTAAGAGACAGAATTACTTTATGAATTTTATTTTTCCTGAATCACATAATAAAATCTCGAATAACCACCTACCTGCAACTAGTTTGAATCCACTTTGATGTATGCAACTTTCGGGGTCTGCTGCACAGTACTTTTTCCGATTCTTTTGTCTTTGGAGAAAGCACACATTCCTAAAGTAGGCTATAAGCTCCTCCTTACCTTACACAAAAAAACAGATGTGTCCATGATGTTCAGGTTACACAAGTCTGCATGCCCTACGTGTTTTGCAGCAGCATTGGCACAAGACTGATGTTGGATTCTATGCCACTTTTCATGCAGGCATAAAAACCTCTTTACATCCATCTTGTACATTTTGTTAACGAAACATGTGACGAAAAATATTCACTGACAACCTTTTTTTCTATGACTAAAACAAGATGATCAAGACCAACGACAATACATCTGTGGTTTAATCAACATGACCAACATAATAATTTTCACCGGAAAATGTCATCTGAACAAGATCCACTTTTGTTCTGGTTCTGACATTGCAGTAAATCACTTATCACGCAAAACCGTGCAAATTAGACTTTGTTCTCAAATTTTTAAAGGGGGTGTGAAACACTCAGTTTCAGTCAATCTCATGTTAATCTTGAGTACCTAGAGTAATATTGCATCCATCATATCTCCAACAAGTCTTTAGTTTTATTATATTTTTAAAAGAAAGATAGGCTGTAACTAGTCTTTCCGGAAAAAGCAGAGCGGGTGGAGGCGTGCAGGCCCGCCCACAGAAATGACTGGGCCCCTGAAAAGGTCCAGTGAATGGGCCCTCCGCAAATCTGCTAAACTACTCATATCATGCGTGCTCTCTCTCTCTCTTTCTCTCTCTTTCTCTCTCTCTCTCTCTCTCACACACACACACACACACACACACTAACCCAGCAAATACAGAATGTTCCTTAATGTTCCCCTAAGTTACGTTCCCATATGGTTCCTATTTGACTATTTTTTTTGGGAACAAAATAAGAACGTTCCCTGTAGGTTATTTTTTAGGTTCTCTTTTTATAACCAAAAACTAACGTTCCCAGAACTTAAAATTGTTAGCTTGGATCATGCATTTAACAGAGAGACTTGACCAACGCATGTTCTCAAATCTTCCTGTTAGACGACTTCGTGTCGAGTGTGTGAACTGAAAGCGCTTCAGACGATTCAGTGCGTGCTGGAAACTGAACAGATCATTCAAACTGATTCGTGAACCGATTTAGACAGATCTGCCAACTTGTTTGATGAAGTTTTCGAACAGAATCGACTCAAAAGAGTGATTCATTTGTGAATTGAGAGTCGCTCATGCCCAGAAAAAATAAATAAATAAATACAGCTCGCTTGGTATGAATGCATTTAACAACAACAAGTGTTGCATAAAAATAAAGTAACGAGAGAAAAAGAGCAAAAGATTTTTATTTTTTTTTTTTATTAGAAATGTCCTCGAGTTAAAGAAGCCAAATGTACACTTAAAAGTAAAATGTTCCCCCAAAAAATACTCAAGTAAATGTAACGAAGAAACGTGAAATGCAGCTTTGGTGACTACCCACCTCTGGTTAAATGCAGAACATCTTCGCAATTCATTGGTGGTGGTTCTGTCGCTAATAGCCACCTGGCTATCGTTAGCCTGACTGGGAGCACTGACAGGTTTCTGAGCTGACTGAAAAAAGTTGGTCAGTCGAATTTTGTTTGGGTCTAAAGACCTTGCAAGCTCCCTCTTCCTCTTCTTCTTCTCCTTTCTCTTCTGTCACCCTGATTTATTACCTGGCATTGGCAAACCAACTAAATGTACTACAATATAAAGTTAATTATTTTGTTCTTGTCACTTTTCTGCTGACCGCAAACTGGCGCGAAGCACTGGCAGTTTTGACGTTACGTAAAAAACAAAATAACAAACAAAAAAAACGACTCGTACCATTTTCTGGAGAGGGGTGTTTCATAATGACACTGGCTACATTTTACTCAAGCAGCATTAAATAAAATGCATTTTTAACAATTAATGGTGCTTTTTTGGTTCAACAACAGAAAATTATGGTAACCTGATATTTAGGATGAACATAATTATCGTTGGTCTGCATGGGCCCCAGAAAGCGGCTGGGCCCCAGAAAGCGTTCCCCTTTATCCCCCCTTATGGACGGCTCTGGAGGAGGACGCGTGCCGTGTGGTCGGAGCTAAATAATCACGAGCGTGTGAAGCTTTAAAGCCCGGAACACACCAAGCCAACGGTCGGCCGTCGGGCAGTTTTTGTGCGTCGGCCAACTAAGTTTCCTCGGTGTGTTCCGCACGGTTCCGTGCCGTCGGCTGAAAGTAGTCCTCGTTGGCTTTGTTTCGCCCGATTTCATAGACATATACACTAGACCTCACCTGGGGGTTCTAAGCATGCGTCAAAACCGCCGCCATCTTGGAACAGGGGTCTTGTCATAGGAAGTAGCTAGGTAATGCTGCTATCTCTGCCTTTACTTCGAATTCATTGATGGTGGCGGACTTTTGTGCAGCGTATGATGTTCACGGATGAAATCTGAACTAGGAAGAATGTTAAAAAAAAAAAAAAATTCTTTCTGGAATCAATGATAAATAATGATAAATCTGACCGTCAAAAAAACAAGAAAAATCGCATTCATGATGATTTATGGTGATTTTATTTGCGTTAGACCTGTCTACTACATTGACGCTAATGCATTAAAGTGGAGGGGCTCCCCTGTTTCAAGATGGCGGCTCTATTGACGCATTCGTTCCAATGAACTGCCGTATCCAAGGTGAGGTCTAGTGTATATGTCTATGGCCCGATTTAACATGTTGAATCGGCGTCGGGCCGTCGGGGAAAGAGAGAACTCTGATTGGCTGTTCAGCTTAGTGAAACAGTCAGAGCACAACAATAAAAGCAAAACAGCAAGCAAAGAAGTCAAAACGGTAAAGATAGAAGGCTGTTCTTATGTTACGTCTTCTTACCCGAGTGTTCCTTGGTGAATATTCAATATTAACATGAGCGGAGTGGAATAAAGAAAGAGTTTAGCAGGATTGATATTCAAAACGGGAAGCACGCGCTGCTTTGTTTACGGTGTGTGTATCTGCAGCCGGCAGCGTCAGTTTTCCTTTTTGAATGATGAATATAGACTAATATATCTGCAGAAGTAGACAGTTGGCTCATTACACGCAGGCGCAGAACGCACATTATAGCTGACAGACGCCTGTAGTTCTCTCTGTGTGTTCAAGTGCAGCTTTTTACCCCGACGAGAACGGACGAGAAGTGACAACATAGTCGGCTTTCATCAGCGCTAGTTCGTCGGTGTCGGCTTGGTGTGTTCCCGGCTTTGCGTTGAGAGTGTCTGGAAGCTGTGACATCCTTAAACAAACAATGGCTAACAATCAAATTCAGCCACACATTTTTGATCCAGAATCAGATCCCGAGGCTAAACAAGAATTTATAATAACAAGCTTTGCTAGACTACATTTAAATAGTAATCCCTGCAGAACTATCGAATTAATTTTGAGCCAATAAAAATGAACGTAACTTTTCAAGAAACGAATGAAAATATAAATTGAAACTGAATAAAATATCTTTGAAACTGAAAAAGAATGAACCGCAAGCAATTTTTTTGACTTTGTTTTTAACACACTACATGTTTTGCTAACTATTCCTCATATTTCGTTTACTGATCTACAGTTACAAATGCGCTTCCAGAGTTTTCATTTACGCTTCTGAAGTTTTCGTTTACACTCCCTGAGTTTGCGTTCGCTGTTCTGACACAAATCTCTCGTGGGGGCGGGGCTAGTAGAAGTGTATTCTCATTGGCTACTGAGTTTTTGATTGACAGCTTCTTGACCTGGAAGTGAAGACGTCAGTGAGTGTTGTGTTTACACGTTTGGATGTGAGCGTCGAAGCGTAGCTTTCTATTTCATTTAGGTGATATTAAGTTTATTTCTATATTTATTTACTGCTACACTATATTGTTGATATGATTTCTTATAGAAGGAATACAGACAAATGATATAATTTGTCATCGTCGATATCAGAATACTGGATAGCATAGGCTACTCGTGGTAAGTCTGATTGTTTTTATTTATTTTTTATTAATTAATACTAAACTAATACTAATTATAATACAGTTCTTGCTTTTTCAGGTGGAGAGGCATATTAGAGCTCAGTGAGAGCCCATAAAATTATACAGCAGTGTTTTCTTGATTTAATTGGTAAGTTTTTAGCCCAATCATTACATGTCTTGTTTATCTAACGTTACATACGGTTACAGTCTTCGATTAGATCATATTTGCTTCAATTAGATCATATTTCCCCTCTGCCACCCCAAACAACATTGTGCTAGAGTACTGTACAGTATCTGTAGTGTAGCCTACAGTACAAAATGTACTGTATCAGACAATGACCAATGCCTTTGGACCAGAGCGCTGTCAATCACTGCCCGATTCAACTTTGGCAATGTAAAGCCAATTGCTGATTAATTTGTGATGCAGAGTTTTTAAAAGAAGAGAGAGAGTACTTGACCATTTTCCACGTCTCCATTCATAATATGTAAACACTCATTTGTTTTGAAGTATAACCCTGGGCGTAATATTTATTCTGCAAAAGGCAACAAAATGCTTTTTCTGTATCCATATTTGAGTAATAATTATGTTAAAAAAAAACATTTTGGAGAAAAAATTTAGAATTTTTAATAGTCTTTAATAATTTATATATATATATATATATATATATATATATATATAATTATGACTGAAAAAATCCAGCAACTGGGAGTAGACGCTACACAGCCATGGATAAATGTTTATTGGGCTATAGAGCCATCTACTGGTTACACAATAGTATTACAGATGATGAATGGTGTGTGAGTCAGGTAAACATTTAGTACTGTAAAATCCCTTAAAACATTTATATAATTTGTTTGAAATAATTATTTTAAGTCTGCAAATGGTTACTGCATGTGGGAGTTCAAAGCAGTTTGTATTGTTAGATTAAAATATATTTCCTTTCTCATTTTCCAGGGATTTGAGCAACTTTTCCATAAACAAAATTCTGATGCTGACACAGAGGATGGAGTGATAATACCAGAGATCAGCTGTCTCCATCAGACAATAATGTTACTTTGTTCAGACATATCACCTTTGAATGACTGGGATCCTTATCTTTAGACACCTGTTGTATTTTATTTTAATATGATAAAATAGCAAATATTTTAATTTCTTTGGAGCTCTAGATTAAAACAATCACAGTACACAAGAGGTTGCAGTTTATTCTTATTAGTCTCTGCTGATCATGGATTTGCATATCAACAGCATATGAATGGGATAGTTCATCCAAAAATAAAATGATCACTTATTTTACTCACCCTCATGCCGTCCCAGATGCATTTTACTTTATTTCTATATAAATACGAATTAAGATTTTAAGGAAAGTAATCCATCTCTGCAAGTCCTAAAGATGCTTTAAAAACCACACACAGTGACCGTGATGTCCATGTGACCTCAGTGGATGAATCAATACCTTCTGAAGTGAAACAATAGGATAAGAAAATACTAATAATGTAAACTGTTTTAACTATTAAAAATAACTTCCGACCAACTGCCATACATGGGTACAATCCACTTGTGTTATGTGGACTCACAGAGATGTATTATTTCATTAAAAATCTTTGTGATTATACATTTTATTATCTATATTATGAGAATACTGTGCATTACAGTATGCAGTTAATGTTTTGTGGATTCTGGTCTTTCCTGTCATAACTGCATCCAAGACTTTCACTTGGATACTTGTGTATATGCTGTAGTGACAATAAAGAATGAATACATTTATTAGATTTTTTATTTGAATTCATTTAACTGATTTTATAAGTCATAATTGAACCTGTTGATGATTGTTCAAATACATTTACCATTTTAAATGTGAGAAAATAATAGTAACAAAATGAAATAAATAAAATGATCAGCATGATTAAAAAAATACCAACAAAAATATTCTTTGTGTGAAATATGTAATGAAATGCCCTTTGAGGTCTGTATCATCTGACAGCAACCCACGATTGTAATTTTCATATAGTTTAAATTCCTCTTATTTAAGTGATCATACATGATCATTTGATGGTGTAAATGCATATGGTAACAATGAGAAATTTGATGGCCATGGTTGCCAACCTTGATTACCTGGTTGAAGTGAAACTTTCTTGACTGCTGAATATATCACACACGTATACTAGTAGGCTATTCTCTTGCAAACGAATCATCAAGAATAAACAAATATTCTCCTAAAACATTGGGCAAAATATTTTAAGTAACTTAGTCACATACAGTGGGCGTACTTTGATGTACAATTACAGCTGAATAGACTGATCTCTTGTGAACCTAAAAGCTTCTGTTGACAAAGTAATCGCAGCAGAAGGTAAATACAGATAAAATTAAAAAACAAACATAACTTAATATCACTACGCTCACATCCACACGTGTAAACACAACTCTGACGTCGTCTTCACTTCCAGGTCAAGAAGCTGTCAATCAAAAACTCAGCAGCCAATGAGAATACACTGCTACTAGCCCCGCCCCTACGAGAGATTTGTGTCAGAACAGCGAACGCAAACTCAGGGAGTGTAAACGAAAACTTCAGAAACGTAAATGAAAACTCTGGAAGCGCATTTGTAAGTGTAGATCAGTAAACGAAATATGAGGAATAGTTAGCAAAACATGTAGTGTATTAAAAACAAAGTCAAAAAAATTGCTTGCGGTTCATTCTTTTTCAGTTTCAAAGATATTTTATTCAGTTTCAATTTATATTTTCATTCGTTTCTTGAAAAGTTACGTTCATTTTTATTGGCTCAATATTAATTCCATACTTTTCCAGATCATGTTTCAGTGTTGTGCCAATAAGACTCACGGCACACAAGGAAAAGCAAAACATTTGGCTCGGAATTGGAAAGACGCGTGAAGCAAGAAAATGGTGTGAATGACAAAAACACATTTCAGAATAAATCTGCATTAATAGAAAGTGTTGCGTTCAAATGTCTAAAACAAACAAAAAATAATAATTTTTTAACATTATTTCAGGTCATTTGACAAAACATTGCATGTCATCAGGGAGAATTCAATGTTTGTGTTAAAAGGCCAACTGAGTCACCCGACATTAGCTGGCTTCCTGACAAATTACACATGTTCCCACTAAACAGCTAAATGAATGCCTCCCTCAATTTCCTGCATAACAAAGAAAACCAACCTTTCCAGTGTCCATAGCTGCAGGCAAATTAAGGTTGTGCACAAACAGAACTAGACACTGTAAAACAAGGAAACCTTATCCATATTCATTGATCATAGATTTGACATTGAATGTCAGTTGCTGGTTTTATTAGTTTAAAGGAGTGATGAGCTGAGAAATCAAATTTTCCTTGAGCTTTTGACATCTAAGAGGTCATCGTATTATAAGAATATCCTGTAAGTTTCAGAACTGAAAACGTCCTTGTTAGTCCAATAAAAGCTTTTATTGACACCAGGCTCAGCAAACGACTCAAAGTGGGGAACTATGACGACAAAGAGGATAAAACACCACCCCCGCAGAAGAAGATCAACGCTTACTTCAACACGGCCGGTTTAGCCCCGCCCACCGACTCACGCATTACACGCATAGCTAAATAACATAGGCCTACCTTGTGATGACAAACATTGTGCAACACACAGACTCTGGGTCGAGCATGTATGGGCGAATGATTCCGGTTGCCATTTTACAACATTGGACGTTTTCAAAACAATTTCCCTCAAGAGCATCGACGGGTGAGTTGAAACTCATTATAATATGCAAAACTGTTATCCACTCACAGCAGTGGGCGTTTACTTCCAAGTCTTCAGTGCGAGACGCCTATAAAAACCGAGTGTTTTTCAGCTAGGCTCAAAACTAGGGTAGAAAATAGCCTGTTACTTATTCATTTAGATGTTTTTGAATGTAAAAACCAAGCGAACGTCATAAGTAGACCTCATACAGCAATATAATAAAATTTAAAAAGCCAGTTCATGACCCCTTTAAAAAATGTTTTATCAAAAAATTAACATCCAAAGCACTTTTTTCAGGCATGCATGTGAAATGCTTTTGGCAAAGGCATTGTCATCATTTATCTCTATAACACACACTTTCCTGTGACTGGAGAACTTTGACCTTGCCTTATCCTTGACTCTGCATGGTCATGTGAGCCGCAAGCATCTATAAATGTGTGATGAAAAGAGAAACTTACTTTTGTGAGACCTGATCATTCGATCAGATTTGGCGGATGCGTCTTTGACACGGTTGTGGTACTCTAATAGGAATGTCTTCTCGTGTTCAAAGAAATCATCAACGTCCTGTGACGAAATAGAAATAAATCCATAAAACGCAAAACACAAATAAATAAATTGGACAATTCTACGAGGTGAATCGAACAAAGAAATTATATTATTTGATTACGTAAATTATTTGAACTTGCAAGAGATGCAATGATGCATTAAAGTGACAGTAAGGTATTTCTAATGTTACAAAACTACTTCAAATAAATGCTGTTCTTTTGAGCTTTCTGTTCATCAAAGAATCCTGAAAAAAAGTGCAACTTTCTTGAAATTTAGGAACCGTGACAATCCTATTTTTGACTATATGCGTTTCCAAGAAGACTTTGGTGAATGTGCATTCCACTACAAGTGAAGCATTCACCAGAGAGACATAAACTATCATTCAACACACAGCTAAACGCAAAGAAGCTCAAGCCTAAGTAAATCATTTCTCAGAAAGGTGGTTGTCATCGTGGCCTCCCTTTCCTCCCCCTTGTTTCTAAAGCAGAGTCACATAAAACAGTCACATGATATGAGAAGTCCACTGACTGAACTGACCTTCACTCCTGCCACAAGAACCCCATCTGCAGACTTCACCACGTTCTTGAAGAAATCCTCCAGCCTTTCCTTCTTGTTTTTCCCTCGTACACTCAGCTGTAATTTCAAGAGGCAAATTGAAGGACAAATGAGTAATCAAAATGCTCGGAAATGTTATTTTTACCTACTGGCAAATGTAAGAAGGACACTTGCATTTCTATATGGGGGTTGTTTTGCCTAAAAAACTGCTTTGCACAACCTCAACTGAAGCTTTTCTCACATTTGCTATGAATAAAAATCTTTTGGTTTGTGTGCATCAAGTTTCAAATGAAACGAGAAAAATAAATGAGTAACATTTAATCATTTTAATTCATTGGATTAAAAAACAAAACAATTAAATGGTTAATATATACAAATTTTTTGTTCACCCTCTAATTCCCACTAGCATTATAGGGGAATTATAGGGGAATATAGCTCGTTATTCCCAAAGCATTATATGGAGAAAAATCCTGGAATGTTTTCATCAAAAACCTTAATTTCTCTTCAACTGAAAAAAGAATGACATGGACATCTTGGATGACATGGGGGTGAGTAAATTATCAGCAAACGTTTTTTTTTTTTTTTTTTTTAAGTGAACTACTCCTTTAAGAAATGTCACACTTACATCTTGGTTGTACTCTAAAAACACATGAAAGTTCATGTCTTTGCGCAGGACGGGATGGGCAGCAACACGGCACAGAAAGACCTCGTGCATTGCCACGGTCTTCTTGAAGATGGCCAGATACTCACTGCAACACATTATCATATTGTTATTATTATTATTAAAGGGTCAGTTCAACAAAAAATGAAAATGATCCCATAATTGACTCACCCTCAGGTTTATATGACTTTCTTCATGTACACACAGGATGGCTTGAGGGTGAGTCAATTATGGGATCATTTTCCTTTTTGGGTGAACTAAGTGTAACGAACAACATGGTAACAATCGATTTGAAGACAAATCAACTCACGCCTCTAGTTCCTGTTTCATCTTAGTGAACTCCTCCTTGGTCATCGATCCTTCACCTTCACCGAGCTTCTGAAGTTTCTCCCGTGACGCGTCGAAATCCGGTCTCGGAGGAGCAGGCGGAATCTACAGGGAAAGTCTTTCCGTTAGCTTTTCAAGAGGCATTTCGATTCCCAAAACTGTTTCAGCATTGGTAATGAAACTCTGGGATTCGTAACATCATCAGTCACTGAATGAAAACCGCAATCACTCACACACTGTTGTCCTAATGACACGTGCTATAAATAATTCAGGCCAGCTTTGATGATATTGTTAATGGCAGTCAGTGACATGACTCTTTCTTTGTTGAGTATTAATCGGAGTATCCCAGATTAAACTACATTAAATGCTACTACATGACAGACCTGTTTGGACTTAAAATAATGCAGAAAATAAGCCAATGAAAATACAGAATAGGGTACTGCAGGCCCTGTCCATTTCATTAGATAACATGAAAATAATAACAATAACCATTCAAAAGTCTGACGTCGGTAAGATTTTTTTCATGCTCAGCAAGGCAGCATTTACATTTAACAGTTATTTATATAAACGTTTTCTATTTTAATAAGTAATTTCATCCTGCAGGGCTTAAAGCAAAAAAAAAAAATTTAATTCCTTGGCCAAACCCCATTCCACACCCCGTCACACACCCATATTAAGAGCAGTTTTTTTTCTTCTTGTAATTAGGAGTAGTTACCTTCACAAATGAAATTAGCAGTTAAAGAAAGGCCATTTTGAACAGTGTTTCTATTATTTACACACTTTATGAAAGTTCAATGTTTTCAATCTAAAGACTCGACTCTTTGTGATGTAGTCGTACAAATAATAAGCCATTTGCATAACTTTAACAAGTTTTTATTTCGAGCTTTTGCCAAAAAGTGAGCTAATATCATCACAAACTGTACATAATATAATATCAGTTTTTAACCTAGCCATTTTAACCTTATGGAGTCCTTGCTGAATAACAAATATATATATATATATATATAAAACCTTAATGACCACAAACTTTTCAACAGTACACATAATACGACATGGAAAAATAGCAAAGCACATCAAATATCCCAGTAAATCACTCACTATCTTACTTTAACAATAGTTTCAACCAATATATCCAAATAGGAAACTGTGGCAAAGATCATTTCCCTTTTTTCTTGCACCTGAACTACAACAAAATGATATTCGACAACAGATTTTATGTACACCAGGGCTATAAAAGGACAGTCAAGCACTGATTTCAGTCTTGGCAAGAGCAGCTGGAGCGTTCGCTCTCATAAACACACATAATGAAGATGTAGAGTTTAAAAGAAGAGAGCATGGCGCAGACAGTTCAAACAAGCGTCCGGTGGAAAGCAAATGAAAGATTACAGGCCTAGTTCATAATTATGCAAAACACTTAAAGGGACTTACAATATAACCAGCGTATTCTTCGTTTTCCACAAACGAGTCATGGAGCCAGATGAATTCTTCATGCTGTCTGACCACAGAAAATTCATTCTGCTTGAAATTAGGTAGAGTGCTCTGGGAAAAAAAAAAACATAAATCATAATTTAATGAATGAATGCAGCAAGTAGATTTTGGAGGCAGGGCTGAAAACACAAACACAATCCTTCTTGATTTTATGCGTTGATGCCGTGTACCTTTGTGTGGACGGTGAACTTGACCTTGTCTCTCTCACTCAGAGCGTCTGAGATGTCCACCTGTAGTGTGGCGTCGGTTTGAAGATCCACATTCACTGCCCTGGGCTATTAAAACAAGTCACCAATAAACACACTGCAATTCTAACAGCATCCATATTTCATACTAATCAATGAGGACCACAGGAGATGGAATCGATTACAATCATTCTTTATCTGTTTTTGAATAGAACACAAGAACTATTAAGTTTAATCTCATTTCAAAACAGTTACAATACTTGAATTTAGATAGAAGAATGACATGTCAAGCAGTGACTGAAGTGCAATGCTATTCTAGAAACCTAGAATGTTTGCACTTTCAAAAATGTATTTGTTAGAGTTAACATTAACAACGATGAAAAACTTCGAAGGAATTGTTACCAGTTACATCACCTAAAATATATATTTCACTTATAAAAATAAATACATTTCATGTCCATAATCATCTACAAATATTTAACCTCAAACAAAATAGGGGTCGACCGAAATGTGATTTTCAGGGCCGATGTCGATACCGATTATTACAGATCAAATAGACCGATAACCGATATTTTTAACCAATATATATATATATATATATATATATGTTATAGTCTATGTCTGGTGTAAAACTGTAAATTAATGTCAAAATTAAGAATAACAAAGGGTTTTGACAAAAACTTTCTTTAAATGATTTTAAACCTATCTTTGAATCCGAGAACTGTTATTATTAATAATAATAATAATAGACCTTATTCAGAGCAGCGCCATGACAGGTATGAAAGTGAGGCTGTGAGGGATAGACTTACCGTGTTTCCAATGGCATCCGCTGTAAAAAGCTGAATAAAGCTCCTAGATAACTTACAATTTTCCACAGCTTACATTGTCGGGAGTTTTTTGTCAACTGACATTTCTTGGAAAGATATTTTTCCAGTGTTTCATGAGCAGAACAATCCGAAAACACATTAAATAACAGTACAGCCCATTGAAGAGATGCATGACTATCCCTCACAGCCTCACTTTCATTCTCATTAAATATCAAAGATGGCACTGCCGTGAATAAGGCGTATAACTTGTAAAAAAGTGCAGGGAGCACCCAGCAGCATTCTGTAAACATTTTGTAAAACTTAAAGGCTCTATTTTAATGTTTAAATAAAATGTTAGTAATCAAAAAGCATTTCTAATTAATTAAAATCATCAAACTTATTAAATTATTTTTACAGTTTAACAAAAATTACATTTTTAGGGCTTTGTGAAAAACCAAACTTTTATTTTGACGGGTTGCCGTGGAGATCTTTGAGTTTCCGTGTGTCTATGATTTAAAAAATTATTTTATCGGCAAATCAGGTTTGAAAATGGCCGATACCGATAAATCATAAAAATGCTTAATATCGGCGCCGATAATCGGTCGACCCCTAAAACAAAACAGCATAGCACTGAAATGTTAGGTTTGACAGTACAACTAGAACATTATATTTAATAATTAGATCTCTATTGCAGAAACAATATGTGTATTAAAAAGTATTTTGGCAGAAACTATGGTTAGTTACTCACACATTATTTAATTTCTAATTATAAAGCAACCTACAGGTTTTCTACAAAGCCATATTTTCTACAAAACTGACAATATAGCATGATTTTCATAACATGTACTATGATAGTACCAGGGTATTTATAGAAACACCTTTAATACACAGTAGCATGGTATCAAAGTACCATGGTACTGCATATAACCCAGATAGCAAACTGACATTGAATCAACATGGAAATATGACATCGAAACAACGTTGATCTGACATTGTTTTGCTCATCGAATTAACGTTGAACCAACGTCAAGACGCGTCATTCTTTCAAAACTAACGGAAAATCAACTTGAAATCAACGCGTTGTTTCAACGTTATGAAAGCAAACCAATTTTCGATTTCATTTAGCTTTGAAGAATGCCGCGTCTGACGTTGGTTCAACGTTAATTCGATGAGCAAATCAACGTTGTTTCAATGTCATGAGAGACGTCGTTTCCACGTTGATTCAATGTCAGTTTGCTGTCTGGGAAGGCATATCTTAATAAAATAAATTCATCCAAACCATTACATTTTGCAGAATAACGTATCACTTGATGTTACATTATAGAGCAACATTTAATGTTATAAAAAGCAATGCACTATATATCGGCCACCATATCGGTATCGGCCGATATATTAAAACCGATAAATAAGGGATTATTTTGAATGGCTTGAAATATCACTTGAAAAAAGGAAAATATAGCGTTAAGTGCAACATGTGCTGTCATATAGGCTACATAACATTACAATGAGAACATTTTAATGGTGAGCTTGTGCCATGGGATGATTTTAATGGTGAGACTTTTGTTTTAAAAAATTGGATTTAGATTTATAGGTCAATATATCGGTTATAGGCTTTCAAATATAAAAAAATTATCGGTATCAGCCAAAATGTTCATAAGTAACAATTTTCATACCTAATTATGAATTAATAATGTTTCAGTTTTATACTTGTATTTATATATTATATATATATATTTATATTTGTAAATAGGAATGTCACATAATTTGACTACTAAAGGAACAGTAATATTCACCAGAGAATTTGCACAAGAGCAAACCTATAAACGATGACAGAGACCGAGACTAACTGCTGTTCAACAAACACATTTACCAATTCTTTAACTTTAGCAGGCTTACTTAACCAGCTATATGAGTGTATGGTTAATGGCATGATGTGGTGTTGTGGCTTCTTGCCCTAGTTTCTGCTATCACCATCAGACTAGAGAGTCATTGTGCATACATGGGTTTGTGTGTGAGGTTTGTCAGGAGGAAGTGAACGGACGGACTCATATAGGACACACACATTCTGGGCCACAGTGACACCAGCAGTAACACACACGTCCTTTACACGACTACAAACACGACAACAAACAGCAGAAGAACAGAGAGAGAATAGAAATGAGAAAAGAAAAAAAAACTTACTCCTCTGTCTTCTTCCGAGAGGAAATCGGGACCATCGTCCAGCCCTTCTTGCTGTGGAGAGACACACAAATATCAGAACGAACGATCGGAATACAAAGACGACAGATGCTCGTTATTACTCGATGCATCGGAGGATTGTAGGTGTAAATGATGAAGGTGTAGGGAGTGAGAGAAAAGCACACACCATCATGGCTGCTGCGGGTGGAGTATGAATGTGGCGGAGTGTGTGTGACGTCAGTGAGGCAGGAGATCTGAGAGGTGGAGCTTCAAGTGTTCAAGTGCAAACCGACACACTGATCAATCGAAACATTATTGTTTTCTTTCTTTCTTTCTTTCTTTCTTTCTTTCTTTCTTTCTTTCTTTCTTTCTTTCTTTCTTTCTTTCTTTCTTTCTTTCTTTCTTTCTTTCTTTTAATAATAATAATAATAAGACATTATATTAATTATATTGGGCCTATGTAAATGTATGTCATTTACTCTTTTAATTTTCCTATTAGATATGTTTATTGGTAACTACGTTTACATGTACGGCACGCTAAATATGTTTCTCGTAAACAACTTTTTTAACCTTTTTAATATAATATTATGTTATTATTGAAATGTATATTATATGCATTACATTATTATAATATAATGCAATCCAATACATTGCATTACTATTTTATATTAGATTATGTTTGGCTTTAGTCCTTCTTTTTTGTCTTATTAATATGTTATGTTTATTTGTATCTACATATGTAGACTAAATATATTTCTTGTAAATCACATTGCGAACACTGTTTTTACTATATGAATACAATGAATAGCTTTTATTGTTATTATTATTATCGAAATGTGCATTTTATATTATATTTTTGGCTTCACTCTTATTCTTCGTGTAATCTTAAATTAAATATGTTATGTTTATTTGTATCTACATATAGATTATGGCTGTATGCTAAATGTATTTCTTGTGAATCACTTTGTAAACAGTTTTTATTATGAATAAATAGCATTAATAATAATACTATTCTTATTTATTGCAATTGTTATGTTATAGGCTATCATAATGACTTTGCTCTTTTAATGTTTTTTTTTAATTTTTTATTCAGATATATCACAATTATTATTTTATAAAGAGATTATATAACTTCATTACAGGCGTACGAATGAAATATTCACTCCCAAAATCTTATGTGACAACTCGCCAATAGAGGGCGACAAACTGACTTTAACCATGGAAAGGACAACTGTTTATCTTCATCAGCTGGCGGAGTTTGTGTGATGCTGTGATTATTACTGAAAACACACCACTAATAGATCAGTGCGAGTCAGTGAGTTTTATTATGAGTTTAATAGACTGCATAGGGTGACCAACAGTCCTGTTTTCCCAAGACATATGGTGAATGAAAATGTCCTCCAAACACTGCTGGGAAAGATCAGCTTTACAGTAAAATATAGATGGGCAAAGGAGGATGAGGAAGGAAAAACAGGATAAAGAGGAAGAAAACTAAAGATATAAATATATTTTGTAAGTTTGTGAGAGCTATTTTTGTTCAATTTGGAGGCATTTCTTTTAGTTATTTATTATTTATTTTTCTAATACAGAAGCGAGATTATTTCTATCATTATTTCATTCATTATTTTTGAAACCTGTCATAATAAAACATGTTGAGTAACCTCTGAGAAGAATTTGTGTCTTGTAATATGACCATTTTATCCATACAGAGGAAGCATATCCTACTTTAAATGTATTGAAATGAATAAGGCATCTTTGAACTTCAAGTATCATTTGAGTGTCTGTTTGCCGAGTGTCCTGGTTTTTGGTAATCAAAATATGGTCACCTGAAGACTGCAGCCAAACTGAATCTTCACAGAATTATTATTTGTCACACAATTACATAATACAATAATTATCTGACTTTTGCTCACTGCTTTGGCCCGTGTTAGTAGTTTGCAGTTTCTGAAAGAACTACAGTATAGAGACCTAAAAATCAACCAATGGTTAAGTGTATTGAAATCTTGGAAGTTGGACCTCCAGAAAACTAACCATCATAAAACAGTAAATAATGATTTCTGTACACCAAATATGTATAACATCAGATCAACCTTGGTGCATTCAAGTTAATGGCATGGGATGGGAACAAATTTGTAATTTATGCGTATTTATTGAATTGTATCTGACCACGTACAAAATAGTTTTTATTTTTGAGCTGTTTTGCTGCTGCACAATTTATTAATGTCAAAACAACATGGACAGGTGTTAATAATACAGTGGTCAACATTGGAAGTGGACCAAAAACAGGCATTGTTCAAAATTAAAGTATAAGTTTGATGAAAGGTTTTGATCCACTTCAAATGTTGACTACACTCTTAGAAGAAAAGGTTCTATATAGAACCTTAAAAGGTTCTATCAGCACTCCGTATTTGGAACCCCTAAAAGGTTCTATACAGAACACTTTTTAAGGGTTCAATAATAAGAACCCTCTTTGTAACCAGGAAAAAAGTTCATATGGAACCTTTTGGGTTCATTCATTATCATTTGCTTTGTCCTTTCAAACATCAAGACCCTACACTGTATTTATGAATGCATGTGAATGATCACAAAATTCAAGATATGGAGGTTAGAAAATGTATATATTTATATCATTTTATGTAGTTAATCAACATCACAGAAGAGTGCCATTTCAGTTTTTCTCCTAAAATGTAATATTAACAGTTTAATAAACAATAATTTAATTAGAACTACAAAATGTTGCAGAATAATGTAATATATGAATAAATAATAACCTATAAAGAACCTTTGTGCCAAAAGGGTTCTTTTTATAGAACCATTTTTAGCATAAAAAGGTTATTTGGAATTGAGTAAAGAACCCTATGCTTCATAATATAGAACCCCAATGAACCCTTTTTTCTATACCGTATATGAAGTGTAGGCTCTGTATTTCTCTTTTTTGTTAATGGGATGTTGAAACAACAAAACAAAAAGTTCAGGATGAAATCAAAACATATTGAGAAATGATGCATGCATCAACATCACAGACGTGAGCATTCATGATAACATATTGAGTAACTTTGTCCTGAAGTGCAATCGTGTGACCCTGCAACTCAATAACATTGATATCCCCTTTACAGGTCGTGTTGCACTGCATTAGACAACAAATGTATTGCAAAACAACTGATCACACTGTTCAGTCAACTAAAATGCCCATTAAATGTTTATCGATGAATTTTAGCTATACTGTTAGAGTAAATCGTGACACATGCATAACCATCCAAAAGCCTCGGAAACACTGCAGACCAGAAGGCCGATGTCTTTTTCCTCTTTATTTTGAGAAACAACATTCAGAAACTCAAGATTGCACCTCATCTCTGCTCAAATTCCTCCATCCCTGTTTCAACCAGAAGGAACCCAATCCAGTTGACATTATTTGTGAAATGTTTTTAACAGCATGATGCACATTCTCACATGCTTTGCAGCAGCAAGCTATCAATACTCAGTAGCACAGAATCTACTGGAGTGCAAGGAGAGGTCATTTGTTTATTTTCAGCTCACTTGTCCAGACACAGAGATTCAGGGCTTACATGAAAGGCACTTTGTTTCGTACAGCGGTGGACATAAAAGCTCTGACAACCTTTTTAAGAACCAACCAGCTTATACGTGGGCCCAAAATAGATACATCTTTTAAGATGGCAGTTAAATAAACTTGTGACTTTCTTGCTGTCTGCATGGTGTCTTAATTGAGGGTAGAGATCTACAAATGCATCCTTGTCAAGTTTTGTTTTATTTCTAATTTTATTATGTATATTTTTTTGTTCAAATTAACTGGTGAACGTAATAGAGTGCCGAAGTTACAACGTCACTTTGTAGGATCCTACCGGATCCCTCGCTCTAAAGTCTATGGGATTTTTGAGTGGGTTTTTGCTAAATCGCCTGAAATAAGGTCTGTGGTGAGCGAAGCCTCTAAATATTTCCATGTTTTGATCTACGACATAAAACACACCAGTTATAACCTGCTTGTGGATTTTTAAACTTTATTGTGTCTGCTTGTGTTTTTTTTAAAACTTTATATAGGCTTCAAAAATGTATACATTTTGGATTAACTTGTAAAGATTATCTTGATAGACAAAACACAGATCTCATTTTATGCGGTTTTCCAAAAGTCTATGGGGAAAATGCATAGCTTTTCGATCGAGGGAATCCATGCACCGCTAGCTTCCGTGTTGTCCTACAAAGTGACGTCATCACTTCGGCACTCTATTGCTTCTAGGCTTGTTCGTTTGTTTTGTTTGTTGCTATGGTTACCTATAGTTTCATTGATTTGATCCACCTGCTCCTTGTTTAGTTACTGTGTATTTGAGGCATTGTTTGTCTGTTCATGTTTACTTTTAGTTGGTAGTGACTCTACTGTGTTCCTGTATTCTCCTGTGCTCAGTGGTGTAAAGTATTTGAATAAATTTAATTAGTTACTGTATGTAAGTATCTTTTCGGCTACTTTGTAGTTTTACGGAACATCAAAGATATTTTACAACTTTTACTCTCTGCTTGACTGTATTTTTGAATAAGCATACTCTGTACTCATTATATTTCTGACAAGTGATGCAATAACTCGTTACATTTTGCATGGTATCTAGCAGTTTATTTCTGCTACAAAAATGATATTGCCATCTACGGGGCATTGGAGGTACTATATCTTGTTTGTTTTGCCCTTACCCAAACCTGTCAACAAGGCTATGAATTAGCTGGTAGCTAACTGCGTTAGCTGGTAGCTAATGCAATGGTTAACTGGTAGTTGCTGAATCACAGGTTATGAGGTGAGGACATGACTGCAGTGGAAACCAGTGTCCAGTGCAAGCAGGCTTGGAATATTTAATATTGTTTAACGTTTTACTTAGATTTTAGAAAATAAACCTGTGAAAATGACCTTTTCCTTGTTTTTCACTGGCACGTCTCTTAGGTGTTGAGCACCAGTGCATTTTTGAGCCAAGTCAGCCAACATTCAATGCGAGTAAAATACTTTAGTACTGTTCAAATCAGATAATCTAAGACTTTTACTCAAGTCGTATTGGAATTAATGACTTGTTGTAATGGAGTTGTGAGATATACTTTTACTCCGGTATGGTTTTCAGGTACTCTTTTTACCTCTGGCTTGGGCCAGTAAGAGATATTTGTTTAATATTAATCAATACTTTTCTGCTACAAGGATGCATTCAATTGATCAAAAGTAGTAAAAAGTAAATACATTTTATAATGTTTCAAAAGATTTTTATTGCAAATAAACATTCTATTCATTAAACTGAACTGGAATGTTTCTTGAGCAATATATTACTGTTTTTTTTTTTTTTTTTACTTTTACTATTATTTTGATCAAATAAAAATGCACCCTTAGTGAGCATGAGACTTCTTTCAAATATACTGTATATATATTTAATTTTACCAAACACTATCTTTTCAACGATAGTGTAGCTTAAGAGATGTTTGTGCTAGAGTTTATTAATCGAAATTTGTTTTCTGAAATGTTTTGATTAATAGCCTATTTTTTTTATTTTTTTATTTTTTATCAAAATTTCAGCCAGGCCAATTAACTGGCTGATATTTGGACATGGTTGCATTGACAACCTGTGTGTCAGTTCCTAAACCATAAACATACAATAAAGACTATAATATATGGTCAAATTTAATACATTTTTTGTAAATTATTGTTTATTTTGTGTATATCACATTTGCTATCATTGAAATGTAATATATTGGCATATCAGCTGTCAGGCTTTCTTCTCTAGATATTGTCATTGGCTATTGAAAAACCAGTATGAGTTTAACTCTCCGACCAGATCAGTCATCTGCAATATGAGCCCACATGCACTGAGAACTAGTTTCATAACCATTACTAGAAAGTTCCCAGAGAAGACATCAATGTGGACATGTGTGCATAACTGAACTATAATCAACAGCACAGATGAAGGCCAGCACTTTCCTGAAAGCTTTTATACAGTGTAAAGTGGATTCAGTGTAAACTTTATAAAGTTTTATAAAGTGGGGGTTTCATGGATTAGATTTGTGACAATCTAACATTGTTTTTTTACTCGTGTGATATTTGAGAGCAGTTTTTCACTGAAACAGAGACCTTCCTTTTATTTGTGCTACTTCATTCAAGAGTCAGAAACACTCTTTATAACCGCTGGCCAGCCTGTCCACCAGGGTCCCTTTTGTAGCTCTTTGGAAGCATGTTCAGTTTTGCCATTTGTGGACAACGATGACAAGACACAAAAGCACGCTGGCCATAAATAGCTCTGAGCAGCAGAGGATTGCTCCCTGCCTGCGGATCAAATTCTCCAAAGGGAAAAGCAGCCACTGGACTCAAGCCCAGATCTACTGCAAGACCACGCTCAGAGAAACCGCTTGGCCTGTGAGAAGTAGTTAAATGTGCCTGAGCTGTTCATTTAAACTTCATTAAATGCTTTAAGTCATGCAGGCTTGGGGCTACCCCACATATAAGTATATGATTTTCTCCATAGTGCCTTCAATGCTTTACTAGCTTAGTATACAAGAATCAGAATGCCTCAAAATAATGCAAACTTAAACAAATACTTACAAAAAAAATCAATAACTAGAAAAGGAAAGATTGCTTAAAGTATTTTTTAGTTTGTATTTGGCCTAATGTACTTTCAATACTTCTGTATCTTTACAGCATAAATCTGTATCTTTACGGGATGGATGGAACATTCAATTGATAGATGGATAGAATGATCGAATGATGGATGGATGGAACGATCAATTGATGGATGAATAGATGGAACGATAGAATAGTTAGAATGATCGAATAAATGGAGATAGAAAGAAAAAACGACTGATAGATAGACAGACAGAACAATAGATGTGTAGAATGTTAGAATAGATAGATGGAGATAGAACAGATGGATGGATGGATGGATGGAATGATAGCATAATACAGAAAAATAGTTATATAGATGGAAAGAGATAGATAGATATATAGATAGATAGACAGAGATAGACAGACAGATAGATAGATAGATAGAATGTTAGAATAGATGGATGGATGGATGGAATGATAGAATAATACAGAACAATAGTTATATAGATATATAGATAGATAGATAGATAGATAGATAGATAGATAGATAGATAGATAGATAGATAGATAGATAGATAGATAGATAGATAGATAGGTAGATAGATAGATAGATAGATAGATAGATAGATAGATAGATAGATAGATAGATAGATAGATAGATAGATAGATAGATAGATGGATGGAATGATAGAATAATACAGAACAATAGTTATATAGATAGATAGATAGATAGATAGATAGATAGATAGATAGATAGATAGATAGATAGATAGATAGATAGATAGATAGATAAATAGAATGGATGGGTGAAATAGATGGATAGAGATTAAACAAACACTGGATGGATGTATGAATGGACAGATCGATCAATAGATGATGGATGGATGGATAGATAGAATGACTGATAGAGGATGGATGGATGGAATGATGAACAGACCAATAGATATAACAATACTCAGATACAGTGATAGAATCATTTAGATGGAGATGTACAAACAAATGATAGATGGATGGATGGATGAATAGACAGAACGATGGTCTTTGCTTAAAAATCATTACAGGTTATCTTTAACTTTGATCATTAAAAAAATAGTTAATAAATATGAATTAATAAAATAAAAATGTACAGGCCAGACATATATCACAGGTCATTGAGGTGACCCTCTAAAGAAATCAGACCGTTTAATTGAGCCAAGAAATCCATCCAAGAATTCCGCCACAATATTTTATTTCAAAGTGGCACCTTCCCCGATCTCAAAAACAATGTTTCACTTCAGGCTGCATCATACATTACAGATAGTTTTGTATTTTCATGTAGTGTTAAAAAAAAAACATTCCAAGCATCTCAGCCTTCGTGTTCTGTGGTGCATTTGAATCAACAGTTCAAACCCCATCTGTTTATGTCCATTTGCGTAACAGGAACGAAAACTGCGGTAACTTCAACTCCGGGTTGACAGACAGAAATTCCAGACGGAAAGTCCTCCTTCAACTGGTAGTGTAAAACAAAAAGTGCTTTGTTTATCTGCATAAACTTGACCAGATTAGGTAGATAAATAGCTTCAGGCTTGTAAAGTGCTCGTCATTGCTGTGAGGCATTAACGTACAGCATTCTCATATAGTTCTCTGACAGCATAATAGAATATCTCTGAAGATACATGATAAAGATATCAACTGAGTTTAATATATGTGAACATCCGAGCTTTCTACTGTCGTTTGGCAAAACACGCAGAGGGAGACAGAACGCTCTTTGGGGACATACAAAAACTAATATGAACTGCAAAATTAAGCTGGCATTCAGCTGGTAGAGTTTTTTTTTTTTTTTGCATATGTTAATGAGATCTCCTTAATGTGAAAAAAAGAAAAGAAAAGGGAATAAAGACAAACTAGGACTATTCCTTCAGGATCAAATGATAGAGACAGCTGCGAAGATGAAAGCGTGTGGAATCCAGATGGCACATGGCGGATGCGTTTACAACGGTCTCCCCTCCAGCGATACGACCACACTTCCTCCCAACTTCTCCGCCAGGGTGGAGCGGTCCTGAATGTCGTCTAAACCGTTAACCTGCCATTCGTGTTTGATACCTGAAAAAAAAGATGCACGATTGCATAAGATTTCAAAATAAGTATGTATTGGAGTAGTTCTCTTAAAAAAAAAACTTTTGCTGATAATTTCCTCACCCCCATGTCATCCAAGATGTCCATGTCTTTCTTTCTTCAGTCGAAAAGAAATTAAGGTTTTTGATGAAAACATTCCAGCATTTTTCTCCATATAATGGACTTCAATGGGAACCAAAAGGTTCAAGGTCCAAAAGACAGTTTCAGTGCAAACTGCACACTGTTGAAAGGGCTTTAAACGATTTCAGACGATGAATAAGGGTATTATCAAGCGAAACAATCGCTCATTTAAAATAAAATAACAAAGTTTAAGTTTTATAAGCTCAAATGCTCGCCTTGCTCTGTTCTGTGAAGCGCATTCGTGATTCTCCTGTTCGAACTCGTTTATCAAAATAAACGAATCTTTTTTCCGTGTCATTTGGTTCATTCAACGAACGAAATGAACGAATTGACTCTGGAAAAGATTCATTCATTTTGATGAACAAGTTCGAACAGGAGAGTCACGAACATGCATCACAGAACAGAGCAAGGTGAGCATTTGAGCTTATAAAGCTTAAACTTTGTTGTTTTTTTTTTTTAAATGAGCGATCGTTTCGCTTGATAAGACCCTTATTCATCGTCTGGTGTCACTTAAAGCCCTTTGAAGCTGCACTGAAACTCTCATTTGGACCTTGAACTGTTTGGTTCCCATTGAAATCAATTATATGGAAAAAATCCTGGAATGTTTTCATCAAAAACCTTCATTTCTTTTCGACTGAAGAAAGAAAGACATGGATATCTTGGATGAAATGGGGGTGAGTAAATTATCAGCAAAAGTTTTTTTTAAAGTGAACTACTCCTTTAATAAAAACATTTTCGATTTAGAAATGACTCTCAGTTATTTTCCCACTGTGGTGTTTTTATTTTAATATTAACTTCTGTGAACTCTGTGATTCTTCAGTGCAAAAAAAAGTTTGTCTTCATAATTTTTCATCAAAATGCAATTACTTGCATAACATGTTTGAGCCAGTGTTGTTATGTCAAGCTGGTCGGGATTCTCCAGGGCTGTTGCTCAGTGTTTGTAGTTTTCAAAATCAAGCTACAAATGACTTACTTCTTAGTCTATGTGCAGTAAACTGGGAAAGAAAGGCATGGCTAAAGGATGTGATTTAGGCATTAGTTTAGTTAAAGTTTATATGTATATATATTTATAATTTGTTTGATAGTGCAGAGTGCAGTGAATTCTTTTGTCACATACTGTTTTTCGTCTACTAAATAGTAGGGAAGTATGCGGATGCAGGCAATGGTTGCTTGCAGAAGCCAAGTATGTGATTTCAGATGCAGTCATTTAACAGTGTACAGTAATTACTATAAATTGTGCATAATTACATGCAACTAACTCTAAACCACACCCCAACCGTAATCTTAACCTTGAGCCTATAGTAATTACAAGTAGTTAATTATTATTACTACTCAGTACTTAAATGTATAATTACACTGTAACACTTAAAATAAAGTGCAACCAAATAATCTGCTAATGCCTATTGCAGATATAGATATTCAAACATCTGAATAACTAGGTTGCTGATGCACAGTCAACTTGTTCTTGAGTGATCACAGACTGGATTTGACTGTATTGCAGCCCATAGAAACAGACATTAATGAGGCATCTATGTGTGTGTGTGTATATATATATATATATATATATGGCTGTTACTATATTGTGCATTAACTGGAAGACTGTATTGCCAATAAGGATGCAGAACTCAGGATCTGTGAATATGACCGTACTCACCTGTAAACTTCTTCTTAATGGCATCTTTTGAGCTAGCATATATCATCTTGCTTTTTAACGGCGCACCTTCAGGGGCCCTAAAGTCAAAATAACAATGTTCAATATGAATGCAAACAAAAAACAGAAATTGATTTAATTAGTGTAAGAACGTTTAACAAACTATTGCAGAGTTCATTAGAAACAAACAGCAAGTTTCAAGGTATTTTTAACAGAAGTAAATTACAAACTGACTAAAATACAATTAATAAATTAGAAATATAAAATGACTGTCCATCAATGTTGGATGGTCTGTTTTACTTCAGTGTATTCTATCAATTTTTAAAAAATAAGATTCACATATAAAAATGACATAAACTAGGGCTGTCAAATGATTAATCGTGATTAATCGTATCCAAAATAAAAGTTTGTATTTACATAATATATGTGGGTGCACTGTGTATAATTATTTTATATATATATATATATATATATATATATATACACACACATGCATGTATATATTTAAGAAATATTTTAATGTATATACTGTATATAGATTAAAATATAATTTATATTATATATAAATATCAATATTTTATATATAAATAATATTTTTTTCTTAAATATACATGCATACATGTGTGTATTTATATATATACAAAATAGTGATACACAGTGTACCTACATATATTATGTAAACACAAACTTTTATTTTGGATGCGATTAATCGCGATTAATTGTTTGACAGCCCTAAAAATAACCTATCGCAGTTCGCTTGTTAATCAAGCATGGAATAAGAGACACAAAAAAAAAAAAAAAAAAAAAAAACAGTGCTTTTTCAAAGATATAAATTTAATAAAAACTAAATAATAAATAATAATAAGAATAAACTAAAACTTTCAAAAAAATTAAAAATGAACTAAATTAAAAAATGAGTGAATAAATTAAGGCTGTCAAAAAATTAATCGCGATTAATCACATCCAAAATAAAAAGATATATACAAAATAATTATACACAGTGCACCCACATATATTATGTAAACACAAACTTTTATTTTGGATGCGATTAATCGCGATTAATCATTTGGCAGCCCTAGAATAAATAGATAAATGCATAAATATATACAAAATAAATCGTAATCATTTTTCTAAACGATAACAACCTTTCCAGACAGACTACGTACCAAAATATAAATACCAAGTCTTCTTTCTTAGATTCTTTGGTTTCGTAAGTGGCATCATATAAGCCGTATCTGCAGTCATTAAGAGGCAGGAGCTTGACGAAGCAGGCGTAGGGGTCGTCGACAGATTCTCCAATGTCTCCCACTAAGATCTGCTTGCCCTCCTCTACGATGATCTTCTTCTTGTCGTCGCTGAGGCAGAACAGCACTGCCTTTTTGCGCTTTTTCACCTCGTCTGAGCCCGAGGACTTCCGCACTTTCATGTCATTGAAGACTTTGAGCACTTCATCATTGACTGTGACACCGGAGGCCTGTGATGAGGATGAGACTGGGGTGAATACAGTTGATTGAGATGAAAACAGCAATTATACAGTACAAGTCTGTAGATCCATACTAGCAGTAATCACCAGCATCATAATACATTTTCACAGTAAAAAATAACTACCGGGCAATATTAGAAGTAACAATGCGTCGGATTTGGCACTGACTGATCCAGTACTGCTCACAAACCCTGACTCACGAGTCAAGTACGTGCTGCGCATAGCCAGCTGGTCTGTCACCACAGTTCAAATCTCTCACTCCCGTTCCAAAATGGACTGGAAGGCCAAGTCATAGTGGGGTGCCTGGGCCACGATACAACTATGAGAGCTCCTCCTGGGACTTTTTAAAGACATTTGGATTCATGATCAATGATACTTCACCCTCAAAACAAACGGGGCCCTCGGAAGGTTGAAACTTTTCTCTACACTACTACCCACACCATGCCATTTAAAGATTTATTCCTTAAAACATACTGGTAACTAACTTATTACCATGTATTTTTATCTGATAGCAACTATTCTTATACTGACTTGATCTAATTTTACTGGTAATTATTGAATATAGTACTTATTATATATTATTAGAGGACTATTAAAGATTTTAAAACAAGATATTCATAAGCAATGCAGATTAATAGATTCAAATAATATGAGGACTTAAGATACTTGTACTTATTCTCCGGTTACTGTTAACTATTCTAATCGCACTGCAATGAAAAAAAAAATACAATGAAAAAAACTGCAAAAACTGCAATGCAAAATTACATAAGATGTTAAGTCTTGTTTTCTGAAACAATGACCAAAATTATTTATTTTTTAAATAAATAAAATTAAAATGAGGTTAAAAAAATCTGGTAGTGGAGTCACATGGGAAACAAGATATTTTTTTTAAAACACTTCATTATAATACTAAGCATATTAAGTCTTGTTTCTCAAGCATATGTATCTTGATTTAAGAATTTTTAGATATTTTACTGTAAAACAGCATAATTTGCTAGTTTTAGCATTTTTTTAAGCAGTTAAGTGCTATGGAGTTGTGTCAATCAGATATCAAGTAGCTCCTTACTAGTTCCTATTCCACATTTACCAGTAATTATTATTTTTTATGTATCTATTTTATATTTAATAAACACTACCAAATATTGTAATATACAAGTATCTAAAGTGTTCCGCATGCGCAGAGACGCGCTCTGACTGAGCAGCTGGTGTAGACGTCCGACTCTCTCTCTCTCACACACACACACACACACACACACTATGGCCACTAAATCCCATTGAATCATAAGTAGCCTAATTCAATTGTAAGGAAATATAATAGTCGTCTCACGGCATGAAACAGCTCATTCGGATCTGATTATACGCGCCCATCACAGTATAGTCCCGGTCATTTATTTCTCTAGCGTCCGTGAGTAAAAGTTGGAGAGGCATGCGCCGAGTGATTAAAGCACCGGCTAAAATTAGCTTAAAATGGCTGCCTCTGGCTATAGGCCTGACGTATAGATTTATAGCTAATTAAAATGTATTTCATAAACCACAAAATAAACTTGGAGCCGAATAAAGCATTATATTTTTCAGCCGGAGCGCATGCAATCACGGATCCGCTAGAGCGCCACAGCGCCGCAATACAGATCCTGCCAGAGATGAAAACGTGCCAGTCGCTGGTCAAAAGTTTGACAGAAAGAGTTTCAAAATAACATTATAACGTTTGTTATGAATTAAGACTTGACTACGTGTGAGGAAATACAATCGTGTCCTTACCATGCTGTCCGACGCGATGAATCAATGAACGATTATTTTCTTAGTACTTCTATCTGTGAATGTGAACAGCCGAGACAGTGTCAGTGTGAGTGAGTGTGTGTGTGTGTGAGAGAGAGAGAGAGAGAGAGAGAGAGAGAGAGAGAGAGAGAGAGAGAGAGAGAGAGAGAGAGAGTGAGAAAGAGAGACAGACATCACGGCACAGCCGCAGTGAAGGACTGCTCGAGCACATGCACTGTCATTCACTGTCTTTGGGACAGTTGGCAAGAGATATCATAAATGTGAATTACAGCAGTCACTTAAATATAGCCTAATAAAAACATAATGCTAATTGTTTTGACTTTTAAATCATGAACTTTACACAATGTAAGTTTTGCATCAAATGATGAATAATTAGAATTCACTAGAGATCTTTTCACGACTAAATACCTCTATACTGGCAGGTTTTCAGTGACTGCAAACTAGTTGGAGGCACATTAACTCATGGTCTGTTGTAAAAATAAATAAATAAATAAAGCAAATTAAAAGTTATAGTTATACTGGACAATCTTAATTGAAAGTGCACCTAACTGAGGCCTCTGCTGAACAGAAACATACAATCTTGTGCAAAAATGAAAATTGGTGATGAAAACAAGTGGTCAAGCCAAATATTAACAAAATTTATTTTACATACAGAAAAAAGAATTACACTGCAGGTAATATGAATCTTGAAAACCGCGAGGGGAAAACTGATTCATCAAGCTTTCTGACAGAGAAAAAAAAATATACGACAAAAACAAACTATGACAATCTTATAAATAAAGCAAGCAAATTATACCCAAATCTAAATAAATAACCAAAAACTGAAAAGGAAAACAAAAAAAAAAAGGGATGGTCTGGTTCCTACGTAGTGTTTATGAAAGCTACAGGGACCACACCGAAATATCTGAGTTTATCTTTGCAACTATTGAACTACAAAACAGAAATTCTATTTTTTACTTTGACTTAATTTATAGTCACAACAGAGACTCAGTCTGTAAAAAGCTATACAAAATAGTAGTCTACAAATGCAGTTAATGTACAAAAAAAACAAAATGCAGCATTTTGAAATTACAGACAAAAATACACAAAGCATTTTGTCCTGAGTTAATGTGAACGCAAAAAACTTTTCAGAAAACAGTGCAAATATTTCTTTTCTTCACAGCAGTTTCTCCATAGGATTAAAGGCCGATTTACACTCCTGTCACTAGCTGTGAAGATAAATGCCGCTTGAGATCCTTCAGCATGCCTTTTTGTGTGCACACTGCACTTTAGCAAATACATTTTCTTGTGTACAAGGGTTGGCTAGAATTTTTATTGAGTCAAACCATCCTGGAATGATTATGGACATTCCACAGAAATACATAATTAGACAGCGAATTATGAACGGACTTTCAGTCTTTGCCAGTTGGTGTGTTTGTGTGGAAGACAGGGTTATGTTTACATCCGTGGCCGTTTCTCTGGGGGGGTCATGCGGTCAGCCAGGCCGAGTCTCCGAAGCTCAGAATGGAAGAAGGCCTGGAGCCGCTGACCGGCTTTTGCTTCATTGGTGGTACGTGGGTTGTACTCCAGACAGTTGGAAAACATGAGCTCCACATCCTCTATATATTCAGCTGTAAGATTGAAAACACAATTACAAATTACTATCAGCAATGACTTATGTTGTGCTTGGATATGATTATTACATTTTAATATAGAGTCTGGGGCTCATGTTGACATGCTATTTACTCAAGTATATATATATATATATATATATATAGGGAATGCATTGTTGTCACTTTCCCGCCGGAACAACCCCCCTCAGCCTGACGGAGTGGCAAAAGATCTGCTGCGTGACTGGATTTATTAGGGGGGAAAAACTGCGAAAATGCGACTAAAATGAACAATTTTAGCAATTTAAACTAAATGTTGGACTCAATTTAGTGTTCTAACAACTTACTAAAGATCCAGTGATACATGGATATTGACATGCAGCCAGGAATCGTGTTGCCTAGCATTTATTTTTGCCTGATTGACACCGGAGAAATGAAAGCAATGTAGACCTAAACATAAAGCAAATTTGGCTGTGAATGCTTTATATAAATACAATATAGGTAGGTCTAAATCTGGGTGACCACTTATATCAGTGTTATATATAGCCTATATCATCATATCATCCAGCCCTAAAACTTTATAGTTTTTTGTTTATTAAAAAACATCCAATAATGCAGAATATGCAATGATAAATATTTAATCGATGAGTTGTTAATATAATATATAACAAAACAAAATATACGAGTATGGTTTTACAGCTAAATTCAGCATATTGACAAAATGATAACTGCAAATCCACCTTTCGCTGACTCGAGTCCAGTTGTTTCTGTGAATCGCAGCGATCCATTTGCTCCTCTTTCTATAGCAACTCTGTAAAAATATACCTCCGATTTGTTGTCAAATTGCAAAGCTCTTTCCCACTTTATACGTGTTGTGTTTGTTTTTGCTGGCATTCACACTGAAAACAAATACAGCCGCTCAGTCTTTTTGCCACTCACTGTGAGTAACTGCAGGCACTCCGGCCGACGGTGACGTCACGCGCATTCCCTCTATTTCTGTTGTCAATACTTGTACATGCCCCAACACAAGAACATGGAACCAACCATGAAACAGGCAATTACGCTTTAATTTGGTTTTGAGTTTAGAGTATCTTAAACAGGATTCATACAATTCACATAAAAATATAAACAATTATTTTCAAATTTTAAGTGGGTTTTGAACTAGGTGAATTTGACTCAATAGTTAAAAATTGCCCTTTAGACAACTAGCCTGACTCTACCAAAATATTTAGATTTAAACCTTCCTTCCACAAAAAAAAAAAATTAAAGTTTACTTACCAACAGTTTTGTATTCACAGTTGTTGACCTTTTCCCTGATTGTGCTCAAGGCGATGGGTTTTTTGATTATGTCATAGTAATCGGGCACCTAAAAAATATGAACAATAAAAGTAGTCATTAAATAAATGAAAATAATGTCTCAGTGTCAATCTGTGATAGCGAGATGTCATGCGTAACAATTGCAGAGATTATTTAAGCCCCCGTCCACACTACTGCGTTCTCGTTTAAAAACGGAGACCTTTTGCTACGTTTGCACCTCCCGTCCACTCTAAAACGGGAAAAACGAAGACCTTAAACGGAGAAGTTTAGAAACGCTGCAGCTCCTTTTTGCGTTTTGAATCTCCGGAGGGCGTTTTAGTGTGGACGAGACAAAACCATACAAAACGGAGAACTTCAGAAACGCTGACACTTGGCTCTATAATTGGGTGTTATCAGTCATGACGTGTCCTTCCCTGATTCGCCATTCACTGTTTACACCGGCACGCGCATGCCCAGCGTTGGTGAATGGTCATGTGATCCGCGTTTTCAGTCGTTTTAATGTGGACTGAGATCATTTCCAATACGCAGATAAAATGCTGGTGTGGATGGAGATCGTATTCGTTTTAATTCTCCGTTTTTACACGAAAACGCAGTAGTGTGGATGGGGCCTTAGAGTCCCGCTGGTCATAAATCAACCAAGAATGTGGGTTTTATGACCTTGTTACAGAGGGATAAGTGTGATTGGCTCACTACCTGAGTCCTGGTCACCAGTTTCTTGAAGGGCCAGCTGTCCTCATGTCTGACCAGGTCCACAGTGAGTAGCTCACAGGCTGACAACTCATGGACGCCTAGGTTTCTTCCTGAGCTTCGACGGTTGGAAGAAGTGGTGGTAGGAGCCAAGATGATCTTGGTTTTTGGGGAGACCTCTGCTGGACAAACACCATCAAACCACAAAACATGAGTTGTGAACAAGTTTTCAATGAAACAACTCTTAAAGGGGTCATATAATGTTTTTTTGTGTGTTTTTTTTTACATGTCTAACTTTCTTTAGCGCAGTAGTTCTAAAACTTGGGGGCATGGCAAGGATAAGGCAGTGTATAGTAAGCAGATTATGCTAAAGTATTATTAAGATTATGCAAGACCCCACTGTGAAATGATCCCACTTATTATGCATCTACTTGCCACACAAGTAAATAATTGAACACCAAACATTTATTTGACATTTTATTACCTCAAGATGATTCATTGTACCCACTTGAGCAGTCTGTCATAAGTTGTAGCGATTGTTGTCATGTAATAACAGACAACTAGATGACGCGATCAAAGATTCGTAATTGTATGACAGTGTACTCTAGTGTTGTCAAAAATATTGACATTTCGATAAATGTCGATACTTAAATATCTGAACGGTACCAATCCTAATTTCCTGAAGTATCGATACACCAATACTATAGCCAAGTGGTCACTTTCACTTCTCTCCAAAGGCGCGTTGAGAAAAACCACACGTGACGCACTTGTCTAATTCGCTCTGGTTAAATAACAAAAGTGAATACAAAGATGGTTTGATTGATTGATAAGACCGGCTTGATTGATTGATAAATGCGAGCGGGCATGTGGGAGAATAGCGCGGACATGCTTTAAAAAAAAAAAAAAAAAAAAAAAAAAAAAAAAAAAAAAAAACACACACTGCGAGCAGGCATGTCGGAGTCAGAGAATAGAAATAACAGAAATAAGCATACTCTGATGCTGAAAAGACTGTTTGTGAAACGGCTTTCTCTGTCTCCGTGGCAGATACCTGAAATTCGGTGCGGTTACCCAATGGTACCTTTTTTTCTGTCATTTGGGCATGTTTACCTCAATAACTGTAAAAAAAACAATTTTTAGTGTGCGTGGTAAATGAAACCACGCTTCTGCTCCACTCATTCACACAGAAATACACAGGATTTGTATTTAAATAGTCTTACTCTCACGCCTACTCACATTTTCAAAACATGCTCAAAGCAGTTGACTAATAACAACATGCTGGTCCAGCCGACCAATAATGTCACATTGCACCTTTCTAAGGGAAGAGCCACAGCAATGTAAACGAGTAGGTGTCTACATTAATTCAAAGGTAAAGTATGTAATTGTTTCAAAGCTATTTTCTCTAAAAGGCTCAGATTATAGAACAAAATACCATCTTTTTTGTATATATTTTCATCCCTTTCTTTCATTTCACTCCTTACCAGTTATGGGTCTCTTCCTGGAGTCTGTATTCCCAGCAGCAGGACTGGACTGGTTGCTGGATTTGGCTGTTGTGCCATTAGCGGCGAGCACCTCTAGACTAAGACGAGCACTGGAGCGGCTTCCTGCCCGGGGTGGGGGTTTGCCATTGGACACCGGGATGGATTTCTTCCCTGAGTTTTTGGAGCCTCCTTTATTAGCAGACTGGCTCTGTTTGGGTGTGCTCTGCTGCGAGCGAGGCGTGGAATGACCCGATTCAGCTTGTTTTGATTTGGTGTTCACACGACCTCCTTTATTGCTCTGGAGAGGAAGTTTGATGGCATCCTTTTTGGACACTCTGTTAAATAAATGAAAAAAAAAAGAAAACAACTATCATGACACTTCTGGTTTCTTTCTGTATAAATTTACTATATCAAGAAGACGGAAAAAAAAGCCCACTAACTCTTCCTCCTCTGACTCTTCCTCTGACTCTTCTTCTTCCTCTTCTGATTCTTCCTCCTCTTGTTCAGATGACTCCTCGTCCTCCATTTCTTCTTCTGAGTCAATGGAGGAGCGCTGACGGGAATTTATTCTATGAGAGCGCTGTTTGGGGTGGCACTCAGGGCAGAACCAGTCTTCAGAAGGAACAGCCTGTAAAACAAAGGAACATCAAAACTATTCAGAACTCACAAGTTTAAAAGATACACAAAATATAAAAATATTTATAAATAGGTTTTTTGATATGTATCTGTATTTTGTCCTTGGCTGCATGTGTTTATGTATACACACACACACCTTGTAACTATATGGCAAGTTAGGGTTTATGACAAAGAACTGTAAAAATGGTGTCACCTAAATCAAGCCTTCCAAAAACTATTTCTCTCACCTTCAGTTTTGGCCGAACACAGAAGATGTGATAGCCTCTCTCACAGCCGTCACATAGAAGCATATTCTCAGCGTCTCCTTTCCTACGGCACACCTTACAGCGGGCATTGAGGATGGATTTGGCCCAGACAACACTGCGTTCAAGTGTAGAGAGATGCAGGAAAACCTGTGACAGGCTGGAGCAGGCCAACAGAGACTCACGCCAGCGTTCTTGCACAGTCTTTACCTGCCGCCCACTTTCACTGCCATCTGTTGAGAGCACACAGATGAAAATGGGTTTAGTACTGATCATTTAATCCAATATGTGCTAAATAAAAATCGCTTTTAGTTTGATAAACACATTAAGCAAACAGCTGATGAGTCTCTCAAATTGGTAAACAAGAAATTAGAGGTTGACCAATTGATCGGTTTTGCTGATTAGTTAACACAAATGACAAATTGTTAAAATCTCTGATAGTTTTTAAGTGTTTTAAGTGTTTAAGTGCGTTGATTGCTGGAGTGGCTAATAAGGATCCGCAGTCATTATACAGTACGAGAGCAGCCTCAGTCTAGAGGCGAAATCACTAACGCCTCGTGGAGTTTGTTATGACACTGGCATAGAGCGGAACACTTCAGATAATGATTTAAAACATAGACAATGAAACTTTGTGTATACAGTACCAGGGCTCTACAATGCATTTCAGTCGCATTTGCGACTAAATATTTGTGTGTGTGACCATAAACAAGATATTTTAGGCACACTTGTATGACTGACCCAATCAAAGCTAATAGACTACAACTCCCAAATTCCCTTACACGTACATTACATATCAACAGTGATGTTTCGCACTGCAATTGGTTGCTTTTAATGCCAGTCAACCAAGCGGTGCGACTGTGGCGTTGAAATTTTCTTGTGTTGGGATGAAGAGCATCACATTTTACTTTAAAAGTTCTATCCCAAATGAGAGTCAACATTTACTAAAAACTTGTAATAATTATTGCTGCCAGTTAAACTCATTATTAACGGTGTTAATGCAAACCCATTTTAATGGTGTACATTTTTTTTAATCACAAGATTAACATTCCTTTAGGCCTAGCAAACTTTGTAGTTTTTTTATGTTAGAAAAACTACAACACCAGATCTAGCTAGACTGGAAACAAAACAACAGGCACGACACACTTGTTTGGGCTTGCGAGCTGGCCAAAAAAGTAGTAGGCTAACGTTACGTTTTAAGTGGATGGTGAGCGCGAGACACCAAAATGGATGCCAATAAAATTCTGAATGGAAAGTTTACTTTTATAAAGTTCTGATTGTGGTTCCATTGACAAGACCAAAGTGATCTGCGTGTTTTGTAGTTGTGAACTGAGCTATCATCGCAGCACGTCCAGTCTGAAATACCACTTGATGGCCAAGCACACAGCTGATGCGAATTCTCCGCCCCCTCGTCAAAGCCAGGAGACAATGGCTGTTACATGAGCACTTTGTAGTTGTATTTTGTATCACCCTGAAAGTATTTTTTTCACCGTTTTATTAATGGACAGTCTTTCATTGTGTGAGAGATTATTTGCTCCAAGTGTGAATGTTAGTATGAAATTGAACACTACAGTATATATGTCAATGTTGTTTTCAGTAAAAAAAAAAAATAATAATAATAATTCGATCCACTTTTCCATGTTGATAAGTAGGGTTGGGCATCGAGAACCGGATCAAATTCACTATCGGTCAACATCTACAATAAATCTTACCATCTTTCTCGCTGGACTGGTCATCATCTTTCTTTTTGTCCTTTTTCTTGACCTTTTGGTCTTTCTTAGCGTCCTCATCACCTGATTAAAAAATAAAACATTCAGAAATAAGAGCCTGTGGATTAATGAACAAATATATAACAAAAACATGATCCTAAAAACAAAGCAATCATCCATACAGGAACACACCCTTCAGAAAGCAATCATCTTTAGGAACACACCCTTAATCAAATAAATATGCCAAACCCTCAAAGTTTCAATGGATGCCAAAGCTAAATAGATCTTACCTAGTGGAGCTTTCAGGAACTTGCGCTCTATGCCCTGCTCTATCTGTGCCAGGGCCTGTGCCAAGTAGTGGACAATGTTACTGACAGGCTGTGGTGTGCTCACACTAGTGGACGTGACACTCTGACCCTCTGCCTTCAATTCATGCAGCCTAAACATAAGACACCATCAGTTGTCCCATTCGCAAACAGACTCTGCAGCAGCAGCATCTGAACATGGAGGTAAAAATGCACAGATAACAGATATTACTGTGAAATAACCTGTCTTTGACTCTGACGTGATTCTCATCCAACTCCATCGGCTCCTCTTCTCCATTGATCACCGCATTTTCTTTGGACTCCGGGTTTAGCAGTTCATAGTTCCCATTTTCCAGTGCAGATCTCCATGAGTTTCTGTCCATCACCTTTCCAGGAATGAGAGGGGAAAAAAGGAGGAAAAAGACAGGTAGCCATTAACAAAGATCCATATAAAACCACAGCAGGCTGTAAGAACGAAAATATATTGTGGAATCAACATACTTTAATTGCTCCCAGAGTTCCCTGATAGATGCGGTCCTCAATATCCAGTAGTAGATCTCTGAGACGGTTCTCCATGAAGCGCTCAGCAGGTACAGTGCTTTGTGAGTAAGACGGGCCAACTTTTGGCTTTACAGCAGTGACTTTGGTCTCTGACAGGGTTTCATCTGCACAATAAATTACATAAACTATTATACAAATCACATAGTACAGTATGTTAATGCTATCTGCAACAAACATCACTATTAAAAAAAGTCACAGAGCACCAAACTTTATTTAAAAGTAAATAAATAAATTAGGGTTCCACGATAATGCTTTAGATGTGTAAAATCTATTTAAATTACATTTAAAATCGGAAAAAGATATAGGCCTAACCAATAATCGTAAACGCCTGTGATTGGCCATTGTACTCACGCACTCATCAAATACGTCTTTTGGCTCGTTTCCACTGAGTGGTACGGTATGGTACAATTCGGTACGCAATTATTTGCGTTTCCACTGTCAAAAGTTGTGAATAGGGATGTCCCGATACCACTTTTTCACTTCCGATACCGATACCGATGCCGCACCTTTGGCTTTTGCCGATACCGATATTAGTCCGATATTTTTTTTTTCGTGGTCCGACGTGCCGTATACGGCCCACAGGGTGGTTTATAGGTTTAACTTTGTGAAAGACAAAACAAAACAAACACAAAAGTAAACATAATACATATCTTTGGAAAGCTGAGAAACTCGTGATTCGAACGACGTAAACCATTTTAAGATACAATCAACACAGCGGGCACAATCTGTCTCTTTGTCAGACCACCAACAGCCAAAACAAACCAACACAAACTGGAAGAAACTCACCAATTAGCCATCTGTTAGTCCACATTCCAACAAAAATGGTTTGGTTTCACTGTAAAGCGTCCATACAATCCAATTTGAAGAAGTTTTTAGTCCAAAACAATTGTATATATGAATAAACATCCATGGAATGTAAATAGTAGCATTTCGCGTTAGCCGACAGCGCTATCACAACTTCGACGCACTAATGCTACGTTCACACCGGACGCGAATAGGGCGTCAGGCGCGAATGATTTCAATGTTAAGTCAATGCAAGAAAAATTCCTGCGGCGCGAATGAGGCGTGGAGCGCGGCGCGGAAGACGCGAATACGCCTCATTCGCGCGTCAAGTTGGCTGAACTTTGGCGTGAATTCGCGCCGCGTTAACCAATCAGGAGCCTAGCTGCTTGCTCACGTGGTGAAGTGTCTGGATGCTTCAATAAATTATTTTGTTAATATGACTAAATGACAGGTTAATAACTTTTGAAGGCTGGCTCTATTTATTATCAAAACAAAAATAAATGACAGCTAGATTAGATGGATGAGGGGCCGGGCGAGGGTGATCCTCGCTCAGATGCGGGACAACAGGTCATCAAACTGGGCGCGTGACAGGCGGAAGTACCGCTGACAGCGGCCGTCATCCAGCGCAGCTCCTGGAGCGAGCAAATGGTGAAACTCGCCAAACGGTTCGGCTCCGAAGGGTCCGGTGGACACAAATATACGGCGACGATGATCCCCACGCCGCTGTTCTGCTATCCAGAGTAAATACAGAGCGGTAACTCTCTTGATGAATGCTCGGTCGACATAAAAACAATGACCGCCAACGGATTTTGATTCTGACGCGCGTCACGCGCGTAAATTTCGCTTCAAACTTTACGCGCGCCAGTTTCGCTCTTGACACGCAAAGCGAGAGTGATTCTCTGCGCGCGTGTGCGTAAACACAACAATCATCACGTGACAGGCTGCGCCGCTAAACTGGATATCGCTCATATTTTTTTTCTCCCCTCCGATCTCCGATCTAGCGTTCTGGGCCGGTATCGGCGCGATACCGATGCCGTGGATCGGATCGGGACATCCCTAGTTGTGAATGGTACCAAAAAGCCGAACCGTACCACTTTTTTGGTACCCTTCCATTGGGTACCTAGCACAGTGAAGGGGTACTAAAAGGTGGAGCTAGACTCACTGCAGAACAAAGTCACTTGCTCGTGCTACAAGGGCATTAGAAGCATACAGTTGAAATATAATTCTACTGTTATTGGGTCACGAAATGTGGTTTTAATAGTTTTCAGGCGAGAATGTAGTTTTTTAAAGCTCAAATCTGTGGTTTATTTATAGATTTATGATCATTTGATGATCCATTTCAAGCAATCATCGGACGCTCGCGCTTGTCCCCAGCCTGGAACAGCCTTTCTTCAGCCATTCATTCTGATGTTTGCCGCTGACTCTGACGTCTGTGTGGTGATTAAACATGAGATATTCGTCTTGTACAGACCTAAAAGGCGATCTTTGGTCTCAAGAATCTATAATTCGTTCCCTAAGTTAAGTTTCATATATTTGAGTGCTGAATTTGTATATTTGACTGAATTGTTTGCTTTATGTTATTAAAGCTTTACTGTAGGGCTGGGCGATATGGCGATATATATCGTTACCGCGATAGAAAACGTCAGTCGTAACAGATTTTTTTATTCCGTGTATACCGCGAAATGCAAATAAGGGGGCGTGGTTAACTCCCGTGCAGCGTGCGTGAGAATGATGCTGAGATTTGTCAAAGAAACATGGAGAAAGCAGATCAAGAGGATCCACAAAGGAATTACATTTTCTAAAGGATTGTTGTTAACGTGATATGTTCGGGGGGAAAGGCATGTTACTTTTTAACATGAAAATCGCATTCAGCATGAATGAACATCCTGCTTGTTGAAACGAATGTATAATCCTGTTTCTGAGGCAAAATTACTAAATATGCAGCGCGAGTTATATATTTTTTAACTCCAAACAACTGCCTACTGAACCAGTTGATAAAATCTTCCTTTGATTCGATCCGTGATTACAACTTCACTCTCAAATTAATCGATAGCATTTTGTTGATGTAAAAGACGTGCACATGCACTGAGAGGGAGCGCGCAGTGTTCGACCATGTGTTCGACGCACTGTTATAAGGCGTGTATAATTTAAACTACTTAGTCAACACTAACAGTAGCTACGGTTTGGTTTTCATATTGCTGCTCTCCTTCTTGTCACTTCTGAACTGACAGGTTGCCATATATAACAAAAAGAGCAAAACAAGCCCGTTAAAACAACAGTGTGTGCAGTCTCCGGTTGTGCAGGAATACCCTTCTCCGTTAAAAATGCAGTATAATAAGCACATGTGGAAAAAAAAATATTATAGTTATATTATAATTATATTATAAACTGATTGATGAAGTAAAGCAATGCATGAGATTGAAAAATTATTTAAAGTTGAAATGCACCTACAGTATGTTGTATTTAATATCAATCTGTTGTGGGAAGTTCATCTAAAAGTTTGTTTTTTGTTTACTATATTTTGATATAAATAAAATAAAAATAAAACAAGGTGGCATACTTTTCATTTCTAAAGTATTTGGGTTTATTTATTATACAAAGCCCTTTTTGTCTTTTTTTTTTTTTGAGGATAACTATATATATATATATATATATATATATATATATATATATATATATATATATATATATATATATATATATATATATATATATATATATAACTATATCGTGAAATATATCGTTACCGTGAAATAAAATTAGTCATATCGTGAAGCACAATTTTGGTCATATCGCCCACCCCTACTTTACTGTATACCTTTTACTTATACTTTTATAATGGCTATTATTGATAAAACTGAAATTCAACAAAAAGAGATAGTTTTGTCATTTTTTTTATTTTATTACAAGATCATCTGTAATGCAATATTTGTACCAATGCAATACATTACATATTGCCTGGAATACGTTTAATATTTTTAAATTCTAACGAAAAGAGGCAGGGTTGAGAAATGAGGTTTCAGGCTTCAATGCACAGGTTTTGCCGCTTTGCTTGATGTTATAATATTACTTTTCCAGTGCGCGGACTTGGCTGCCGGAATTTTCCTTACAAATGCTCCACGAAGGCATTATTTTTATTTTTTGGAATGCAGTTGGCTTATATGTTAAAAAAAAATATGAAAATCACTGAGAAAGCTACTTTCATTTTAAAATACTTAGGCGCGCTTTGTGAAGAGCGCTCGTGCATGCGGCTGTGAGCGAATCGTTGGTTAAACGTACTTGCATCTCCAAATGCTTTTATGATGCAAAAAAAAAAGGTCAGTTATATCTTAAACCAAAAGCACAAACCACATTTACAATTTCAAAAGAGAAATGTGCAGTAGTGTGAATGCAGCTTATCGTATCTAAACTGAGGCGGAAAAACCACTCCGGCTCTTGAATGAACAACATTCAGACAGCGTACTTTTAAATACAGAAAGGGCTCTTTGTTTATTGCTTGTAATGCTTTTTTTGTTCCTCTGTTTACTAGCTTTTATATTTTGAAGCTATATTAGTTTATATAGCCCATTTAAAATTCTCAACATTGTTTTATATATGTATTTTTACACATGTAATTAAATACATAATTTAATTTAAGTTATTTAATATTTTATATCCTGATACATATATTATATCATGTTATTAAGATTAATTGATAAGAAAAAAAGTAGATCAGATCATGATCTGCCCAAAAGATTCTCATCCCTACTGTACAATGATTTATTGCTTGCCTTTGTCGACTACTACAAAAATGTAAAGAACTTAAAAAGTAATCGCATATGCATTCACAATATTAGTAGCAAAAAATAAATAAATTCGCAATGAGATTATTTTCCATAATCATTCAGCCCCAATTTTTTAGCACACAAATGTATCAATCGACGAGATAACGAGAGTACTTCTTAAGGTTGAGCCACTGTAGTCACCTAGACTATTTTAACAATGTCTTTACTGATTTTCCTAAATCGGCAGATGCAATTACCTTGCAGCCTATGAATATGAAGAAGTGAGCCAGATCTCAGATTTCATCATAATTTTTTGTATTCTGAAGATAAACGAAAGTCTTACAGTGTTGGAACAGCATGAGCCTGAGTGGATGAACTAACCCTTTAAGGCCAGCAATTAAATTATTAATTGGTTGTTCATTTAAAAGACTTTGGGGGAAAAAAAAAAAAAAAATCACAAATCAGGGAATGTGTGTAAACTGACATGCCTAATTCTGATACATCATGCAGCCCTAAAACAATTGAATAAAACATTTAGCAACCTGGTTCACAAAATCCCACAGTACCTGAGTGATGGTAATGCTGAGCAGCGTTGCAATCCATCAGTTGAGTGATGCGCTGCTTCTCCTGCAGCAGAGTCTCTTTGAGGGCGCTCTCTCTGTGTCCACGAGGGTTCAGAGCCTCTATGAGCTGCTCCACCTCCTCAGGCATGCTGTAGAAGTACCACTGATTGACCCTGTTTACTGGGGGTGAGGTGTTCTGCACCAGCACCAGCTCCTCGGTGGTGGCATCCGTCTTAACTGCGCTCTCAGCTGAGAAAAGCTCTTCCATTTTTGCTTCGGGAGTAGGGCGGGGCTCTAGCATGTCCTCTGTTAGGCCAAAGAAGTCATCTTCAACAAACAGTGCCCCGGCAGAAGGGAAAATCCAGTAGCGGCGATAGAGGCGGTCTCGGCCGAGAGGTAGGATGTAGGTGCAGGCCATAGCCCTCTGAATGCGCTCCAGGAGTTCTTTCTCTTTGAGCTGCTGTTGCTTTAACTCCTCTGGGCTCAGACTGTCTTTCGTTTCAACCTCACCAACTTGTTTCTGATTTGAGCTGCCATTTGTTTCCTTTACTGGAAATTTTTAAAGAATATTGGAACACTATTAATATGTATTCAACAGAATTAGCATTATTATTTAGGTTTTACATTTCACACACCAATTGAATGTTTTTTTTTTTATAGCTCATTTGATCTTAAAACCTAATATTTTCTCTTTCAAGCAATTGATCGCAAGAAGACCAAGAATGCGCCCTATGAAAGTAAGCCGCTGCTGATAATTTTAAGAGAAGATACCTTTTTTAGATTTTGCTGGTTGCTCCTCCTCATCCTCTGTGTGCTGTTCAGCGTGACCTTCCAGACTCTCTGTGCTGGTGTCCAGCTCTTCTCTACAACCAACAAACAGAAAGCTTAATCAAGCATTTGGACTGGAATATAAACTTGTATAGGTTGCATAGTATTAACAGTCATTACATTCCTGTGTATATTGCGTGAATGATGGGTGGTTGGGCAGATATTGTGTTTCTGTGTTTCTGTTATTGTGGTAGGTGGTATGCCAAACGGAACCGTTGCTACTGAAACTGCGTTAATGCACCAGTGGGGCTCGACAGCCTTTGTCAAACAGGTTTGCGCGTATGGTTTGGTTGCGGAGAGATTGTGGTTTAGGCCTCAGCAGCAGGAGGGATGTAGAGGTCAGTAAGCTGGGCTGAGTTGAGTGCGGGGCAGAGGGGGGTGACTCTACTCTCGTGTAATGGAAATCATAATGAACAGCAGCTATGCTAATTATTTCCCTTTTGCTTTTCTGCTGTTATCTCGGGACGCTAGTCCAGAGGAAAATGGCGTTCGTCAGCTCCAGTTTGTATCCAGCGTCTCACGGAGACTTCAGATGCCCCAACAGCTGCGATGAGATGACTCAACGCCGGCGATAAGTTACGCCCTAAATTATTACATGATTAACAAAATGTATTTTCCCATGTACATTTCTGAAATGCACTTTCTGTAAAGCTGCTTGGAAACAATATATATTGTGAAAAGCGCTATACAAATACATTTGAATTGAATTAAATAGAATAAACTGTGTCTCGACATCTAGGGATTGAGAATGGATTATTGGTTAAGCTTACCCTGCCACATGGCCTCCATTTTTGGCCTCCTCTTTAAGTTTTTCATGTTTTTCTTTCAATTTCTGCTCCTGTTCCCTCAGCTTCTCCTCCTTTCTTTTTCGAACCCTGAAATATGGAGACAATTAACAACTACTAACGACTATTCATTTCTAAGCAAAAACAACTTTAGTGCTGATAGGTAGATGCAAGTCTATGTAACGCTGTACCTCTCAGCAGCTTCTTCTCGCTCTCTGCGATGCTGTTCAGCTTTAAGTTCTCGCAGTTCCTGTTTGGCAGATCTCTGCTCGTCGGCATTGTCTTCTATAAAGTCTCGTGTGGAAACCAAAGTCAACAGCTTCCCACACAGAGAATGGAGGATCTTCAGTTTCTCTCCTGAGCACACATTTGTAACAAGTTATACACGAGCAAATTTGGAAAAGTGACTTTTTTACTCATTTTGTTTTATGCATTCATTCATTTATTTTAGTACAGGTAAATTTAGATTTAAAATTCTAGATCATTTGTTCTGAAAAAAAATCTGAAACATCAAATTTTATTTTTCCCCCAAACACCTACTGAGTGGAAATAATATAATATTGTTTATCGAATAATATTGATTTAAAAAAAAAAGATTAAAAGAAATAAGAATTTTTTTTTTTTTTAAATTAAAAGAAATAAACACTTACCAGGCAGCAGGTCATAGACAGCAGTGCAGGATAGCTTTTTGAGCAGGAACTGGTTTGACAGACGCAGCTCCACACAGGGGTCATCTGTGGAGCCAAACCCACCCTGTTTCTGGTAGCGGAACTTTGCACTGGTTGAGCTGCAGTCTGCCCCCGAGGACAGGATGTGCAGCCTCAGAATCTCAGAGAGCGTACAGCTGTCCAGATCCAACTGCTTCAGACTACAGCCTGTGCACAGAAATGGAAGAAACATGAAGGTGCACTAGATGTTTCAATTTACAGCAATTCTAAATTATAACGGTCAGTACAAACACATTTCAGGGCACATTGTCTGACCTTGGTGCAGTTGTGGCCAGGCAGCAGCAAGAGATGCCACAGCGCTGATGGCAGACTGTGTGGGGTCAGCATCATCCTCCAAAGCTTCACTCAGATCTGAGAATGAGAAAACAGTCAAAAACACCTGGCTCACTATAATACTGAAGGTAACTAACATAACACCAGAACTTTTCAGTAGTCGTAAATCAATATCAGTGAACTAATTCAGGGTATATACAGTAATCCTTAAGTTAAATTTACGACTTTTTAATACCTTTTTTACTACCTTCAGATTTTTTTTTAAAACCATCACGACACTGAATTGCAAGTGTTAACCAGCGACCTTTCTATTACACAGATTTTGACATTTAGAACATACGAAAATGAATAGATTTAGAGCACGTATTCCATTTTTATGTTTAGTGGATTGCATTTGCGACCGAAGTGCATTAGCTCCCATCCAGTTGACATTGATGTTTTTTTACACACCAAACAATAGAGGGAATGCATTGACATCACTTTCCCGTCGGTACAACCCCCTCAACCTAACTGAGTGGCAAAAGATCTGCTGCGTGACTGGATTTAATAGGGGAAACTATTAAACAAAAATGCGACTAAAACTAACAATTTGATAAATTTAAACTCAATATAGTTGGACTCCTAACAACTTACTAAAGATCCAGTGAGCTATGAATATTGACATGCAGCCAGCAATCGTGTCGCCTGACATTTATGTTTGCCTGATTTCAATAAAAGGGAAATAAAAGCAATGTAGACCTACATAGGCTAAAGAAAAAATTTGCCAGTGAACGCTTTATAAATACAATATAGGTAGGTCTAAATCCGGGTGATCACTTATATCAGGGTTATATATAGCGTCATATCGTCCAGCCACTGAATATGACGTCAGCATCAAACATAGACAGAGATGAAAGATCTTTGATTGTGCCCAGATAAGTTAAAGCCCATATTTATACGGACTAACGCAAACACAAAATAGGACACCTGATAGTCTGAAAAAAAAAAAAATAATTTTTAAAAAAATAATACCTCTCAGACTACCTTTAACACTTTTAATGGCCTTAAATTTGACAATTTTGATTTATCACTTTTTAAAACCCCGCGGACACCTTGAATTAGCTGCAATTTGGCACTTAAAGTACTGACACTGGACTAACCAAATGCTATAACTAGTCTAATTTGAGTGCACATTTCCCCCCCAAATATTGAGTATTCAGTAGGATTTAATTTCGACCTTGAAATCAATGAGGTATACCTGTCTGTTAGACTTCATATGATAATATACATTTTTCACAATTCTAAACAATATTGCTTGTGTGGTTTCCATAATAAATAATTTATTACCTCTGCCACTCTGACCTTTTGTGTCCGTTTCCGCCACTTGGTCTTTAGCCACTTCCTCCTGTTCCTCTGCCAGAGCTTGGAATATGGCCGAAAGAAAGAAGAAGAGCAATTCACAGAGAGGACCCTCAGGATCACAGCCCACTACGGCCTCCTCCAGAACCTCTGTAAAAAACAACAACAACCCTCATGAGAAACTTTTAAAAAATACTTAGCTCTGACTTAAAAAAAAAAAAAAACACATTGTAAATGAAAAGCAAATGTGTAAGCTAGAATACTATTAGGCCACTTAAATTTAAACAATATCTCATGGTGTATTGTGTTAATGAGCAGCCAGTAGTATATCTTACCAATAGTTACACCATCAGGGAACTCATCATTTAGATCAAACAGATCTCCAAATGCATGCAGAAACTCTAGAATCATCAGAGCATCTCCAAAGAGCTCTGGAGGGAGACGTGTCTTTACTGGAAGTGGTTTTGGCAGCTCCTGAGGACAGGCAAATATAAAAACAGTGTTTAGTCTGCTGTTTATGTATGTGCCAACACCGAGTTCTCAGAAAGAGTCCTTACCTTTAGGTCTTCACATTCCATGTCCTCTCGAGGTTTGTTCCATAACTTCAGTCGTTCTGCATATTTTTTCTTTTCCTCCTTTAGCTTCTCTCGTTCCTGAAGCACATCGCAAAGAGATGATTATGAAATCAGATTTAGTAAACAACTTCCCATGTATAACAGATGCAATAATTAATAGCATATAACAAAAGATAAGAATTTAAAAGAATAATATTTAGACAATGTACAGGGAACTACACTAACCTTTTCCACTGGTGGCACTTGCGCTACTAACTTTTTCAGTTACTGGCGCAAAACATGATTTGGTCGCACAAATTATTTATAGTAAGCCGCACTCTGGATAGTAATAAATAATAATGAAACTGTACTGCATTAGGGGTGGAACGGTACAGAAGTCACAGTTGGGTCGGGTTCATACCTCGGTTCAGACATTCAGACGGTTCGGTACGATTTCGGTACAATGGAGTGAAAAGCAAAACAACTTAAGTTTTTGTTTAAGTTTTATTAATAAAGGCATAGAACCAGTTTATTTGTAGTGCACTGACAATAGTTGTATATAATTAGTTTATTAATTAAATTAATAAAAAGACAAAATGACCTTGATATATGTTTGGTAATTGTACTTGAATGAATGTAAAATGAATTTGCAATATTTCAGATCAATATATTTGTTTTCCTTAATTATAACTAACCCTAACTTTATTCTCATCTGAATTATAAATACATGATTTCCGTATAAAATAATTACCATTAAAACACATTTGATTTTCTTTTTTAATCAATGTAGAATCATACGCAGTACTGTTGGAAAGCTGTGATGACAATAAAATGATAGCTTATAAATATATCTCTGGTTGTTTCTGTTCCACAACATTTTGTATGTCATGTTTGGGGTGTGGGATGAAGAGAGGGATATTTTCAGTAATTATTTAATAAAACATTTAATTTATCTTCAGTGTGTAGTATTAGCCAATCAGGTGTCTTGACGCGAATCACGCGATTATGATTATGAAAAAACTAACGTTAGTCTAAAAAACTGCTAGTGATCATATAACGTTAGTCAATGTCAATATCAGCGCTAGCAATATAATTAGTTAGCTCATGGCAGAGTTAATCAGCCGAACACCAGACCGCAAATCTACCTTTGGTGTAAGGAAGAGACACGGTGTCTTACATCTCTGCGTCTTTTTCCTGCTGCCATGCAGGCTCAGATGGTAGCCTATATGATTATGATTAGCATGCCTATTATAAAGACACAAACCTTTTACTATCATGTCATTTGAATAATATGCGCGCGATAGAGAGAGAGAGCGAGAGAGCAAGACAGCGCTTGTGTTGTGTGAAGACGTGATAGTGCGCGCGCGGCCAGGGCGCGCTCTCTCTCTCTCTCAGCTCGTTTGCGCCCTGTCAAACGCATCCGTCATTCTACTCTACAACACTCACCGCAATCAAAAAAAGGCTTTGGCGGGACAAAAAGCGGACGATCCTACAGGTTTTAGAAGACTAAATACAACCCGAAAGAAACTAAAAAAAACAGACCCGTCAAAATAGTCAGTGATACATTTGCGACCCATTAAAAATTAGGGTCGCAATGGGATTTCAAAAGGTCGCATATGCGACCATTTTGGTCGCAGTGTAGTTCCCTGATGTATGTAGGACCAAAAAGCAGGATTGGAGATGAGATCTGAACGTTTTTCCAACTCACCCTCTCTTTCTCGATCTTCATTTGTTCCTTCACCTCTTTCCGCCTCTGTTTCTCCTCTTCTAGTATCCTCTTCATCTCCTCTCTCTTTTTTTCCTTGTCCTCTTTTTCTTTCTTTTTGGCCTCAATTAGATCTTCTCTTTCTTTCTTGAATTTTTCTTGAAAAATGTAAAGAAAAAAAGACAATTTCAAGGCAATATTTTGGATTTAAACTAGGGCTGTGCAAAAGTTAATTGCGATTAATCGCATCCAAAATAAAAGTCTCTGTTTACATAGTATATTTGTGTGTGCTGTATATAATTATTTTGTATATATAAATACACACACATGCATGTATATGTTTAAGAAAATGTGTTATTCCTATATAAAATATTTATATTTGTATAATATAGATTATGTATTTATATATATATATACAGAATTTAAGCGCAAATAATTCTTAAATATATACATGCATGCATAGGTATTTATATATACAAAATAATTATATACAGCACACTCAAATATATTATGTAAAACAGACTTTTATTTTGGATGCGATTAATCGCAATTAACTTTTGCACAGCCCTAATTTAAACCCATAGAGTAAATAGCTAATAGAGTAAAGCCTGTGTTTAGGCTATTAAGAAAAATTAATTTTGCCAAAGAAACTTTACGTTAAATAAATGTTGATTTTAAAGACAACACTGAGAATTAGAATAATTGTAATGTAAGGTCGTTTGCAGATATCTAAATCTGCAACCGACCTTACATCATAGGGTTTGGGTGGATAATTTAGAGGTGACGAAATAGCTGATCCATGCATCTCTAGAGTAGCAAATTCAGTACCAAACGCAGTGTTACCTGCAACCTTAGTCTCACAGGCTTTACAGTCAGGGCAGTGCATTGAGCCACTTTCATAGCAGAGCCACTCAAAATTTCAGCTACTCTCTCAAAAAACTGTAAGCCTTCTTTTCCACTGGTGGATCCACAATCACCACCCTCAGGAGTTACATTAATATTAACTTTAGGTGGCGTACAAAATAAATCTGTGATCTTTTCATCTTCTCTCTTCAGTTCTTTACAATTTGCGCAATGGTTAGCCCTGTCACTTGACAACGGAGAGCTGTGAAAGCGATTTGCGGCTAATATTAACCAACCTAAAATTTCCATTACAGAACGTAAAGATGAATTGGAACAGATTATGTGATAGAACGGTGGACAGGTCACTGTTATCAGCTCACAGCAGGTACATACTGTGCAGTAGTAATTAGCAAACATTTTGTAGAGAAATGAAAACAATTATTTGCACTCGCAGAAATACTCCCAAAAATAATTTGAGGTCGCACACATTCAATTTCAGTAACATATGAGAAAAGAATTGTTGCAACTTCGAGCCTAGGAAATTAAGTCATTTACCTCATGGCTACTAGATACATTTTCATGTGTAACATGTATTTTGCATTTTAAACTTACCCATGGCCATCATTTGTTCTTTCTGCTGCATCAATTTTAACTTCTCTTCGACAAAATTCATCTACAATTGGAAAACAATTACTCTTCAGAGAAACACCATTTAAAACTGCATATGTCCAGAACTTTACACCAGACAGTTTTTTATTTTATTTTAATGACATATCATGCATGTAATAGCTTGAATGAAGATGGTCTACTCTAGGCAAACAAACATTTAAGCAGACAATAAGACAAACCTCAGTTGGAGAGGCATCATTTGGACGGCGACCTCTCCCTTTCCCTGGTGGACTGAAGGCAAACACTGGGGGCTCGTCCGGGAAGAAGTCGGAGAATTCGTGTTCAGCTAACTTATATTTTACAACAGTAGATGGCTGGAAAGAATAACAGCAACCAGACAGAAAGAAAAAAAAACATTAAAATGAAATAATTAAATCAGGCAAATGGGACAACTGCGGTCCAAAAAAATGACTACATTTTGATTTTACCTTCAGTCTGACGGTACCATTCATTAGTTCGCAGTGCTGTTTAAGAAGAAGCTTCAATCTGTCTCGACTAAAAATGTTCTTCTTACGACTATAGGATGGGAAAAAATTTGCAAGTCATTTTTTGAATGCCTTTACAAACCGAGTAACAAGCAAGAGAAACAAAGAGTTTATTCATTAATCTATCTCTAGTATTTATCTCTAGTGTAACTCACTTAATCTGAGCGGCTTTTGTAACTAATGGTTCACAACCCTCTGGGCTGACAGGTTGAACTCTGTATTTAAATGAAGATGGACTGGTGGGTTTCTTCTTCTTGCTTTAGAAAAAAGGCATAAAAAAGAATTTATTTAAAAAAGAATTCAAGGATACACATATAAAGCATTTAATAGAAAGGCAGTTCTGAACACTGACCCACTAGATGGTGTTTTGGGAGAAGTGACTGTGGGCTCTTCATCACTGTCGCTGATCACAATTGAGTCACCCTCTATGCGATGTTTGACATGGCCGTTGACTGTGCCATTGGAATGGGGAGGTGTAACTTCTAATATTTTGCAGGCTTGCCTGCTGAACACGGAAACATTAAAATCAATTAAACAAATCTGAATGCAAATGTTAAGTCCAAATGAACTGTGAAATTAAGTGTGAACCAAGTGATCTGAAAAAGAACTAGAATGGAAATGGGACACAATATTAGCCTCAGCATGAGAACCAGAATTCTAACTCATAATTAAAGAAAGTTAATAACCTTTAAAGACTGGTTCATAAAAAAAATTATTGTGAAAAATGCTCCATCTCTCCTAAAATAGACATTTATATATTTCCTTCTTTTTTACTATGTGAAAACAGCTGTAAATTATAATTATCCTAAATGTAGAGAACACATCACCACATGCAAAGCAATACAGCATTTTTTTTCAAGATCAGCCACTTTCAATCTAGAATAGATAAACTCCACCAACCACCAATATAGGATTGGGTGTGATCTATTTGTCTGACTGGATGAGACAGCAAGACTCAGCCAGACAGACAGCAGTCTTCCTACTTATCTTCCAAAAAAAAAAATCCCCTTCCACCCCCTGTCTACCAGTGGGGCTCAATTCTGCCACACGTCTGGTTGTCTCTGCAAGCTCTGATGATGTCTGGGGCAACTCCTTGCACCAGTTCATCCAATAGGAAGGATTCTCTTAGCTCCACCCATTCACTTCATTTCATCTCCAAATAGCAAAGTCAGCTCGACATGGCAGACTTCGATCCTTTCCTAAAGGACAGAGCTCCGATACACTTTCCTTTAACAAGCAAGTTTCCATTCAGGATCAGGCTTATAGCGCAGTCTATTTTATTATCTCTGGACTGTTAATTGTGCAGGGTTGGCATGGCATATTTATTTCCCAAGACTTGATAATGTACCTCATACAGAGCTGGCAAAGACATAGAGCTCCAAATATGCTTTGTCCAGAGGAGGCAGGCAAGGGTGGAGACATACTGACATCTGGGTGTTTCTCTTCTGTTACGCCATGGTCTGTTCTAAACAGTACTTTATACAGGGCTATTGTTCATCACCATTCACATACTTTCTTTTCAGCACAATTGTGGCTCATCTGCATAATGGTTGTTTTCTTCCAGTAAAAACAAAACTTTAAAGTCAACTGTTGTCATTCAATTATTTTGCGATTAAAAAGACAGATTTAACCTTTATCAAAATGAGTAAATGGACAAGAGATGGGGGATCTCTATGCCCCTCAGGGTTCTATTCGATTAGGATTCAGAATGCTCCGATGAGATTAAACCATTATTTGATGCATCTTTTTTTTCTCACTATGTGGATTGGAATCTTTAAGACCATGGGAGTCACGATTCAATTCCAAAACGATTCTTCATCTACAATATTATCAATAATGAAAATAATCGACAACGAATTCGATTATCAATTAGTCGTGTCTGAGCGCTATGAATCGTTGAAGAGAGATTTATGATTCAAAGTATCTATTTTTTTAGAACAGTTCTTACTCTAAAATCAGATTTAGTGACTGAATCTCTAGTACCACACAAAAAACATACAGCACAGCCTTGGGCTGGGCGATATAGCAAAAAAATCTTGATTTTTTCAGAAGGATTGAAAAAATTCATATTTTTTTCATTTTTAATGTTTAACTATACAACTTAAGTAACATTCTCTTTATTAACCATCTGGTTCTATTCCAAGTGCACCACACCTGTAGTGATCAACACAGTGCAAATGTAAAACAAACGACTTGCTATTTGTAAAATATCTTTGTATATGTGACCCTTTTGGGTCACAAATAATTGTGCTCATTTTCATTTCTCTACAAAACGTTTGCTAATTACTGCCCACTATGTGCTTGCGGTGAACTGACACATATCTTTGCAGAAAAAAAATGCATAAAAATCTAAGGCAAAAATTGTACAAACTTATTTTAAACATATCTCATATTCTTATAAATAATAATATATGAATTTATATTATATATATACATATTTCTAATATATACATATATATATATATATAAAAAGCTAAATATTTCTTAGCCAAAAAGTAGTCGCAATTAAGAACACCAGTAATAGGCTATTTTTAACAGTAGATGCTTTTTAAAATCAGAAAATAACAGCACCTTTCAGTCTGTCACCATAATGCAAACATGAAATATTAAACTTAAGCGATTCCTTAAACAGAGATTCCGGAAAATACACGGATAATGTGACCCGGCATTTGTCTGGGGATTGTTTGATTTCGGTTCATTCACACTGCCAGTGATTTGCCGGGATCTGCGAGTGAGTTCACACACAACCCGTAAATATCCCAGGAAAGACACATGACGTCAGGATGAGACATGTGACGTACGCGTCAAAACATGTACAAGCGCATACCGTTCCACAAAGCTGGTGAACGATCTCCGCTATAGCGCGGATAGTGAGGTGCTCCTGGTTTTGTCCAGGATTTGTTCGTCCTTTCTTTGTTGATGACGAACACAAACTTTCTTCAAAGAGCAACAGTGTCGCGCAATGGCACGAGCGTCATCACTATGACACACCCCTTACGGCGTTTGTCCTGGCTTTTGTTCACACAGCGCGCGTTCCAGGACTGATTCCAGCAATGTTACTAGGTCCCCAACCCGGCATCGATGCCGGTATCAATCCTGGGCAATCCTCTAGCAATTTCCCGGGATCAATGCGCTGTGTGAAAGGGGCTATACAATAATTCTTCACAGGTTTTGCATTCCATTGCTCTATTTTTCCAATTGTTTTTATGTTTGGCAGCTCCTATTGTTTTATGTTTTTATGTTGAGGAGTTATGAGTAACAACAATATCTCACCTGGTACCAGAGCGATTGACAACATCCACTATCTCTCCGGGAAAGAAGCGGTCTTTGACATAGGCGTACACATCATCACATATCTCATGCAGGCGTGAGCGGTGCGTAAGTGCTGTCAGGTGCAGGAGGGGGATGACCAGGGCATCGGGGAAGTTCTGAAGATTGAGTCTGGCTTTCCTCTCGCTGTCCAGAGCCTCTTGATAGGTCAGGCCAGTCTTCCCCGTCACCGCACAGCTCCACACCAGGCTGTTACACAGAATGGTCCTCTCAAAGAATTCACTGTTAAAACAAAATCACAATGCGTAATGTTGTTATTAACTAACCAAACACCTTTACTGATCACAAAGATGAACATATTGCTCACAACTGACTAATCAACTTGACAAAAAGTTCATGTTTTGTGGACAACAAAAACACAGAGTGGAGAAATTTACCCAAATACATCTACTTGTTGACCATTACATCATCAAAAAAACTGTCTTTAGTAATAACAGCAAATAGACTGTTCTGTTGTCATCAAAATGAGGCAATAATTTCAGCGTAGTTAACACAATGAACAAATTAAACAACTTCCCATATCATTGTTATGACGTAGAATGTAAATGACAAAAAATAAAAAATAAAGCTTTCTGAACATTGCAAAGGTGCAAAACTATCTCTCCTGATTCTCAGTGTATCTAAAACACACTGTATAAATTGTATTCACTTGTACGTTTTATTAGGCTACTTACAATGGGCACAATGCAAATCTTTTGATTTATTTCTAAACAGTTAGAAGTCAAAACTTATTGATGGTTATTTATAGTCATACAACACACTGTCAAGCTCTAACACAATATTTTATACCATTCGAACTCAGGTGAGAAATGTGTATCTTAACAATTAGACAGAAACTCATGAATATACCATTTTAATAAATATTTTGTATTTCAAAATAACTGCACAAATAACAATAATTAACAAAACATTTTTTTTTTTTAAATCAGCATCAGTTATTGGACAGTTGGTCTTATAAAAACCTAAATATGCCAATCTTGCCTTGGGATTTATGTCCAAGTAACAGTTATTTAACTAATAGACACGATTATAGACATAACTCAGTAAACAGACCTAATGATAGTTAATTCTAAATGATAATCCGCATCCTAACTTAACTCCTCAATCAACCCCACATGAAAACTGATCAAGACGAATGACAACCTTCCAAGAGCTGTTGACAGATGACATTTTTGTCTGCTTCAAGACCAAAACTAAAGACCAGTCCAAATAGTTGGTCATCCTAATATCTCCCATTCCAGCCTCATAAAAGGTCAGACAACAAATGACACCAACAATAATAATGGGAAAGCAGTAAAACTACTGCCTCCAATGGCTAAATACACCAACAATAGCAGCGACCACGTTTCAAGCAACAACATCCTGTGTGTGGATGAGAACTGTCCCATCCCCGCGAACAACCCCAAAAACACCCGACAAGGGGGTTCCCGGGGACATCCCACCCGCGATATTATACTATGTTAGCCTTTAAAACAAATCGAGAAATAGGCTTAAGAAATATTTCCCTCAATCTACTCTACATATCGTGGTTTAGTTGGCTAAACTAAGCTAACTAACTAGCAACCAACTCTGTTAGCGAAGGCCTCCAACTGACACCTGCCGGGTGTATCAAGGGGGAAAACTGAACTCTTTATAAATACAAGGTCATTTCACACCAGGGGTGGTGGGTTATAGGTAAAGCTGGTTTAAAGTAACATAATATGATGGAATCTAGTTATTTTATTTATGAAAAATAAAACTTTAAAGCGGGCTGTCACTTCTGTTTGTTTCTGGAGCTTCTGTTGTTGGCTGACATTAAGGGGAAGTTGAAATGTTAAACAGGAAAACAAAAAAAATATCTTACTCATAAGTCCTGAAGATTTCGTGTGTGACTTTACAGAGGAAGACTTCTTCATCGGGTCTGAGATCAGCGGGCGGTTTCTGCCTCACGAAAGGCTTTTTGTGGAGAAGCGGCATCTTTTTCTTTCTCTTTCTCGGAGACTTTCAAAAACAACAAACACAAAAAGACAATCAGAAAGTGAGATGATGTCAAATTAATGAGAATCCATTAAAGATCGGACTTTGAAATTTGTCGAAATTGGTTGAAATAAAACCGTTAGGATTTCAAATGTTAAAAAAAAAAACGATATCTTCTTCAGTCTTTGTTAATGACACGCGCTTCCCGGGTGACGTTCAAAATCCAGCCCACATGTTTTACCGTTTTATTCAACCCGAATATAGAGCACACGCTTGGTTACTATATATCAAACGAGTCTGATACATAGACGACTAAAGATAATATTTACCAAATCTATGATGTAAAAAGGAATAATCGGCTCCGGAAGGGAAAGAAAAACACAAAAGTATGAGAGTATGTCCCACTTCTCCGAGCGGGGATATTAAGCGTGTTGACGACAAGTTTTGATCCGCTCTAGTTCACTTACCCACCGGTTAGTGCTGTGGGCGGGACTTCCACGACAATTCTGTCATTGCATTGGGCGTTTTGAGTGCCAATCACGCCTCCACATCCAATAGTAGGAGGCGAATGTGGAAATAGTAGGGGGTTTTTTTTCTACCACTGAAGCTTCATGAATCTTGAAAGACATTTTAGGTTCATATATAAAATATACATTAGAAATAAACATATAATTGTAGCACTATATTTGTGACAAATTTCCCCCCCAAAAAAGCCAAGCTTGAGAGATGATTATAATATTTTCTGTGAACAAATGTACATATGTACAAAGTACAATCTAAAGATTGCTAAGTTTTTAATTTCTTCATCATACCCCCATGAAATAAATGCATGTCATTGTTTATTCGTGTCTATTAGACTTTATTTAAGCCTATTGACACTTAAAACATCTCTTCTGTGAATATATACATACATTATATATAAGAAGCTCTATTTGGGAGACTGTGGGGGCCATTTTAGTACAGTAAACTCATTGTCATGTTCAAGTAACCAATTTGAAATGATTCAAGCTTTGTGACATGGTGCATTATCTTGCTGGAAGTAGCCATCAGAGGATGGGTATATGGTGGCAATAAAGGGATGGACATGGTCAGAAACAATGCTCAGTAGATCGTGGCCTTTAAACGATGCCCAATTGACACTAAGGGACCTAAAGTGTGCCAAGAAAACATCCCCCTCACCATTACACCACCACCACCAGCCTGCACAGTGGTAACAAGGCATGATGGATCCATGTTCTCATTCTGTTTACACCAAATTCTGACTCTACCATCTGAATGTCTCAACAGAAATCGAGACTCATCAGACCAGGCAACATTTTTCCAGTCTTTAACTGTCCAATTTTGGTGAGCTCTTGCAAATTGTAGCCTCTTTTTCCTATTTGTAGTGGAGATGAGTGGTATCCGATGGGGTCTTCTGCTGTTGCAGCCCATCCGCCTCAATGTTGTGGCTTCACAAATGCTTTGCTGCATACCTCGGTTGTAACGAGTGGTTATTTCAGTCAAAGTTGCTCTTCTATCAGCTTGAATCAGTCGGCCCATTCTCCTCTGACCTCTAGCATCAACAAGGCATTTTCGCCCACAGGACTGCCGCATACTGGATGTTTTTCCCTTTTCACACCATTCTTTGTAAACCCTAGAAATGGTTGTTTGTGAAAATCCCAGTAACTGACTGGCCCGTCTGACACCAACAACCATGCCACGCTCAAAATTGCTTAAATCACCTTTCTCTGCATTCTGACATTCAGTTTGGAGTTCAGAAGATTGTCTTGACCAGGACCACACCCCTAAATGCATTGAAACAACTGCCATGTGATTGGTTGATTAGATAATTGCATTAATGAGAGATTGAACAGGTGTTCCTAATAATCCTTTAGGTGAATATATATATATATATATATATATATATATATATATATATATATATATATATATATATATATATATATATATATAATATGTACACACACGCACCACACACACAATTCTGCTAGCGAAAGAAAAAAAAAAAACACCCCCTACTTCCTGCTTCATCAGAAAGAGTGTTACACAGAAATGCAACCAAACCAAGGAAGAGGGCACATATAGGAATAGATATTTATTATCACTAAGGACTCCTTTAAAATGCAGCAGTGCCAACATAACATTACATAAATAGATTATTTGAGCTAGTTACATAAACAGACAGTTTGAAGTATAACTTAAAAAAGTTGACAAATTAAAGTTAACCTAAAACAGCATGTTGTATGTTAAATTAAATCTATCCTGTTAAAGACCTCACTGAGGATAATCATATTCATTGTTCCACTGCATCTGCTCTCTCTCCTAAATGTCAACGTACTATATAAAGATGGATTTGCTTGAGAGAATCTGGATCTGTGTCATCTTTTAGATAAACAGTGTAATCAAGTTGTACTTCCTCTATCCATTGGCTGAGTGCTAATGTCTCTAGGAACTGGGAAAAAAACAAAAACAACTTAGAATTTGTTACATCAAATCTTGATAAAAGGCTGGTGTATTGAATTATACTGCCAATCACAATTAGGAGACAAATACAGTAATAATAGAGACAGAGCAAAGCTTCTTACAACAGCATCCTGAAGTAAATCAAGTGCTTCTTGAATGCTGGGTACAGTTACTAACAGTGCACCTTTCTTTCGGAAATTTTTATTAATAAACAGCCAAGCTCTGAAAAAGAAAATGGATAATTTTAGTGTAAACCTTAAGACACAATTACTATACTATACTATACATAATTATTCAATACTATACATAAGTCGATATTCTGATTATATTCTTGTCCAAGTACATTTTACCAATTCCAAACCACATCAATCTTAATAACTAGACTATTAATTATAAGTGATTTATAATTGTTAAGAGGCATATCTAGTCCAAAGCACATGCAATTTCTATAGTATTGCATTATATATATATTTCTATTGACTTGCATAATAATTATGCATGCACAATATATAATTTGTTTATTATAAAAAAAAATTGTATGCATTATTTCAATAAGATCTCTGCATGTTCTTACTGCAAGTACAATCATGATTTGGCACCTACTGGATTTGATCACTTGGTTCCATGAAGAATTCAAAAACATTGTTCATGATCAAAACATCTGTATTTTGCACTAAGGCAGCCTGAGAGCGGATATCTGCATGAATCACCTATGTAGGGCACATTGAACATCTCTATTAACATACTATCCAGATAAAACAATGGTCATCAAAAAAAAGAAGAAAAAAAAAGGTATGATCAATTACCTGAATTCTGTCACTGAAGCCATATTTCTGTACAGCCATAGTTTGAAGCTTGACAAACTCTGAACTTATTTCAACCCCAATAAGCTGAGATGCTGCACTGTAAAGGTAGCCCTGAGAAGAGAAAAAAATCAGAGGCAATAATATAGATGTGTCATCAGAGTCAGACCATGTTTTAGAAAGAAAGATAAAAGCTGGTGTAGCCTTGTGGATACAGACAGATCTGGGCGGGCACGTAAAATGTTGCCGATTTAAACCCAGAAGGGAAAGACACTTAACCCCTGGTTGCCCCAGGGCGACAATTACTGTTTCAAGTATACTATAAGCATCAGTTAATTCACAATTGATAATGAGTTTAAGTGTGCTTAAACAAACATCATCAGCAATTTACCCCAAATAGCACAGCTCCTAATCTAGATCCCACATCCACCACCAGTTTTCCTGTGAGGTCTGGAAGAACGTTGCGGAATAGGAACTGGAGCTCCGGGATCGAGAATGAATGTGAGATGAACTCTTTGAAAAATTATTAATTGCATATTATGATGTTACTTTTTATTGCATGAGTTTATGTACACAAGTATCCATGCAAACACTTACCCAACGGTGCTGTTCTGTGCGATCCACAGTTGAGGCAGTAGTTGCGACTCATTTTTCCCTCTTCACACAATGAATCTACAGTTTCCTCATCATATAAGAATGCATCTACATGCATAGTGGGATGAGGTTTCTGTTGAGTCTAAAAGTTAAAGTGTGCTTTAGGATCTAACAATGAAATGTAGTTGTGAATCCCAGAGCACAATGCTAAAAATCTAAAACACGAACCTTCTGAATAGCCATGGTCTCAGAGGGAGCCATAGCCTCTAGTGGAAGGCAAGTCCTTAGGTCCTCTGCAATACTTTGAAGAATAACACTTTGGTTATCCACCAGGAAATCATCCAGATCACCTAAAAATGTAGATTAAAAACTGTTATAGACAGAATAATATAATGGTAAACATTTTAACTAATAGATAACACTATATTCTTACCATACTATATACTTAGTATACTTAGGTTGCATTAACCATTGCAAAATTGTTAATGTAAGTAAGAAATAGTATGTGGAAATAAGCAAATTTGCACAAATTTACAGAAAAGAAGCCGGGATCAAAACTTGGGAACATCATTAGGAATATAATGTTATTTAAAAAAGCCCATAAAAGATATTGTTATTGAAAGATAGGCCTATGCATTGTAATTAATAAAGCATGAATAAAACAAACATAAAGCATGGTAAAATAAACACTTATGTGTATGTTGGACGTTTTCTTACCGCCTAACGTTAAATGATTACAAGTTATAGGATGAAAAATACCCAAAATCTCAAAATTGACTAGTCCATGAAAAAACACTTATTTTCCTAAAGTTGTTGTTTTTTTTGTTTTTTTTTTTGCATTAAGTCTAATAAGAACATGCTTACATCGTGCACATGTTCTAACGTTAATCTGTAGCGAACAAGACAATAACAAAAGTTCCTGATTTTACCAGATGTTTTTAACCATTCTAAAAGTTTTGGAAGATGTTGCCTCTCCGTCTTTGAAAACACCTGCAGAATTTCATTCTTTGCATCGTTAAATTGCATTTATTCAAGCTCTTGATACTTATTTTACGCCTCTCACAAACTAGATTGCCAGCATGGGCCGATACTACTGAGCAACACGTATGAGCCTGCGGTAGTAGAATCAGTGAGAAGAGTCTTGTTTAAGGTAACGTTAGAACTTCACATTTTTGTGAACATCAACCTGATATTATAAAATATTCCTGGCGATAATTCCATTTGTAATTTAAAATTTCATTCATTAGATTTGAATGACTTTTAAATGTAAACATTTTTACCATTTTGTTTTACGTTGGAATCAATTTTATCTACTGCTGTGCCACCTTAAGAAAAGCTTCCATAATTTTGCCTCATGACCAACATCTCTATTTAAAAAAGAAACAATAATAGTATAAACGCATATTCTAATTTATATAAAAAGAGATAATACTATTATACGCAAGTTAAGTGAAGGAAACCGAATCTAAACTATAAATAATATTTTTTTTTGTTTTCAAATAAAAAAGGCAAACTTTTGTTTTACAAACGGAAGTAAAGTCACGTCACGGGAAGTTGGGGTTAGATGACGTTTGTAGTCGCTTTTCCACTCGCCGAAAAACAGCTGCTGCGAGTTTATGTAAGTAATGTTTAATCGAAATATATCTCTATATCTTAATATTTCGGGCGTCGAACTTTTTAAACTGACACGGGGTTGAGTTAAACATGAATTAAATCCTGTATTTAAGTAAATCGACAACGGCTGTGCGGGTTACAGCGGCTGTCTGGCCTCTTTTCAGCATAGAGCTTTTAGTCAGTCTTAACAGACATTCAAGTATATAATATAAAACTATGATGATTTCATAACAGTTTAAATACTAATGTGTGTGCCAACATTTGTGTTTTGATGTAATTTTGATACATGGCTTAAATATGCCAGATTCATCCATATCGTACAGTCCCTGGCTCGTAATAATGAATATTCAAATATAAAACTATGTTGATTTCATAAATACTCATGTGTGTGTGTGTGTGTGTGTGTGTCATTAGTGTTTTGATGCAGTCCAGATACATGGCGTAAAATGTACATGGCCAAATCGTACAGCGCATAGCTGGTAATAACATAACAGCTCGTCCATTTTTATTTGACGTTTTCATTTGTGTTTGCCTAATGCCTAGAGAGGTTGAAAACATCATTGCGCTGGTTCCACTGAAGTCTTGAGGTTCAGAGTGAGCGGTGACAGGAGGGTTGTTTTGGGGGAAACCCCCACAACATTGGAAAGTCTCATTCTCATAACAAGTAAGGAAGTAGACATTAGATCCATCACAATTATAATGCCTTTACTCAAGTCCTACTCAATGGCTTTGTGACTGAAAGCTGGTCATCTGTTAAATCTCTTTCTTTATTTTAATCTGATGCAGGTTGGCAGCTCTTTAACCGCAAACATGGTTTTAGCTGATCTCGGGAGGAAAATAACCTCAGCTTTGAGGTCTCTGAGCAATGCCACCATTATCAATGAGGAGGTACAGTGAACATAATGCAATTTGGGCTTGTTAAGCATTGTCGTCCATCATTAAATGCTAACTATTTTACAATTTTCCTTAGGTATTAAATGCTATGCTCAAGGAAGTCTGTGCTGCCCTGCTGGAGGCTGATGTGAATATCAAGTTGGTAAAGCAGCTTCGAGAAAATGTCAAGTATGTAACAAGAGTTTTGATCTTTTTATGGTAAATTCCCTTTTGTAGAATGTGTCTGTTCTCTCTATAACCACTCTATAATTTCAGGGCAGCCATTGACCTGGAGGAGATGGCCTCTGGGCTGAACAAGAGAAGAATGATCCAGCATGCTGTTTTCAAGGAACTTGTCAAGGTAAGTAATTGTTTCCTGTTCGAGGAGACTCTGATCTCCTGATCAGGAGATCTCTATTTTGTCATGGAGGAGAGAAATAATATTAAACCAAATTGAATTGACTGATAGGTGATAGGAGTGTATTGTAGAAGATGAATACTGAGTGCTTTTATTGCAGCTGGTGGATCCTGGAGTCAAAGCCTGGACTCCCACAAAGGGAAAGAACAACGTTATCATGTTTGTGGGTCTGCAGGGCAGTGGGAAAACCACAACATGTTCAAAGGTGAGCAGTTCTTGGGTGTTTGCCCAGATTTTTAAAGCTTTTTAGACATTTTAGATTATACACCTCTTTTTATACAGCTAATCACAGAAGCAAGAATCTTTTTTTCTTTTTATTAGTTGGCATACTACTTCCAAAGAAAAGGATGGAAAACATGTTTGATTTGCGCCGACACATTCAGAGCAGGTAAAATCTTTACTCTCTTTACATGTTTGCACATTAATACGTTCTGTAAAAAGTTAAATTTTCTTGTTTGTTTTTAAAGGTGCCTTCGACCAACTCAAGCAAAATGCAACGAAAGCCAGAATACCCTTTTATGGGAGGTAATAAAAGCATTATTCCCCATATCATTTCCTGTCACATTTGCAATTGTTCACCAAAACCTAATTATTGATTCCTGTTGGTGTGACTTAATAGTTACACAGAAATGGATCCAGTGGTCATAGCTGCAGAGGGTGTGGAAAAATTCAAGACAGAAAACTTTGAAATAATCATTGTGGACACTAGTGGTAGACATAAACAGGAGGACTCACTTTTTGAGGAAATGCTTCAGGTGTCGAATGCTGTGGTAAGTGAACATTTGATCAAATAAATCTATAAAGATGGCAAAATATAAATGATACAATAATATGGCTTGATGCTTTGTGGTGGTTATTCTCTGTTCCCACAGCAACCTGACAACATAGTGTATGTGATGGATGCCTCCATTGGTCAGGCTTGTGAGGCTCAGGCTAAGGCCTTCAAAGACAAAGTCGATGTGGCTTCTGTTATTGTCACCAAACTGGACGGCCATGCCAAGGGTGGTGGTGCACTCAGTGCGTAAGTACACACTTTATGATTTGTATTTTCAGCACTTAAGTAAATTAAATACATTAAAGAGTTTACAGACAATTTATGTTTACAGTGTGGCGGCCACAAAGAGTCCCATCATTTTTATCGGCACAGGCGAGCACATTGACGACTTCGAACCTTTCAAGACTCAGCCCTTCATAAGCAAACTGCTCGGTAAGGTTTGGAAATACTGTTGAGCTTCCGTTAAAACATTTAGATTAAAGCTTTAAATGCACAAACATCTGATTGTCATTTGAACTGCTATTTATGTTGCAATTCTTATTTTTCCTCTAGGTATGGGAGATATTGAGGGACTGATTGACAAAGTGAACGAACTAAAGCTTGATGACAACGAGGAGCTAATTGACAAACTGAAACATGGTAACTATAACATTGTTTCTATAAGAATGCTTTTTTTGGGTCGATAATTTAGACACTAGATATTTTCCAGTGTGTTTTTCACTAACATATGTGACATTTCTCTCTCTTAGGTCAGTTTACACTCAGGGACATGTATGAACAGTTTCAGAACATCATGAAGATGGGACCTTTTGGTCAGATCATGGTAATGCCAACCTCAACTGAAAGGATGTCTTATTATGATTTACCACAGAGTAGTTCTTTTCTCACAATTTCTGATTTTCTTTGTTTAGGGCATGATCCCAGGCTTTGGAACAGATTTCATGAGCAAAGGAAATGAGCAGGAGTCAATGGCCAGACTAAAGAAACTCATGACAATAATGGATAGCATGAATGACCAGGGTATGTGCTTTTTAATACTGTCTTATAACTTGTATATAAAAAGAGCATTGACTAGCCTAAATAGAGCGCTTCAGGCGTGACGTCAAACCCCTGAAGATTAATTCGTCAGGGGTTACCTCAAGATTTTCCATGGGGTTTTATAATGGGTTTTTATTATTATTATTTTCAGTTTAAGTAAAATAAGGTCTGTGTTAAACATCTAGATGATTCTTAAGCCCAAAGTATACTCTTCTTTGTACTCGCAGGTTGCACATACGCTTGAATTTGCATTAATCAGTTGTTCCACAAGGTGGCAACACTGGCCCAGGATGTTGTTTCACAGTTGAAAACTAAAGAGACAGAACAACAACAAAATACCTGAGACTGCAACAACAACAACAAACGACCGCATTGATAAGCGCTTGTGTAAAGGGGGTTATGAGAGAGCAGCAACTTCAAGTTTTTTATCGGTCATATTATATTCTGGAGAAAAATAGTGCAGTCACTGGATCAAGATGAATTTTCTAGTGGCTCATTAGTCGACTTGTCGACTGCCATCGCTCACACAAGCGCATTAAATGGAGTATACTTTGAAAGGCTATGCGTTTAATGACAAAAACGAAGCATACTTTGGGCTTTATAATTTTGGTTCCACAACGTAAACTGGACACACTCACACCCCAAATGTTCTTATCTAGCTACTTATCAGAAACATGTGTTTTAAATAAACATTACAGCTTTAAAATTCATGTTTTCAATATGTGTGCACGTAATTTACATTGTAGAAAAAAACATCAGAGTATTAAGTTGTTTACCACAGACCTTGTTTTACTATATATATTGAAAAAAACATTAAAAAAAAAACAGGAAAATCTTGCAGAAAGCGCTGGCTAATTGACCCTTCGCTAGGCCATGCCCGAAAACTGCCACTGGCCAATCATGTCTTAGCAACCGTAACCAGGCACGGGAGGTCTGGCAAGTTTTCGTGCGAGGGAAACATGCCAAAGTATTGTGTGTGGAATTTGAAATCTGATACGCGGCGGCGGTATCCTCAAAGTTTGGATGGAAGAGTGAATTCCCCCCCAAAAATGAGTAATTTTCTCCTTGGGAATGTCTGACACACTAAAATAGACGTGCCAGGCATGCAAGCTTGACAGGCGTAGCAACAGTAACTAGAGAGGGCGGGGTTTAGCTAAGGGTCAATTAGTCTTTTGGTTTTTGACGTTGGCTGCAGCACTCTATTGGAATTTTTTAGGCATAGTTCTGAACTTGACCGGTTCAGTTAACATATTGTGGTTTTTCAACTCAGAACTCGACAACAAGGATGGTGCCAAGCTATTCAGTAAACAGCCCAACCGCATCCAGCGAGTGGCCCGGGGATCAGGAGTGGCTACCAGGGATGTTCAAGAGTTGCTCACCCAGTACACAAAGTTTGCGCAGATGGTCAAGAAGATGGGAGGCATCAAAGGCTTGTTTAAAGGTTGAGTGATTTGCCTCCAATATTTGTGAACTAACCAAACGTGATGCATTCAACAAAAATCAGTGACTCACTGTATCATTGTTTTGAAGGAGGGGACATGAGCAAGAACGTCAACCCGTCACAGATGGCGAAACTGAACCAGCAGATGGCTAAAATGATGGATCCCAGAGTGCTTCATCACATGGGTATGAGCTCCCTTAAAACCATAACATGCTTTAGTTTTTGCTTCACCATTGATTTACCTTTTCTACAGATGGGAAAGTTGTTGCATGCAAGAGCCTTCTTAAAATGAGCTAAGCAGTGAATTGCTATCGCACTTTTTTTTTAATGACACGTCATCATGAGATATGTAAGGTTTTTTGAATATTGATTATGGTTGTAAAAGCTTTACTTCAAGACGGCTGTCTTTGTTTATTTGCAAGGTGGCATGGCTGGACTGCAGTCCATGATGAGGCAGTTTCAGCAGGGAGCTGCTGGCAACATGAAAGGCATGATGGGATTTAACAACATGTGAACCTCTGATCCGGCAAACAGAAGATGCATATGACGGTTTTAGCAAATAAAACCTGGGCAGATGAAGATGGTTTGATTTGTCTTGCCACATATAATTTAATTCTTTAAAAGGTGTAAAACATTTAACAAAGACTCATTTAAATGTAAAGCCGAGTGTTTCTGGAGCAGAAAAATGGGGACTGTTAGAAGAAAATTTGCTTCCTGAGATCATGTCCAGGGATTGTTTAAAATGTCTTGTGATGTCAGAGAGTGTTCATCTTGGCAAATATACACACAGGCATCTGAGTGCTTCACAAAATTGTCAACAAAATTGACATCTGACCTTAAATATCAGAGCTGGATTACAGGTAAAGCCGTAAAGGTTATATGATTATACAGTAATTGCTATGACCATATTCATAGCATAATATATTCGCGAGTAGAAATCATGGTTTATTGTATAATTGACTATTTCTGATTTCTTGGTTTGCCATAGAAAAGCTTTGGCTTTGTATCAGAGATGAATACAATAGTTGCAAAAAAGTGTGGCAATATTTTTGTCATAATGTTATAATAAAATTTATATGGCAACATTTTAACAGCAGTTGTCTTATTGTCCTCTTTGATTCTGTTGAAATGTCATCAAATATTTAACTTGTGTGTGTTTTTTTTTTTTTAACAGACTGACCATAGTACTTGCACTGTTTATGTACATTTGAAATCCAGACAAAGCAACAGCTTGATCAATTTGCACAGAGATTAGTTGGTAATATTTGTGGTGTATCTGTGGTTACATGATTGTAATTGCCTAAAAGTAAATTACAAAAATGCTTTCAAATTGTACATCTTTGAAGTGAATGGAAATTGGGCACATATTAAGTTTTGTATTGTTTTTAATGAAAAAATCAAGGAAACTGCAATTAATGATAATGATGCATCATGAAACATACATAAAATATTTGTAAAAAAAATATCTATTGCTTTAATACTTAAATTATATTTATTACAATTTAGTACATTTATTGATCCAAGTAATTCCATGTGGGAAACTGATTTGCTTCTAATATAATGTCTATACAATATTTTCATATCGAAGAATTTACAAAATCAAAAATACAATGTCATTGCATGAAAATAAGGGTCATCATAAAACATGGATAAATGAGTGTTTAAACATAAAAAATGTATAAAATACATCACTACTTTACTATAAACACAAATTTAATAGTTTAATTTAAGTTAAAAAAAAATCTAAAAAATAAAATAAAAATTGAGAAACTGAAAATGATACAGTTTCTCAAAAAATAAAATGTTTAATATAACTCTTGAAATGTATCATTTGCCCAAGTCTCGGGCTCTTGACGTGGCACCGACTCCATGTTGAGTTGCTACGTCATCATCAGCTCGAGAGCTCGCTTGCGCCCGTGAGCGCGCCGCTATCTGTCACTGACTGACTGAGAGTCTCCGAAGAGACACAAAACCAAGGCTTCAGGTATGTTATAACACACCTTTCCCTTTACAACTAGATGCTCATTTAAATTACGTTAATGATTCGATCAATGTTTACGATTGTAGAGCGTTAGGTTGACAGTAGCTCAAGAAATCTAAGGTTTAAAGGGCATTTAGCTTGAAGTCAGTGTTGAATGGAAGCATCGTATCTGTTAGCTACATCAACAAGGAGGCAGGCATTCACAGGGGATTCTTACCTGAAATGTTTGATCAGGTCGTTATGAAGTAGTGGTAGCACTCAAGTTGTTTTCTTGTTGGTGTAAGATGAGTATTATTTCCTAAGCTATCGAACTAGCTTTCTCTGTGGCTAATTTTGGAGGGGTGGGCTGATGCCCCCAGTGGATCCATGTAACGTTAGTTCAAGTAAACTAAACTTATTCAACAAAGTAGGATGTGTCTGTGTAGCTGACTATATAGTCATAGTTTTATGTCTTTCCTTGCGAGAAATAAATAATCCTACATTTGCTATTAGCCTTGTAATGTTAGCATAGTCTCTGATTTGAAAACTGCAGCTTGTTGCATTTATTTATCCTGTACCCTATTATTTCCCCAAAAGTGTTTTAATTTGCACACTTGGCTGTCTCGAATGTTCTCTCTCATTGGTCTGTTCTTCTCAGCTGCACATGTGGCTTTTTTCTTTTCCTTTTTTTTTGGGTGCTCGGTAGTCAGGGGTTGGTCTGTGAAGGCAGGGGTTTCAAACTAGGGTCTGGGGTCAGTGTTAAGAAAATTTTACATTAACACACACACACAGAGTACCTTTCAGTTTCAAAAGTTTGGAAACATTACTATTTTTAATGTTTTTGAAAGAAGTCTCTAATGCTCACCAAGGCTGCATATTTGATTAAAAATACTGAAAAAAATGTAATACTCTGCAATATTTTTATAATTTATAATAACTTTTCTGTTTGAATATATTTTCGAATGTAATTTATTCATGTGCTAAGTTTTCAGCATCATTACTCTAGTCTTCAGTGTCACACAGGATCCTTCAGAAATCATTCTACTTATTTATTATCAATGTTGGAAACTTTTTTTTTTTTTAGGATTCTTTGATGAATAAAAAGTTTAACGAGGACAGCATTTATTTAAAATAGAAACATTTTTGCATTTTTTTCCCCCTTTACCATTCAAATGGTTGTGGGCAGCAATTTTTTTTTAATTGTTAAATTGATAAAAGGTTATAGTAAAGATTTATATTGATAGATAATAATTCTGTTTCGAATAAATGCTGTTCTTTTGAACTTTTTATCATGGGTTCCAAACCTGTAATAATAGCTGCAATTTAATAATAACGGAGTATCAAATCATCAGAATGATTTCTGAAGGATCATATGAAAATTCAGCTTTGCATCACAGAATTTTTTTTTTTTTAAAGTACGGTTATAGAAAATCATTATTTTAAATTGTAATAATATTTCACAATATTACTATTTTTTTTAATCAATTAAATGCAGGCTTGATGAGCATAAGACACAAAAAATTATAATGTTTCAAACTTTTGCCCAGTGTACTGAAATTCTATCTTTATATATAGCTACCTTTATATTTTAAGACAGGGGTTTCTCACAAAGGGTATCATATGTTGATGACCTTGGCTTCAAAAAGTTTGAAAACCACCTAGTAGGCAGCATTTTTGTGCATCAAAGTCACAGTCAGACATAAAGATATAGGGTGTTACTCAAACCCTATTGAGATGCCTACCTAGATGGCATTTGTCATCATATGTTTCTGAGCAGAACTTTTATCTCTTATCTCATTCCAGATTTTAATGATGTATGATGAGACATTATAGTTTGCCCTATGTCCAAAGAGTAATGATGAATCAGACTGGGCTGGCCTGTCTCTGTAATATACACACACAGATCAGATTGCATGTCTTATTTGAATACATAACATCACTGGGTAAATGTCTATGTCTGTAGTGACATTTAGTTTCACTACTTGATCTTTTAGTTGTTCCTCAACTAAGATACATGGAAATCACTTCAGTAGTGCTCCATCTTCTGTAAAGTGTGTATAACTTCTTGTAGATTCCAGAGGGTGCTATGGCGACCTTCCAGGAGTTCATCCAGCAGAACGAGGACCGCGACGGCGTCCGTTTCAGTTGGAACGTTTGGCCGTCCAGTCGTCTGGAAGCCACGCGTATGGTGGTTCCAGTGGCCTCCCTGTTCACCCCGTTGAAAGAGCGACCGGATCTTCCCCCGATTCAGTACGAGCCGGTTCTGTGCAGCCGGGCCACGTGCCGGGCTGTGCTCAATCCTCTGTGGTAAGTCTTGTTAAGTCTGAGCAGACAACATAATGAGTTCACAGATGGAGGATCTTCTACTTATCCATTGCCGTAATTTCCAAATAAACACATTTATTATGAAAGCTGGATACATTATATGCGACGCTCTAATATTATTATGCTTCTGTTTTGTTTTTGTTTTTTCTTTTTTCATTGTTTACACAATCAGTCAAGTGGATTACAGAGCAAAACTCTGGGCATGCAACTTCTGTTATCAGAGAAATCAGGTAAAGTCTTTGCAGTTTTAAAATGAGTAGGGCTGAAGCTCACAAATTAACTCTAAAATGATTAATTATTTATAATAATAATGATAAATGCATCCATTATTTACAAAATTATTATTCCACATCCTGCCCAATGTTGTCTTCAAAATGTGCAATTTGAACGTAATGTAAGCAAATTTAGTGAATGTAATTACATGACTAATCAATAATCAAATTGTTTCTTGATTATTTTCATTATTGTTTTTTTTTTATTAGTTGTTAAAGCCCTGGAAAAGTGCATTGCCATTTAATTATTGGCTTAAACAATTTTCTGTCATAGTTCCCTCCAACTTACGCTGGGATATCAGAGGTCAACCAACCTGCTGAGCTTCTCCCACAGTTCTCCACTATTGAATATGTTGTCCAGGTATCACCTTTAATTAATTCCCTTTCATTGCCATAGAAATACTTTACACTAGAAGTGGATCCATGAATAACTGCTGATTCTGTTTCTTTTCTGTAGCGTGGTGTGCAGATGCCTCTGAACTTCCTGTATGTGGTGGACACATGTATGGAAGATGATGATCTGCAGGCGCTGAAGGAGTCTCTTCAGATGTCCCTCAGTCTGCTGCCTCCCTCTGCTCTGGTGGGCCTCATCACGTTTGGACGCATGGTCCAAGTTCACGAGCTGGGCTGTGAAGGCATCTCTAAAAGCTACGTCTTCAGGGGAACCAAAGACCTCAGTGCTAAACAGCTCCAGGTGAAGATCACATGCATGAGAAACTAATTTAAGATACAAGTGTTTGACTGAACTAGTCGGCATAAGTGTCTCTTAATATGCAATATTTTAATTTCATGTTCAGGAGATGCTTGGCTTGACTAAACCAGCTGCGGCGCAGGCAGGCCGAGGTCCACAACAGCCTCAGGTTCCTCCTTCAAACAGGTGTGCTAAATTCAATAGATGAATAATTACTTTCAATAATCAAATTGAAGCTTGCAAGAACCTTGTTGACTATTCACAGGGCAGCTTCTGTTTTCTTCTATATATTTAAAGGGGTCATGACATGAAAAATCAAATTTTGCCTTGATCTATTGAAAAAATGAGAGGTCTTTGTACCATTAAAGCATCCTACAAGTTTCATAGCTTAAAACGTCCTCCTCATAAACAAAGCATTTATTTAATCAAGCTCCAAAAACGTGTCGTTTTGATATTGTGGGATCTGTGATGTCACACGGGCATATAGATTTGCATATGACTGCCTCCAGAGCAAGGCGTTGACGAATAGTTTTACATCATCACACTATAGGTCCTGCCCACTGGCATTCATGTGAGAGTCTCATCGTGTCAAAAGCAAATATAACCCATTATAATCAGTCAATGTCTACACTGGATACAGCATACAGGTGCGGGTTCAGTTTCTGACACACTCCATGTGCTTGAGTCTGTCGACAACTGGACAAATGGAAGAGTGAAAGAACGTCCACTTTGACGCGTCCAGTTTAAACAGCTCATTCACGTCTCTGTACAAACTTTAGAAGAATCCCAGCATCAGAAACAAATGGATGGTTTATTTTAATGGCGTCCCGGATCACATCGGAGAGTTATATGCAGGGGTGCACATAACTGGTGCTCAGGTGCGCAGGCATGCTAAAATTGAATGAACCAGAAAACGTGGAGGGAAGCGCTTTTGAGTACCAACATTTTTGGGGACAAGGACATGTTTACTAGCCTAGAAATCTAGACGCACCCTAGCGGCAGCAAAAATTATTGAGTTGGTTGAAAACCAAACTCTGGTCAGGCCAATCACATTGGCCCTCATTTATCAAAAGTGCGTACACCAAATTTCCAGCGTACACCTTGCGTACACTCAAAACCACGGTGAGTTTGAGATTTATCAATATGGACGTGGCCGTACGGCACGCTCGAATCCTACACCAGCTCAGGAGGTGGTGTACGCACGTTTTGAGTTAGTGAGGAAATGCGCAGAAAAATTCCTAACACCACAAAACGCACTGACAAACTAAAAGATATGATATATTATGACCCACTGTAAAACAAACAAACAAAAAAACAACATAGTAATTATAAACTTCAGTGTTTATTCTTGTGTAACGTGGACTTCAATGTTTAATTTGTGTGACTTTACCAAAGCATTTGATTTGTAAGCATATGTATTCCTTCAGTTGCGAGCCCGCTTTACCCTGACGTTTCAGGATTATCCCCGGCAGGTGCGCACGGATTGGGTTCGGTAGCCTAATGAAAGGCTTTCAATGACCAAAAAATGATTCAGACTGAAAAAATGATCAAAAATACATTCTTCTTCTTTTAAGTGATAATAATAATACAAATAATAGTAACGACATCCTTCTTCTAAATAACAATAAGCATCATTAATACAAATCATGATAATAAGAAGAATACTATTACAAATTGTTATACAATTATTAATGTGAATGAATGGTACTTCACATCATCATCATCACTATTATGTGACGTGATTCGAAATTGAATGCTAATTTCAAAAGACGTGCTGTAAAGTAATGCATTGTGATAGGTCATTTTGGCTCCACGTCGGAGAAGTTTCTCTTCTTTGCCGTCTTCCGTGTGTCCATGGCGTAAAATGAGGGCGTGGGGGGAGCGGAGACTTGAATATTTAAGGGCGTGTTATTCTAATGACAATCGTTTTCAGCCGCAGGATTTATCAAGGGCAGGCATTGCGTACACCTGGATTTCAAAGGTACGCACAGCTTCATAAATCAGACGGTGAGAGGAGCGTAAGCATAATCTTACGCCAACATATACACCCGTTTCTACGCAAGATTGATAAATGAGGGCCATTGTGTATAGAGTCGGTGGGCGGGCTTAACACAATGACGGCAGAGTTGTGACGGTTCTGCGCCATAGGTGATTTCCCTGCTAATTGAAAACAAACAAGATGCTGCTGGCAAACAGCGGTCTTTCGAATTGGCTTTGGCCATGACTCTGGACGACTTGGAGTGTATAACTATATTGAATGGCGGAATACCACAGCAAGTGCTTGGAAGCACTTCGACTCATCATCACTATCAGTAATATACTCATGACTCGTGAAAAGTCCACTCCCCCTCTCCCTCTCCGGATCGATGATATTACTGTGCTGAGTCCATAGATATATATGCGTCGAGTCGATGTGCTCCCAAGCACTTGCATTGGTATTTCACTAAACAATATAGTTATCCACTTTACACGCTTAGAAAAGCACAACGTTTTATTTTGTGTCACCATCCTAGGTTGAGTTACACTGCTCGTGTAACTGTATTTAAATAGGGGAAACGTGGAGGTGTTTGGTCGCTTCTCTGCTTGGCCCATATTGAATGAACTGGGCTAGTTAAGTGCGATCAAAATGTCTCGCGCGCCAGAGTGATTGAGTGCGCGCACTGAGACAACAGAGGTATGCATCAACTCATCTTAGTTAAGGGAATAACATGAGTATCCCTTTAAAATGATAGCAGCCTAATATACCAACAGCTGTTCGGTACCACCAATGTTAATCAAACAACAAAAGAGAAAGAGAAAATAGATAAATTGTATTAATTACATGAATTATATTTAATTTATACAGTAAAGATTATAGTCTTATTTTACTTTTGATTATTCAATGTCTGTACCTGTCCAGGTGCTCCCTTGAGAACCAGACCAAAAAAGTGATTTGCACGTAAAGAATTTAATGTAAAGAATTTTTTCTTGAAAAATTAAGCAGCCCAACTGTATTGGATCTCACAGCAGCTGCATCACAAACCACAAGTAAATGATTTCATAAAATTTTTTGTCTGTAAATGACTGTTTAATATGGGTAGTGTTTACAAAACACTTACGTGCAACAGAGAGGGGGTACTGTTGATACTGTTTTCTATGCAATGACGCAAGCCAATCATAACAGTGGCCGTTTACTGACAAGCCGTAAAGGAGCTGTGCATTGATAAAGGATCATTTCAGACGAAGGAGCAGAATGAAGGTTGAAAATAATAGTTTTTCCCGCATACATGTTTTTTTTTTGTGTGCAAACCATAAGTGAATATATATAAAAAAAATCCATGTCATGGTCCCTTTTAATATATCTTGGTTGTGTTGGAATATGGTGGTCACTGATTTTATATGTGCTCAGGTTTCTTCAGCCAGTACAGAAGATAGATATGAATCTGACAGATTTGCTGGGAGAGCTGCAGAGAGACCCCTGGCCCGTCACTCAAGGCAAACGACCACTGAGATCACTCGGAGTGGCCCTTTCCATTGCTGTCGGTCTGTTAGAGGTGACTGTCAGGATTTCTGTTATTATCTTTAATGGTTTGCTGTGCTGGCAGCTTTGCTACCAGCTGCAGTTACAAAATTATAAGTGTACACCTCCGGTTTGGACACACCTTCTCATTCTTTATTATTACTATTTTTCCACACTTGTGACTACAGCTCTATGACAAATCGGTAAAAGATTGCAGTATCGATTCAAATGCCCACACTATTTATATTCCTAAACAAAAATGATTCAACTATGTCTATTAAACCTTTGACCAATATGATCACAGTGGAGCATTCAAATCTGCGTTGGTGTTTCAGCTGAGTATTTGTCATGTATAAGTATAAAACCATTTCATAACCACACAGGTCTTTTCAACCACACAGGATCATTCTTCAAATTATCACAAAAGTAAAGGCATACATTTTATAATTCAGATATAAACACTAATGTCTATGGTAGTGATCAAAATGGAGTAAATCAACTTTTGAAAGTAACTTGACACTTCAAATAAATATTGTATCAGTTACAGCATTACACAGTAGGTGGTGACAAGTGATTGTTTAAAAAAAGTATTTGTTATTCAATCATTCATTAAAGAGATTTGTTCAAAAACAAATCTCTTTAATTAAAAAAAAAATTCTCAATTTTTCCCTAATTGTGCAGCTCTACTTTGGACTAATAAAAAAGAAATCAAAATAATGAAATAACACAAACAGAATTATGGAAATTTTATCATAGCTTCTTCAAGCTCAACATCATGAAGGGCATCCTGGGATGCTTGTTAAACAGTATTTAAGAAATTATTATATGTGCTGAGTAGTTGCTGACTTCTTTTTTTTATTCACTATTCTGCTCATAAATGCATATTCTGTAATGAAAATATAGTTTTCTAAAAACTTCATGTACGTACAACTTATATTTGTAATATATTTATATTTTCATTAAGCCTTTATCTCAAAAGGTGATCATGAAAGGCATAAATTCATTCGTTTTCGAACACTGAATTGGTTGTCTTACTCTAGATTTGTGCTTGTTTATTGTTTCCCTCCATTTACTTCCCTCTTGTAGTGCACTTACCCTAACACTGGCGCTCGCATCATGGCTTTCATTGGTGGACCCGCCACTCAGGGTCCAGGCATGGTGGTAGGAGATGAACTGAAAACACCTATTAGATCCTGGCACGACATCGAGAAAGACAATGCCAAGTTCATGAAGAAAGGCACTAAAGTGAGTTTTCCCGTATTTGTTGTTTGTTTTATTGGCTTGGTAGAAGTACCCACATACTGGTGGTACCATGAAGGTGAAGTATCTTCAAGTGGCTGTACTGTTGTCTGATGGGTTTTAAAAGGTGCATTGGAAGGTTTACAATCAAACTGGTGCCTGTATTCTTAACTATTTGACATTTCAGAGCAGAACACAGTAATATTAGAGTTATTTTCTGGAAAAACCTGCATATTTTTTCTTGCATATGAAATGTGTGAAAACTGGCAATTAGCTGTTTTTTCTTGATTTGAGTTTTACAGTTATGCTTTTGGTACACACTTACTGTACATTGTACGGTAGACATTTTGACCCAAGTTCTTGCTTTTCATGACCTTGGCGTATATAATGCCATTCTCCACTAATTTGGGAAAGCCTTCTTGTTGCCCAAACGGTTTGAAATTTGAAATTTTTGCACGCATTTAAAATGTTATTTTTCCCTTGTAGCACTATGAAGCCTTGGCCAACCGTGCCGCTGCCAATGGACACATCGTTGATATTTATGCGTGCGCTCTGGATCAGACAGGATTACTGGAAATGAAGTGCTGCACCAACCATACAGGGTAAGTAACTCAGAAAAGGTTTTCAATTTTCTTTTGAAATGGTTTCAGCATACTGATTTGAGTTGACATTAGTGCATTTTAAAACATGTTTTGAGTCAAGAAAACAAATCTAGACATATTCCCATCCCCAAGATTTTAAGTATGAGCGAATTTGTGAAATTCTCATTGCACTTACTCTATACTTATATTCTTGAAGACAATCCAAATACATACAATGCACCTTTCTGCTTTTCTGTTAATGCAGAGGTTATATGGTCATGGCGGACTCTTTCAACACATCTCTGTTCAAGCAAACTTTCCAGAGAGTTTTCACGAAAGATGTCCAGGGTTCCTTTAAGATGGCACTTGCAGGGACTCTGGAGATTAAGGTGGTTTTCTTTTTTGTTCTTTTTCTTTTTACAATTTAAATATAAATTTGTTAACACTTTACTTGAAGGGGTGTGCATAAGACTAACATGACACCTTCATAATCATGACATGACACGTTATGAATATGAAGGAAGTTTTATGCATGTTCATGACAACTGTCATTAAGTGTCATTCACTCAATTGTGACCATTTTTATGCAAATATGACATTGTTTGAGATGTCTTGTTTATGAAAACTTGACATTAACCAATACATCATAACCTGTCAGTGTCTTTGTCAGGACAACTTGACATTACTAAGACAACACAACCTGTCATAAACATGACATAGCAGATTAATTATCAAACTTAAGAAACCACCTAGATTTATTGGTTAACATTACATCAAACTATCAGATGGTTGGTTTTGACATTGGCTGTCATGAAGCCATTATAACTTTAGTACCACTGTAGTTGAGGTCACAAAAAATATTCATGACACAGTTATAATGGCCTCATGACAGCCAAAAGTTGTCATGACAAAGACACTGACAGGTTATGATTTATGGCAAGATGTTATAACAAAGACATATTTGCATTCAAAATGTCATTATTGAACGAATGACACTTAATGACAGTTGTCATAAACATGCATAAATCCTATTTCATTTTCATGACGTGTCATGCCAGTCTAATGCACACCCCTTCAAGTAAAGTGTTACCAAAAATTAGATCTAATTGGCTTGTCTTGGCTATTTTAATTACTTTATTATTTAATTATGCTACATGTGGCTTTCCTTTTAATATTATTACACTATTATTTCAGACTTCGAGAGAGATAAAGATTTCTGGGGCAATCGGCCCGTGTGTCTCCCTGAACGCCAAAGGTCCCTGTGTGTCAGAAAACGTAAGTAGCTCATCTATTTTAAATTAAATAGACTCGCTATACAGTGTTTTCTCTTAGGTTCAGCTTTATCTCCGGCAATGCAGAGAGCATACTGACATTCATTCTGACCTTTGCTTGTAGGAAATAGGAACTGGCGGCACAAGTCAGTGGAAAATATGTGGACTGGACCCAAATACCACTCTTGCATTCTACTTTGAGGTTGTGAATCAGGTACATGCCAGTAAACTTTGTTTGATCTGCTTACATTACCCTTGCTATGCATGTTTACAAGTTAACATTGCCACAGATGGTTTTGGAAAACCATCACAGAAAAATAATTGTCTGCCATGTCAGCAAAAAATCACGTACTGCCATGAGTTGAAGTCAGGTAAGATATGTTCCTGGATCAACATATCTTGAAAATTTAGTCCTAACTAGGGCTGTTAGTTAAACGCGTTATTAACGGTGATAACGCAAACCCATTTTAACGGCGTCACTTTTTTTATCGCGCGATTAACGGTCTTTTTGGCCTAGCAAACTTTGTAGATTTCTTTCACATTTTTTTCGTCGACCAAAGCGCAAGTGGATCTAGCTAGACCGTAAACAAAACAGGCACGCCACACACACTCGTTTGTGCTTGCGAGCTGGCCAAATAGTTGGTTATCGTTACGTTTTGAGTGAATGACGAGTGCGAGACGCCGAAATTGATGCCAATAAGATTCTGAATGGAAAGTTAACTTTTAAAAAGTTGCCAAATGGTTGACGAGACCAAAGTGATCTGTGTGTTTTGTCTTTGTGAATTGAGCTATCATCATCACAGCACGTCCAGTCTGAAATACCACACGCAGCTGATGCGAATTCTCCGCCCCCTCGTCAATATCAGGACCTCGTCAGTATTTCTTTCACCCTTTTATTGATGGACGGTGTTACATTGTGTGAGAGATTATTTGCTCAAAGTGAGAATTCTAGTGTGAAATTGAACACAGAATGCCAATTTTGTTTTCAATAAAAAACATTTGCACAAAGCAAGCGATCCACTTTTCCATGTTAATAAGAGCATTAAAATGAGAAAAAATAAGGGGACAAAAAGAAATCAAGAGACATTTAGAATAGATAAAAATGTGCGATTAATTGCGATTAATCGCGAGTTAACTATGACATTAATGCGATTAATCGCGATTAAATATTTTAATCGCTTGACAGCACTAGTCCTAACCCTACCTAACTTATCTCTAAAATAAAAGGGAAATGGTTGGTGAATAACACTGATGTAGAAGCACCTAACCCTGGTTTTAAGCTTAAACTTGATTTGGAATGTTGATCCTGGATAAAACAAAGATGTTGTTCCAGGAACATGTTGTACTTAGTGAAATCACCGGTCACAGATTGTGTTGTTGCTGCAGTCTGATACGTTTCAGGTTTATGTAAATTTCCACCTTATATATGCAGGTGGTCCACTAGAGGGCAAACTTTCATCACACATGTTTTTTGTTTTTTTTTTGTTTTTTTTTGCTGCATTTTAATTTAATGCATTACTTCACTGCAGTAGTTTTGAACCTTTTTATAGCATTTAGTGATTTACATAAATGATTCCAAATGTAACATTTTTACAGAGAATCATTTTGCACAAGTTAGTCTCATCTTCAGTTATTTTTATATTGTAAATATACAGATAATGCATGGTCTTAATGCTTGCCGTCATACATTTCACAGTAACTGTAATGTGATTATTCAGTTTTGAATTTGCTGTGAGCTTATATATTGAGAACTGTATTTACATAGCCAATGATATACATAAGATCCAAGGGCGTAACTTTGGGTCTACCATTGGGGGGTTAAACTTGCGCCATATTTATTAATTAATTTATTTATTTAATAATTTTCTTTTGTAAATGGTAACATGCTAATTTGCCATTTATGTATTAGAAATACATTGTGATACTTTTATTCCCCACTTCTGAGGTAGGAAAGGGTTCCGAGCCCCACCTGTCCCCAATCAACCCAACAAAATGTTAAGAAACTAGCCTTTAAGTTTAACTTTTAAAATGTATTTTATTAACATCACATTGTAAAAACTTAAAATCCAATAACAGCATTAAAAACTTTCAAATAGCGAAAAAAGAAAGTGCAATTATATTATCACTTTGCACGAAATACGACTCAAAAGTAGATAGAAAAATTGTGTTTGCATTTATATAGCCTCTACTAACATAAAATTCAGAAACTGAGAAAATCCATGTGTGGACTAATGTTAGTTGTACTATGATTCATTTTGTCACTTTGCAAACTCCATGCAAAAAAAAACAAAAAATAAAATCATAATAATATCAAATTGAGCTGAAGGTGGCAAATTACTAATAATGTATAAGATACCTAAAATACGTTGTGCATAGCCTACAGCAAAGGTGTTTTAACAACAAAACACATCCACTTGCACATATTTGACAATCGGAATTGCCCACGCGCCACGCTTTGAGAAACAGCTAACTCAATGGGGTACCTCCGTTTGGTCAGGATTTTTCCTTTTTTTGGAGCCGACCAACAATTAAAAAAATCGTTGTCTGGCTGCCTTTCAATGTCCTTTCCATCTTTCTATCCGTTAGCATGCACCGGCGTCAGCTATTTCCTCAAACCATTCATCCCAGCGACTGCGCAACATACATAGTAAACAATAAACAAACTTGGTAGAGAAAGGGGGTTGGGTAATACCAAGTCGGTGCGGTGGGCAGAGGGTACATTACAGATTATTTAAAATATGATACTATCTTTCTTGCTGGCAAATGTATTTAATATTAATTCGGAATATTTAATATTTATTCTAATCTGAATGATGTGATGATATTGGGGGGGTTATATTAGCTGGGTCTGATTTAACCATCCCCCCCCCCAGGTTCAGGTGTCTACTGAACATTTTAGAGAGAGCTTTTTTCACAATCACATTGCATTGTCCTTTGAGAATTCCTTTAGAAAAAAAGTGAATCACTATCAATAATACAATGCAACACAATACATCTTTTTGATGCGAAAGTCCTGTAGACTATCGCACAAGGTTCCTTTTGTCTGCTTGCGTCATAAATCGCTTCTGGTGAGCTCCGCCAACCCAGTGTCCTCTTCTGCTGTGGTGAAACGATGCTGTAGATGCTTCCTTAAGTCATAATTATTTCTACACTATTCCATTCAGCAAAGGTCAGGAAGGGTCGTGCTCAAACCAGCGTGAGGTCCTGTTGGGGTTGGTTGTTTGTTTGTAGTGCCGGAGGATCACCGGGAGCTGGCAAAGAGAAGCTGTTGCTTTTGCGGCGGGGCTGTATGGTTGTGCACTGGGAGAGAGAGTTTTTACGAGGATAGTCAAACATCTGTCGGATTTTATTCAGGCTTTTGCGCAACGCAACTCTGTATCTCCTGAAAGATACAAACAAGGTCACGGTAAACCTCCCACATACTCTCATGCCCTTAGAATCTAAATAACATCCACAAATCAGTCCTATGAATCATAGCTCTATACAAGTTCTCTTTCTAAATGTTGCCCGAATCTGCCATCGAGTTTTTCATCAGCAGGTTTTTACCGTACCTCCACCTTCTTTTTACAATCCTGCACCACATTCAGTTCCTGCCACATTTTATTTTACGAAACATTATTGAATGTGGCAGGCATTAATATGAGCTGCCACATCTGATAGTTAAAAGGCCAGAAAGTCTTAATCAACAATAAAAAGGTAATGTCTATCCATGATTACATTTCCCAAAATAGAGAGCTTATTTTCTGGGAGAATTTGTTTTATGGATTTCCTGTCTGTCTTATATCTATCATGACATTTACGGGTGGGCTGAATGTACAAAATCGTATACTTGCAGTATTAGTAATGATATAGTGAATAGCACAATATATATGTTTCCCTTTGAAACATTAAATTAAATGTTTTACAAATGAAACTTAGATTGTGTTCAAATGTTTGGGGTCTGTGAGACGTTTTTTTAAATTTTATTAAGTATTTGGTCAAAAAATACAATACAACAGTAATATTGTAAACTATTACAATTTTTAAATATGTTAACTATATTCTTAAATGTAACTTATTCCTGTGAATTTTCAGCATCATTACTCCAGTCTTCAGTGTCACATGATCCTTCATAAATCATTCTGATATGATGATTTGCTGCTCAAGAAACATTTCTTATTATTATCAATGCTGAAAATAGTTGTGCTGCTTATTATTTTTGTGGAAATCGTGATACATTTTTTTATTTAAAAATTGAAAGTTCAAAAGAACAGCATTTATTTGATATTGAATTTTGGTAACAATGTGAAAATTTGCTTCAAGTCAATTTAGTGCATCCTTGTTGACTTAAAATATTAATTTCTTTTTTTTAAAATGTCCTGACCCTAAACCTTTGAAAAATATTGTATTTTATTTCATTTCCTCCTGATTGCTCTCCTTGCTCTTCTTTTCTCACGAACATGGTAGACGATAATTATGTTTTTTTTTTAAATGTATTAACATTATTGACAACAGCAGGAATATTAGGCTGCGGTCACTTTAAAACCGAATGCATGGACCGAATACACATCAGGTTTCACTAATCACATAACCGAGAGAATACTTGTCAAGGCAGGTATTTTAAAGATGTATTTTTTTGGGATGGGTCAGTAACTACACAGAAGTGAGGTGGGAGAGAGAGAGAGAGAGAGAGAGAGAGAGAGAGAGAGAGAGAGTGGGGAGGGGACTTGAACTCGGGTCGTCGCACAACGGTGCTACATGTCGCCGCACTTGCCCACGAGTCTATACGACAATTCACCATGACGTCACAACAATAATAGTAATGCATTCACTCTGTGTGTGTGGATTGCGGGAGAATAAAACGATTCGTGGGACTCCAGCAAACTAGAAATATCTATGAATAAAACAAATAAAACTAATACATTTGTATTCATCTGTTTCAGAAAAGCAACAAGAACAACTAAAACAAAATAGAAATGATTTAAATGGCAGAGTTTCTTTTTATAACGTGACTGCAGCGATGAGCGGTGTAACGTTAGCCAATCACAGACATATGTGTTGATTTATTGAACGCAATGGCCAATCAGAAGCATTTACGATGAAGAAACATTTACTCCTTACCGCTCAAAAGAAAGTAGCATAGAAAGTAATAGAAATTAACTAAGTTAGTTGAGAACGTCAGTTATATAACGACCCACGTATTAAAAATGGTTGGGTTTAAATCCGGCTCAGGCTCATAATTAGAAGACGACATGCACTTTTGACGACGTCCACTCGCTTTAACCTCCTCACCCACAGGTTCCGCTGGATAGATTTACTTTTTTTCTGAAGGAAATCGATAAAAAACCTACACCTTTTGCTGTATATCTGGTGCCGCAACCCCAAACACAACATGTTTTCGCCATCGTTTCAACTTTGATCAACAACAATGATTTTAACTGTGTAACTGTTCAGTTGCCGGCTGGATCTCTTCAGTTAGTCAATAGAAGCCGCTCGCGTTCTGCCACCCGGAAGTATCGCGGTGCCTATTGTTTACAAACATTCTGAAATGTGTCAAAAGGATAAACTTTCGCACTGTAATGGTTAAACTTAGTGAATAATCCACGTATTCACATGCGTGAGGAACCGTGGAGCCTGATCCGTAGAGATCATGGATCAACTGTGATATGTTGCAACCCTAATAACTAATGATAATAACACATCATGATTTCATGATTGCTATTTTACCCGAAATGGGGGAAAGTCCTACTCTAGTAAGTAAACGTGTCGCCATCCCCAAAAATGTTGGTACTCAAAAGCGTTTCTCTGTCTGTTTTCTGCTGCGCATCATTTTTTTTTCCACGCATGCGCACCAGTTATGTGCACCACTGAATACAGCAGTGAATTAAAGTATAAATGGCATTGCAAAATCTGTTGTCGTCGGACTGAATATATTGTCATACTTCCCAGCCCTATATGCATTGTTAGAAACATACCTGCCACTGGACCATAATTCCACATAATATACAGTCATCAAAATGATGCACTTAGTTGCTTACATTTGAGACATGGAGTAGATCCATGGGTTGAGAGCTGAAGTGAAAAGGACAAGCCATGTGGCAACAGTCGAGGCAGGCTGTGGGCTCTCTCTTCCCGTCAGTGTCTCATAGAAGCAGATAACAATGTATGGAAGCCAGCAAACAAGAAGGCACACTGTCAACAACACACACAAATCACATCATGTGGTTAAAGATTTTTTGGACAAGCTCATTTCATTAGCTCGAGAAGAATATCGAATTTCTCTCTCTTTCTCGAGGTTGTGCTGCATTGCGTGATGTATTTTGCTAATTAATTTCTCCAAAATCTAACTGGACCCTTGCTGGGGGGTTTTCTCAGTAACCAAAGACATAGGAACAAACATTATACATTTTAAATAATTAGGTTGTCAATTGATTGAGTCAATTTATTTTGCACTCAAGAACTTGCTTTTCCTTCCTCTCAAGTCCAACTCTTCCATTAAATAATTAAAATTTTAGTATTGAATAGAAATTCACACGTAGACAATTTGTTTGTCTGCAAAACCAATTTAAAGCATTTAAACAGAAGCCTTTCTGTATTTGCACAAAGCAGGAAACAAATCTCTATATTGTTAAGGAAAATTAATGTGCTTAACAGAATGATGTCAGAAAGATAAGCACTTAATGAACTTCCAAAACACGGTGACAAAATCAAATACAATAAAACCGCTTTATGTCCCCTTTTTTAATTATGCTTACCGATGGTTGCCGCCATTACTATGGAGCTTTTGAAGTAGTTATTGGCTGGCACATAGAAACAGTGGTCTTCGTTGCAAACAAACGTCCCTCTTCGCGCCTGGTTCCTAGCTATGTGCACTATATATCCATACATGGAGCACATCAGTACAATGGGAATGATTATTCCCAACACCATGAAGAGCATGTTGAAGGCGATGCTGGACGGTTTGAAGCTGGGAACGCAGAGGAACTTCGTCTCGCTGTAGACGTAACTGCCGAAACCGAAAAGTGGCAGAGCTGCGTTGAGGATGCTGTAGACCCACACTATCGCGAGGATGATTTTGGCCCTGTGCGATGTAAAGATCACCGGGTAGCTGAGGGCGAAGCAGATCTCTGTGAACTTGTCGACAGTGGCCCAGGTGAGGGAATGGATGGAGGCGAGCTGGAGCAGCAAAAACAGAAAGGCGCTGCCCTTGCAGGTGGCACTCTTGCTGGGGTAGCTCTTCACTTGGAAAAGGCTGTTGTGGATACCAAAAGGGATGGTGGAGACGCCCAACGCCAGATCGCATAGACTGAAGCTCAGTGTGAAAACCCAGGTGTCCGTTTGCAAGTTCTGGTTGAGTGACACCACCAAAAGTAGTAGCAAGTTCCCCAAAATGGAGCAGAAGCTGGAACCAATCATCAACACTCCATAAACCACCGAAGTCCACTGCATGTTTACATGGGTGTTCGAATGCAGGCATGTACAGTCAAAACATAAACACTCATTCGACGACAGAGACCACAATGGAAGCTTTGGAAAGAGGAAGTCACGCTATCAGTGTCAAACCACCAGGGAAGGTGTTGCTGTATGGGAGGAGTGTACCTCATGCTGATCTTTAGCAGTAGACGATCACTTCACTAAGCGCTGAGCTCTTTGGGGAGTTTAGTCGAGCCCTCCTCCGTCTTTACTATCAGCACCTACCTCAGTCTGTTTGAAAATGGCAAACACGTTGCCTTGAGAGGCAAAACTATGTGAACAGCTACAATCACATGTAGCGAGGTAAATAAAGCATCTAACATTTAAAGAGGCATGTTTCTGTGGACACAGGGCGCATTGGGAGGCTGGTGCTGCACTGCTCGGCAAACATGACGCTTGAGATTCAATATCCTCTGTTGCCGACTTTATGAGCCATTTCATACTCGAGTGTTTTTTTTTTTTTTGTGTAATTGGCGAGAAGCATGACCCTAATTCGATTTAAGCCGTTATCATTAATTAAGGCTTCAGTGCCTTTACCCAGAGCTTAAGCCTGCCAAGTTATATCCAAGTGTAGCATAGTACCTTACCTGGATGTAATTGTTTAGTCAAATAGATATATTAAAACGTTATAATTATTTCACGATTGCAGTCAGTTTATAGACATGATGAGCATGCGATTGAGATGCATACTAAAGCTTTTAATGGGGCGTTTATATTTTAGAATATATATATATATATATATATATATATATATATAGTCTCATTCTTACAGAAATACAGCAAAAACAGTAATATTGTGAAATATTATTACACTTATATAATTTATTCCTATGATGGTAATGCTAAATTTTCAGCATCATTACTCCAGTCTTCAGTGTCACATGATACTTCAGAAATCAATTTGCTGATTTGCTGCTCAAGAATCATTGCTTATTATTATGATTATTATCAATGTTTAATGTTTTTGTGGAAACTGTATTACAAAACAAGTTTATGGGTAAGATTAAAAAAGTGAAGATTAAAATATGGTGAATTGGTGCATTTAATTGATTTAAATATTATAATGTTACGAAGATTTATATTCAATGTTCAAATGTTTTTATTTTAACTTTCTATAAATCAAGGGGAAAAAAAGTATCACGATTTCCACAAAAATTTTAAGCATCAGAAACCATTTTTAACATTGATAATAAGACGAATCATTATTAACAATTGAGTTCCAATAATAATTGAGCAGCAAATCAGCATATTCGAATGATTTCCGAAGGATCATGTGACTAAAGAAAATTCTGCTTCAGAAATAAAATTTTATTTTAAAATATATTAAAATAAAAAAACATTTCTTTTTATTTCACTATATTACTCTTTTTACTGTCATTTTCATCAAATATCCAACATGCACAATTCTTGCTCAACTAATTGTTACTGGGTAAGACGACCTATAACAAGTTTGTCTAAACAATAGTATATTGGTGCCAGGATGGTGGAAAGGTTTGGGAAACCTTTTTAAAAGCAATCTTTATTTTTGCCAAACTATTTGATGGGTTATATTTTAAGCAAAATATTAGTCTGTCTTCATTCTTTTTACTTCCCCTCCTCAGCACAACGCTCCGATCCCACAGGGTGGACGTGGAGCCATACAGTTCGTAACACAGTATCAGCATTCTAGCGGACAGAGGCGGATCAGAGTGACCACAATTGCAAGGAAGTAAGTCGTTTGTCCTTATATTAACCATCGATGATCGCTAAATATTACCATTTCAAAGTTAGGGGTTAGTAAGATTTTTTTTTTTTTAAGAAATGAATTATTTTTTCAGCAAATATGCATTAAACTGTGCAAGTGACAGTAAAGACATTAATAATATTACAGATTATTTCTATTTCAAATAAATGCTGTTCTTTTGAAATTTCTATTCATCAAAGATGGAACTAAAAAAAAATCTAAAAACTTCTAAGCAGCACAACTGATTTCAACATTGATAATAATAATTGTAATACATATCAGGAATACATTCGATTTTAAAATATAATAATATAAAAACGTTTTTTAATTTTTATTTTTTTTTGTAATTAATTAATTTGAAATCTTACAGATCCCAACTTCTTAAAAGATAATGTGAGGCTTTTTTAACCATAAATCTCACTGATTTTCCTTTGTGGGACACAAGAACTGATACAGTCCCCAAAGTGACTATTTTGTTTCTTATCCATTTGCCTAATAGTTTATACAACACAAGGAACTTGGGGCGGAAATCCTTGGACACGACTTCATAATTGTAGATTGTACATAGATTGACCCTCCTTTCAGTTTGGACATCATCTCTGCACGTCATCCATGTGTTATCCTCAATGACCATGTCCAGTTTCCATGACAATGTGAAAAAGAAATCAAAATATTCCACTTTTAGACCGTTGCATCAGAATCGATGCTCCGCGAAAGAGTACACTCAGTCTTCGACAAAGACTACTGCGCTTTCAAACGTACTATAAGGGCTTAGAGTGCCTCTTTGACTAGTCTGCGGCTTTTTGAATATACTTGTTAAATATCAGACATTGAAGATGAATCAGTGTGAGTCAGACTGATGTACAAGCTTGTGTTAGAAGGTCACTGCTATAACGTGTTCTCCTCTTCAGCTGGGCTGATGCTCAGACTCAGATCCAGAGCATCGCTGCATCTTTTGACCAGGAGGCGGCCGCCATCCTCATGGCCCGCCTGGCCGTCTACAGAGCCGAGACAGAGGAGGGTCCAGATGTTCTGCGCTGGCTGGACCGACAACTCATCCGCTTGGTGAGTCTTTCAGCCGTTCTTCTTTCAGATGGGACTAGCAACCTATTTCTTGGTATAATCAGTCTTTTAGTATTTGGGATGCACAATAATTGTAATTATTTTCTTCAATTTGCAGTGCCAGAAATTTGGAGATTATCATAAAGACGATCCCAACTCATTCCGCTTCTCCGAGACTTTTTCATTGTATCCTCAGGTACTTACTGCCTATATAGCACTCTATGACAGCACTGAATGTAATAGCAAAGCAAAAATGAGATGACTTGACTTTGTCTTTGGCAGTTTATGTTCCATCTGAGGAGGTCTCCATTTCTGCAAGTGTTCAACAACAGTCCTGATGAAAGCACCTATTATAGACACCAGTTTATGAGGCAGGATCTGACCCAATCTCTGATAATGATACAGCCCATCCTGTATGCATACTCGTTCAATGGGCCACCAGAGGTAAAATTATATAATTTCTTTTAAATTCATCATTTCTCATGATTCAGGTGACCAACGAGGGACTTCATAAATAGTAGACACTATGTTCCCTTGGAGAAATTCATGCACTTGCACGCTTTAAAATTTCCCCAAATTGGTAGAAATCAATGTATATAAACAATATTTTTTCTTTAGCCATGTCTATATTTAAAGTGCCCCTATTATGCTATTGCAATTTTGTTTAGGAGGTCACCTACAACAGGTTGACATGCATCCAAGGTCAAAAACACTTTCATTTTCTCATAATATGCATTTAAATTCACCTCATTTCTCAAAGATTTTCAAATGATTCGTTCGAAGCAGTTTGAAGATTCAGTCTCTCTAAACCCCACCTTTCCGTTAGCCTACTGTGCTGTGATTGGTCAGATGGCCCAGTATATTGTGATTGGTCAATATATAGATGATAATATATTGTAAAGGCAATTTATATCAATTCAAAATCAAAATTAAAGTAAATAAAAACATTTTATAAAACATTAAACATAGCCGAGCACAAAATATGAAAGACTGATGAAACATTATGAACGGTTAGTTCCAATCCTTGATTCTGATTGGTCAGTAGGTGTGCTTTATTCATGATAAAACACGGCTATGATTGCTTCACCCAGCGGTTCCATTATCAATGCGCAACACCCTTAGCAATCACCCGTATCAACATAAACGGAGATGTTCAAATACATTTTAATAAACAACAAAGACATTTTTTTTTATCTCTTGTTAGGCAGCATTCTTGCAACTAAATTAATGATATTAATAAAATAGATAAAATAGGCTACCAATCAAAATATTTGCCCTTGTGTGTTTATTTATATAAATATTTAGTAAGGTTTATTTATAAGTGCAGAGATAAATTAACAGAATAAATTGAAAATAAACGTTAATTGTCTCATGCTGAGAGATCAGCTATATTTGTGTGAGGAAATATTATATTCTGTGTTGTAAAAAAAATGAAACAAAGTTTGAGAACGGTTCTTATGTTGTTTTTATTGAGGTTTCATGCATATTACACATTGAAACTATGTTGCTGTTCATGGTCAGGGACTATTTTTTTCTAGCGGAAGGAAGGCTTTTAGGGATTTTACTTCATGAAAGTTGCACTAATACAATTTTTTTTTTTTACTTTAATATTTTTATTGTGTGGTAAAAGTTTATAAAAGCATGCGTCGTGCCTAACTACGCCCTTTAGCCGTGACTTATTCACGATACAGCACATCCTCTCGAACCCTATTGCTTAATTACAGTTTATAAACCAAAATCTTGATCCATCCTTTAGCATTACTTCCAAGTTATAGGAACGACAGACAATCTGCATTAATCAACACAAATTGTAGGTAATAGTGGCCCACAGCTAATAAACAGAACTATTTCAGTAAGAGATTAACACTGCTGCACAGGGTTTACACAGCATAACACACAAAACTACGTATTTCACTCAATATAAAATATAAAAATTGATTTGTTGATGTTTTTGAAAGAAGTCTCTTATACTCACCAAGGCTTCATTTATTTGATCAAATGTACAGTAGAAACATTAATGTGAAATATTATTACAATTTAAAATAATTATTTTCTATTTTCACATGTAGTTTATTCCTGTGATGCAAAGCTGAATTGTCAGCATCATTACTCCAGTCTTCAGTGTCACATGATCCTTCATAAATTATTCTAATATGATGATTTGCTGGTCAAGAAACATTTCTTATTAATATTATTATCAATGTTGAAAATGGTTTTGCTGCTTAATTATTTTGTGGAAACTGTGATACATTTTTTTTTTTCAGGACTCTTTGATGAATAGATGGTTCAAGAGAAAAGAGTTACTTTTGTAACATTATAAATGTTCAATTTATTAATAACTGTCTTTCAAGTATTAATTTTTTTTTCATATAAAAAATAGATAATTTGATAATTATCTTGGATAATTATTATGATAATAGATCATTTTATAATTATTATTTTAAGATAATTTTGGTGTCTTACAGACACCAAAATTAGAAAGTTTGGAAGAAAGTGAAATTTGCTTAAATTTAGTAAAAGCATTCTTAAAATGTCAGTATTAATTCAATGAGCTTAATAAGTAAATCACATGAGTCTTGACTCACGTTGATTCTGAAGTGCAGTGTCATGATGATTGTTCTGCACTTGATGTCCCCTGACACAAAAGATTAAAATGTGTTCTGTTTAATTAGTGGACTGAGATCTTTTCTTCTTATTTTTGTTTAAGCTCATATTATTGTTGTCTTCAAATCTTTTTGTAAAGGCACGGTACCATTTGTACCCAGGACAAATGGTACCATGCACGGGTCCCTGTTTGTTAAACCCACACCCGCAGTACCTAACAGAACACCCGACCTGTTATTCAACAGCAGCACTAATTTAATTCAGTATCTGACCCGATCTGAACCGTTTTGCTTTCATCATGAGAGCAGCCCGCCCATGCAGGCTATTTTGAACAAATGTGCTATATCGCACCATATATACAGATGCTTAGAAGTCTCCATAAATGAAAAGAACATAAAGACAAATATAAGCCTTTACTGTCATGTAAAATCAAGGATATTTTAATGGATTCACTCTGCAGTATATATGTGGACATTGGTCATTTTAGCACCATGACTGTATATATGTATATATATATATATATATATATATATATATATATAAAATTGTGAATCGATTATGTACCTAAAGCGAGCAAAGAGCTTTCCCTTTATAATCGCTGTACCTGTTAATCACTTCAGTAGCAGAGCGATTGGCTACAATGCTCAACGTTGCAAGAGCTTGAGAATAAATTAGCACGGGACTGTTTGAAAGCAGCTGCCTCTCAGTGGGTACCGAACTGAGTCCAAAAAGTCTTGTCTATTGGACCCGCAGTCCGCCCTTGCCAATTGATTCCCGACCCGTAACGCAACTGGCAATGTAAATATTATTCCACCTGTTACATCAAATATTAGCAGTTCACCCGTCTGACCCAGGAGCCTGAAGGTTGCATGGATTTTAAAGGGATACTCCACTTTTTTTGGAAATACGCTCATTTTACAACTCCCCCAGAGTTAAACTGTTGAGTTTTACCTTTTTTGAATCCATTCAGCTGATCTCCGGTTCTGGCGGTACCACTTTTAGCATAGCTTAGCATACATCATTAGGATTTCTTCCAAAAAAATTACCAAAGTGTTTTGATATTTTTCCTATTTAAAACTTGACTAGATGATAAGATAGTGAAGTTTCCTGATTATTACGCAGGAATGAGAGTATAGTTCCTAGTCATATCAGCCTAGAAAATCGCAACTTTACATTTTCTGTCTGTCTTAGTGCACAATGTAACTACAGAAGAGTCCAGTTTTAAATAGGAAAAATATCAAAACACTTTGGTAAATTTTGGGAGAAATGCTAATGGTCTTGTGCACTTGAATGATGTATGCTAAGCTATGCTAAAAGTGGTACCGCCAGAACCGGAGATCAGCTGAATGGATTCAAAAAAGGTAAAACTCAACAGTTTAACTCTGGGGGAGTTGTAAAATGAGCGTATTTCCAAAATAAGTGGAGTATCCCTTTAACACAATTATTGTGAGGTAGAAAGCAAGCAGGCAAGTGTTGTATTAATGGGTTGTTTAAACTCTACATCATGATCTAATGGTCTGTAGTGCTCGTTCTTCAGCAGTACTGAGTGAGTTAAAGAACATCAGGGTGATGATACAACGGGGCAACTCAAACTGACACGTGTTTTCTAATCTGCTTTTAATGGAGGGCTTTATGTCACTTACTGTTTTTCCCCTGACACAGCAAACAGAAGGGGGGAAGTTTCAGGAAAGATGTTTATCAAAGCATCTAATTGACAATGACAGTCCAATAACAGGCTTTGTTTCCTGTTGTCGTAGCCCGTGTTGCTGGACAGCAGCAGTATCTTGCCTGACCGCATCCTCCTCATGGACACCTTCTTCCAGATTCTGATTTACCACGGAGAGGTACGGCGTAAAAAGGGTTCACTTTGGACATTCTACTATCTTTAAGTAACTTGCAACTACATGTTAACTAACCTTCATTAGATTATTTATAGACCGTTAGGTTACTTTGTAGAATTTCCAAATAAGATGTTGCTGTAAATCACAGCGCATATATTTTGCCATCCAATTGCACTGTGGTGTATTTTCCCCTGTGACTGGGTAGATGTTGGTTTAACGCAAGTCTTTTTCATGTGTTCAATAATTAAGAATGCAGTCTGTTTTCTTGGTCTCGGTCTGAGCTGTCCAATAATCTGAGCACATGAAATCAGAGCCAGTTTTGCACTGAAACAATTTTAAACTTGGCTGTCTTTCAGCAGACAGATGTTTTCTGATGAAAACTCGTAGGTGTCTCGCTGAAGAACATGCTAATGAAGTGAAGAAATACACAAATGAATTGAGATGTTCCCATAGAGTCACAGCTAAAACAAATCCAGATTTAACATATTATAGTACGACTTCTGACAGATGTTTTCCCTCATGTAGACGGTGTCTCAGTGGCGTAAAGCCGGGTACCAGGACATGCCCGAGTACGAGAACTTCCGCCACCTGCTGCAAGCTCCCGTGGATGATGCCCAAGAGCTTCTACACAATCGTTTCCCCATGCCACGCTACATCGACACGGAGCACGGCGGCAGTCAGGTACAGGCCATGTCATTACATAGTTTCTTTCTGAATTCTTATTTATGAGGCACTCATACTGCACTGAACAAGTTACTCTGATTTAGTCTAAGATTATAGGAAAGTTTAGTTGAAAAGTAATATTAAAGGTTATTAATATTCATAATTTAAAAATGAAAGGTCATTAAAGGGCAGAGCCTGTGAGTGAAGTGGAGTGGTGTGACAATATTCTGCTCATGACAGTCGAAGGCTCCACTCGTGTACCAATCACTCTCATCGGTAAACCGATGTTTGCTTAAGTTAAATCCTGCTCCGACTTGAAATTTCTCAGTACTATACATTAGGGCTGTGCTCAGAATATCAATACAACGATACATCATCATGAACTTCTGGCGATGCGCGTATCATTTACATTTATTTTAGCTGACGCTTTTATCCAAAGCGACTTACAATTGCTATATATATGTCAGAGGTCGCACACCTCTGGAGCAACTAGGGGTTAAAGAGACTTCCTTAGATTTCCACGACGCATGCGCGAGAATTGCGATCTGCTCACACCAGCTTACACTACTTCAGATCGCAATTCTCGCGCATGCGTCGTGGAAATCTAAGGAAGTCTCGTTCTGGCCTACAAGGAAGAAAAGAAATAGTCGAATAAACTCGTTATTTTTGTTTGTTTTTTCGCACAAAAAGTATTCGCGTCGCTTGATAAACATATAGTTGAGCCACGGTAGTCACTTGGGATATTTAAACATTTTCTTCATTGACTTTCTGGGCCGTCAAGAGGCAGTCCCTTAGGAGCCAATGTGGTAGTTATACAGCTCTCAAATTTAATCAAAAATATCTTCATTTGTGTTCCGAAGACGAACGAAGGTCTTACGGGGTTGGTACAGCATGGGGGTGAGTAATTAATGACTTAATTTTCATTTTTGGGTGAACTAACCCTTTAAGTGTCTTGCTCAGGGCTCACGGTGGATTCGAACCTGGGTCTCTCACACCAAAGGCATGTGTCTTATCCACTGCGCCATCACCACCTGCCGTATCGATACTGTTGTGCTTTTGAATGTAGCCAATTCAGGTCTCAAATTTCGGCGCGGGTATTGCGCATAATTTGAATCATTTCCACAGCTCTCCCACTTATAATACAGTCGCCTTGTCAGTCAGCTCCTCACTGAAATTATGTGATGAATCAAACCTGACTCCTGTTGCTGATCTGTGCGGCGACTCTCGTTTGGCTCACGATTTATTAAGCAGTCAAGTTCAGTTAAAATTGTGTCTGTTCTCTAACTGAACTTAATGATAAAAAAAAAAAAAATAAAATTGAAAATGGGGGGCGGTGCCGCGGTGGGCAAGAGATGTAACCGGTGTTGCTTCTGAACACCAGTAACACCGACTATCGTAGCAAGCCTAGTGCTTGGTAACCTTTTGGTCATTTCAGTTACAAACAATACTTAACAAATGTATGTAGACATTAGGGGCTCTGGCCAATAAAGTTCCATTACAACAAGGTAGTGACTGCAACATTCGCAGTTCATGGAGTACCTCAACCAGCTGAATTCGTGCAGCCAGTCTGCCTGAAAATGGTGGGTTTGGGCCTTTTTCTCCACATTGGCCACTCTGATTCTGAATCATCATTCGACTGTCATACTGTAGACTCACAGGTCAGAAGAACGAGTTGATAGATCGCTTGCTCATTGCTCAGACATCTGTGGGTGGCTATGGTTGTGATATTTGTCTCCGTCTCCTTCCCACAGACGTTTAATTGCGCGCACTTGATTACCTCTAGGACCCGCCCCCTCCACACATTAGCCACTTACAAGTGTCCATTCTCTATTCTTGTCACACTCATTGGCCTGCCTCTCATTCCGGATTCATTGATGCACCCCTTCCACGTTTAATGTGTGAAAGAAAGGGCAAATTTACTGGGTAAAATTGTAAAATTCAGTCGCACACTCTCAAATTTTGGTTGCAAAATGCACTAAATTAATCTTTTGCTAAATCAGTTTCTCCACAATCCCTTTTGATTTCTTCCTCTTCATTCTTAACTTAGACATTTTAGATGCATAAGGTTCATGGTTCAAACTTCATTAAAACAAAAAACTCCATAATCTTAGACCTATTGCTTATTTCACATGTTCTCGAACCAGCATATCACAAAGAGCATTCTAGGTTGCGTTAGCGGCCCTGAGCGAGCGGAACAGAATCTTCAGAAAGGCGCTCTCCGCTCTGCTCATGTGCTCTGTTAAAATAGTTATTCACACACAGTTGAAGATTCTGTCATCAGTTACTCGCCCTTAACAAATAACACTTTTATTCAACTTCAGAAGAACGCCAAGAAATTTTTCATAGCTTTCTGTTCCTCCTTTGAAAGTCTGTTGATCCAAACCTTTTATGCTTTAAAAGGATCGTAAAATGAATCCATGTGAATTGAGGGGTTTCAACCCAAATCTTTAATCGCATTATATGATCGAAATATTTAATTTAGGCTTTTGTTTACATATAAAAAGGTTTGTTCTCGCTAATTAAGCAAGTACAGTTGAGCTTCTGTTTATGTTTACTGATCAATGTTTATATGTGAATAAAAGCCTGAATGCAATCTTGTCTCTTCCGAAGAGTTGTTTTGAAGTGTCAGAGGTTTGTGTGAACCGACTTTCAATGAAGAGACAGAAATCTCTCCGAATTCAATAATAATATCTTCATTTGTGCATGAGGGTGAGTAAATGACAGAATTATCATTTTGGGTGAACTAGCCCTTTAATATTCACAGACCTGTATGGATCTTAATTAAATAAAGCAATAAAGCCGTTGTGTAATATGATATTTGTTCTTAAAACCTACATGGACAGCTGCCTTACAAGGTGCCCTCTTACAGAAATGAAGCTTAAAAAGTGACTGATTACAAATACTACTTGTCCTTGGCAGCAACTCTTTACTACTCCTATGAAACACATGAGAGCCTCGACTAAGTTGATTTCAATAAAATCTTACATTAGCAGGTTGCCAAGCCATGCACAGTTTTTGGTAAAATAGATAAAAGATAGTTTTATTAGATTGGATTAGATTGTCAATACTTTTAGGCATTTAATCAAATATATTTATAATAGAGCTGTTAATAGATGAAATAGCCCGAACCCAAACCCTAACCTATCAGTCTACTAATACTCTAGTGAGTTTGTTGACATGAATTTGCAAAGTTACTTATAGTTACTAGAATGTCTAAAGTGGGCTATAATAAAGTGTAACCAACATTGTTGCTAATCTTTCCCCAATGCATTTTTGGTTTTCCCTCCCGCCTTAGATTTTAGTCAGCATAATGTTTCTGCTTACTTTTTTAACATAGCCTTCATATTTGGAGTGCTCAAAGGATGCCTTAAATTGCTGTCAAAAAGTTTTGGAACAGAACCCTCTTAAAGGGATACTTCACCTCTGGGAAGATGAATGTGTACTTAAAATGGATATTTGATGTAGAAGAAATGTGAAATTATGTTAAATTTGAAGCTTTCTAGATTTTAAGCATTTTTGGCTTATGTGGATAAAAGACAACAACTCCCAGAATGAACTTGCTTCGCTGCCCTAGGAGGCCACGCCTAACGGTAACAGAGCGCAGTAGTCTCTAGATTAGAAGGTACGCAGAAGTCTAGGCTAGTGAGTCTCTGTGATGAGTCTCCCTGAAAATGTGTTTCGAGATCACCCAAAATGTCCAGGATTCGGCTTTTGCGTTCTACGTCGGCATTCATTATGTTTACTGTGGCGAGCAGGACGAGTGAGGGCCGCGAGGGAACGGCGCAGGCCGGTGGAGTGATTACAGATGAGCGACAACTGTGAAACGCACCGGTCTTGTATCGCTCACAGAGGAGTGGCCGGACATTCATAAAGACAACGTAAAATAAATCCATATGAATCAAGCAATTTAATTCCCGGCCGGACGTGTCCGGGAAAAAGAGGATGAATGGTAACCCCTACCTACTTCTTTCTCCACAGAACAAGAGCCTGCTAGCTTAGCTTCCAAAAAAAAAAAAAAAAAGATGGTTGACACTATGTGTACATTCTGTAAATGAGATCCCATCCACTATGGGCGGGTTGAAAACATGCGGGATGGCTCCTACTACTGGCTGTAGTCTTTAGCCTCTGGCAAAAAAATCCTTCGATGATGCAAAATGCTGATTTTTCCGTCATCAGAGGATTTTTTTCAGACAAAAAATACATAAATCTCTCATCTCAGGGGGATATGAGGGTGGAAATCATGGTAATTTGAAAATACTACAGGTTTCCTACTAATACAAAGCTTAGTGCTAAATCCTGAAGTATCCTTTTAATTGTGCTAAAAATCACACTACCATGGTGGATTATTGCTTTTTCTAAATGGAATGGTAGGAACAGTTACAATATAAAAGATGCCCATTTACAATAAACAGTTAAATTGATTAATTATAATAAGAAAACCCAAACAAACAAGCAGTTCTTCTGCCAAGTAATCTAGTTCATTAGCCTGATGGAGGTTTATGGTTGCCAAGCAGCATAAAAAACGCAAAGATGTTTTGGCTGTGTTGCAGCCAACATTTAAGTGCACTTGGCTCTTAAATATGGAATTCAGCTGATGTTTGGGCACACATGAGAACCCGAAGCGTGTGTGTGTGTGTGTGCGCGCTGTACTTATACAACTATCTTTGTGAGGACCAGTTTGAGTTTTAGACCATTTTTGCCGGTCCTCACTTTCCGAGACCCCTTTAAAGGCCTGTTTGAGGGTCAACACTTGGTTTTAGGCGTAAGATTATAATTAAGTTCATGGTAAAGGTTCGGGTTAGGCACTTAATTGTGATAGGTAAGGTTAGGGTAAACGGCTAGAGATTGCATTGTGTCAATTAATGTCCGCACAAAGATAGATGTTCAATATTTTGTGTGTGTGTAGGCCTACCGGCAATTTTACAACCGATTTTTACAGCAAGATCTATCAATTCTTTTAAATAATGGATTTGGTTTGAAAGAGCCATGTTGTTAAATGGCAAATGACAGTTTGAATCAGTAATTTTTAGATCAGATAGTCAGTGCTAATATTTATAAATTGCTTTTACAAAACCACCTCCATTTTCTGAAGCCTTGATAAATGACAGCTCAAATGGAAGGTGCTACTTTGAAAACAGTTTTTTTTGACAGCTCTTCAGTCAATTTCTACGCTTGAGAAACTCGCCCTGGAGGATTTTTAAATGCTGCTTGTGAATAAATGACTTTAATGGGTCATTGAGACTTGGCAACTGTTCTGCATATTAATACACTGGTTTTATGGTTTGAAATTTTACCACGATTTATGTTTCTTTCCCTCCAGGCTCGTTTCCTCCTCTCCAAAGTGAATCCTTCTCAGACTCACAACAACATGTATGCATGGGGTCAGGTGAGTGCTGTATATCTTACCGACACAAGAACATTTCCTTTGTGAGGAATATTGATTAGTCTACTGTAACGAGCTGTTGTTATACAACTATGTAAACGTCTTTTTTTAATAATATTAACCGCCGCTGCTTGAATCCCACTTCCTGTGTTTGTGTAGGAGTCTGGCGCACCCATTCTGACAGACGACGTGAGTCTTCAGGTGTTTATGGATCATCTGAAAAAGCTGGCAGTTTCCAGCGCTGCCTAAGAGCCTTCAATCGTCAATCTTTTTGTCAGTAACACACAGCCAGCAGGATTACATTGGCACTGCTCTCAGTTTATTTCCCATCTTCCAAATATGGAGCCCAGACCTTTAAAAAGTCATTCGTGAATGGAAGTTTCATTCTTTAATATTTAATTGTGACAAAAAATGGCAAACACCGCATCCTCATAACACTACATGTTGAGTATGAAACAGAAACAAATATCTTGTCCTGATGTAATCAGAATGAATTTATCTACTTAAGTGAGTGAAGTGGCTACACAGTTTTAATTCACTCATTCTTTACTCAATCTCATGCCATTCCAAACCCATATTTTTTTGTCATGGGACTTTTTTTGAAGCCATATGATAACTTTCTAGTTGTCTAGTCAGCATTTCCCTTAAATTCACAGTCTAGTATTTTCCTCCAAAATTAAAAAAAAAATGGTATGTTGCTTACTATACAAACAAAAAACAATGCCGTTTTTGGTTGATGGCTTTTTTTGCACCATTTTTGCAAACTAGACATGAAATATCTGTTTGGTCTATCGTACGGCTTCAGAAAACCTGGAATGAGTCATATCGATTATTTGATTGTTTTTCTTGTGGCAGAAATGACAGCGATACTTTAAATGGAGAGAAAAAATAACAACAGCATACGGGTTTGGAACAACATGAGGGTGAGTAAATAATGATGGGATGTACATTTTTTGACTGAACTCTGATGTTTACATGTGTGAAGCTCTGTGATGAGACCTTTTGTTGAACGGAGGGAGTGAATCTAGCTCTTTTTAGCACACCTGCTTCAGATACTTTTGTTTTCCTAGTCATGGAAGGTAAAAGCTGTGCCAATGTAGCCAATTAAACATGAGAGCTCGAACGCCGCCTCTAGCCAGCAGCGCACAACAATGGCTTATTTTTAGAACCTGTGCGCGTCTCTCGTCTCGTTGCTATTGATGGTTTGTGTTTCACCACAAGGTTGAGTGGCCCGTTCCAAACACAGACTTGCGGAATTTATAAGCTGCCTTTCTGTCTGTCGCTCTGATATTTATGAGCCAATTCTAGCAGTATTGTATGTTTTGTTTCTAATAAAACCAGCTTCATGATCCCAGCTGGTCTGCATTGTTCAAATTTTGAATTTTGGAAACTGAAAACTATTCTTTCTTTGTCACGCTTGCCTTTCAATCAGCATCCTGTGAGTCTCAAAAGACATGGAAGCCTATGTGTGTGTGTGTGTGTGTGTGTCTCTATTTTCAATGAAAGAATAGTTGAAAACACTGTCATCATTTTCTCAGCCTCATGTCAATCCAAGCTGCATGACTTGCATCTGTGGAACGCTGAGGTTTTGTCATCCCCGAGTTTGTTTTTTCCATATAGGCTTTGATCGACATGAGGGTGAAATATTCCTTTAACAGAGCGCAACTATTGCATGTTCCCCAAGAGTTTGGCTTAGTGTGCACAATTATTAATTGCATTACACCATCATGAAATACGATAGCACGGTCTACATCCAACACAAAGACTCAGATATTTGCTTTAAAGAAAAATGACTAGCCCATTGACAGCATTTGTGTGGTTGTTTTCACTGATGACCACATGGGAGCAGCAATTAACTAAGAGAGCATTGGTTCAACTGCAATTATTGTTCTTTTAAATGCTTTATGTAAATGATTAATCTCTCACAGCAGTCCATCCAGATTTTTATGGAGAGACAATTACCGATTCATGCCTTCTGTGTTCATTATTTCAGAACTCATCGTGTTATTCCCAGTTAAGGTTTCTCATCAGTCTTCCTATGCATACTTTATTTTCATGCTTATTAAATTAGTAAATTCAACTGCATTAGACCGGTATGGAAAGGATATTAGTTTCACCCCCCTGAGCACAATGTAATGTCATCTATATTCTGATCCTATAATGCTTTCTGAAACTCTTTTCACGCTGATTTCAGCTTAATGGCTGTGAAAGTCTCTTAACTACAATTGTAAATTGTACTCTCCTCCTGTAGACTCCTATATTATTTTCTTAAATTTAGTAATATTTACCTCTCTGCCAATTAATTCCAAAGTTGCATAACAAATGCTAAAGGAATGTGTCCGAAGAACATGCTTTACATGATGATTCGGAGACGAGAGTAGTTGGATATCGTGACTTTGTGGTCTCTTATTGCAATTGTACATAGAAATCAATGTGTATTTGAGAGCTCTCTGTCTCTCCATGAAAAATAGAGATTTTGTAGCAATAAAAACCCAAATCATGGCTGGTGTCCTGATGCATTTTACAAGCACTGTGGTGCAGAATGCAAGCAGGTTGGCACACAAAGCATATTGCCACAGACAATATTCCCAAACTATTGCTGTTATTCCATGACCGTCTCATTGATTTGACCGACTTGATCTTAGAAAACAATCTTTTACTTATAAAATATGAAATCTCACGCTTGTTAACACAAATTAAGACATATCTCTACCAAAACCACATCTGGAGTGTTGTTAAACCTGCCGTCTTGTAACATCCTCCAGAGAGGTTGAGAATTATCTTAACTCCTGCCAGAAATGCTCCATTAATTATTGACAAGGATCTGCTGCATTTTGGTACAAAATATGCACTTTAATTATTCAGTAAATTTGATAAAATCTCAATTGCTCACTGGAAGAAATTCAGTGTTACAGATTTTGGGTCAATGTGTTTCACTTTTCCATTTCATTAGGCATGATAGATCCAGCTAATTAACCCACACATACTGGCCTCTCACAGATGGATGAACATTTACTCATTACACAAAAATGAAGGCGAAACGATCTAAATATCTGTAGACTGAGAATGTTTGATAAATTAACAAACTTAAGGCAGCCTCATATTTGAATGAACATATAACGTCATATTAACCACAAGCAGGTTTGAGATGCCTGCCTACATAAATGATCGCAGATTGTGATTATTATTATTATTATTTTTTGCAGATATTATCTGTCTAGGTAATATTATCAGGTCTTTCAAATAACCTTTGAAGAAGCTAATATTTTGTCCTTGTATTCAGGACAACTGTCTTTTAAGCTGGTTGCTTTAGAGTCTAGATTGAATAGGCTGTACACGAGGATGAGCATATAGTTTATCTGTGATTCTATTAGTACAGCAATTTCACAAAATAGTGTGACAGATAGTATCTGACTGCATCAGAAGTGCTGAAAACACTACTGCCATGGATAAAGGGCTTTTATGGGGTTATTTGAAAAATTTACAAATGTTTACAAAAGGGAAATAATTTTGGTAGATGTGATTGCCAGAACATTGCTGTAAAAATATGGTAGATTAAACTTGTTACAGTCAAACAAAAACAACAACCTGTATTTCGTTAACTAAAGTAGTGTTTATATTGAAACAACCTTAAAAAGTGTTAAAAAGAAAGCTACATATTAATTTAAAGTTCATCTACACCCATACATCTACAGTATTTATCCATCCATTCACCCACTCATCCATCCATCCATAGACGCACTTATCCATTCATCCACTCACTCGTCCATCCATCCAGCCACTCATCAAGCCATTGAACCACTCATCCATCCATCCATCCACTTATCCACCCTTAGACCCACTCATCCATCCATCCATCCATCCATAGGCCTACCCACCCATTCCGCTCATCGTCCATCCATAGACCCACTCATCCATCCATCCATAGACCCACTCATCCATCAATAGACCCACTCATCCATCCACCCATCCATCCATAGACTCACTCATCCATCCATGGACCCACTTATCCATCCATCCACTCACCCATCCACTCATTCATCCATAGACCAACTAATCCATCCACTCACCCATCCATCAATAGACCCACTAATCCACTCATCCATCCATCCACTCATCCATAGACGCACTCAACAATCCATCCACTCATCCATCCATCCATAGACTCACTCATCAATCCATCCACTCATCCATCCATCTACTCATCCATCCATCTACTCATCTATCCCACTAATCCACTCAGTTTGGAGTTTGTTCATATCACTAAACCTACAGGTAAGCACTACTATTAAATTTACCACAAATGCCTCAGAGGTTACTTTTCTCTAAAAACTCAAACAAATTCAGCTCCTTGCATTTTAGAGCAGCAATCAAATCTGCTAATTGTGCTTTCAAAGAAAACAAGCCTGCAGCATGTTAACTTTGAACTCTCCCTTGTGTTATTCAAAGGTTTTAAATTATAGCTATTTCATGTAATAAAAAAAGACCATATTGTATGGCAATAAATTGCGGTCAATGTTTCCATGGCAACCATGCATCTCCGATTACTTTTTCGCCATATAATTCTGAGGGAATTTAATCCAGAATTGACTTCCAAGACTTTACTTTTACGCTGCTTTAATATTCGTCTGTGATAACTGGCTGACACTAAAGCCTGGTTCACACGGCAGGACAATTAGGCGATTTTAGCCCAGATTTTAGCCCAGTCATGTTGTCTGCACTTCTTTGACCATCGCCTTTTCTTTTGATAACATTTTTTTTTTTCTGCTTAAAAACAAACTACAATGATTGTTTACTCTGGAAGTACGTTTGACCTTGAGAGTTTTCGCGGGATTTTCTGACCTGGCAATGCTCGGGAGTCAAATCGGTTCGTGTGTGATGTGTTGATTTTAACTAGTGGCAGCGCACCACACACTACGACCAAAACTGTTAGACCTGTGATTTTTTTTTTTTTTTTTTTTTTTATCGCCGTGTGTGGGGTCTCTCAGGTTTGGAAAATCGGCCGACAATTTTAAAATCGTTCTGTTTGAATCAGGCTTAAGGGTCTGTTCACAAAACACCATTTTCAACTAGAACGGAAACCATTTGTCTGCGTTTTGGCAGCTCATTTACATGACGACAGCGTTTTGGGGGCCTGAAAATGCAAACTTTTGAAAACTAGTTTTCAAAGTGAAAGTTTTTGAAAATGATACCTCTATCGTCTAAAAATAATGATGTCATGCGCATGCGTGTTCAGTCTGTAGGCGCCTAGTGTTTCTTTAAAAAGTGACATCGCCAACTACTGACCTGGCAGCAGAATACAGCGTTTTTTAAAGGGGTGGTTGATTGCGATTTCATTTTAAATAGTGTGTAATGTTGCTGTTGGTGCATGAACAGTATCTGCAAAGTTGCAGCGCTGAAAGTTCAATGTAAGCTGAGATTTCGTCTTTTAAAAATCAGGAAGTTTAATGCCTACAAAAATGACTCGAATGGGACTACAACAGCTTTTAGACGTCACTAATCCACACATTTACATCATCCCTCCCTCCGGAATATGCAAAAAAGGGCATGGCCATATTTCTGCAGCTCATCGAAAGTGTGTTATTTTCAGCCAGCTGTCCGGTCTTCTGTGTTCAGGCTTCCCTTGAACTTTGTAGTTCGTCAACAATGGATACAATTTATGTTTGATTGTGTTCCTGAAAATAACATAGCTCTCTGTGCTGCACATTTTACGAAAAACAGCTTCCAGAATCTCCACAAATTCAATGCCGGATTCAACAAGAAACTTTTTCAACATGAAGCAGTTCCAACTTTAAAACCAGAGGCAGCAGTAAGTAGGCTAAGACTTAATCATTTTAAATGTATTTGCATGTATAATTTCAGACGTAGCCTTGTGTTTTTGTTTTATCAAATGCCAGCGCTGGCTTTATAGCCACTAGTTATGCTATTTCGTGTCTACTACAAATGCGTACAAACATTTTGGACCTGAATTTTGTATATGTACTAATGTTGTAAATGTATTCTTCAAGTATATATACTTTATGACGTTATTTCTCGATTTGATAAAGAACATAAACCAATGCCAACGCTGTTTGTGTATAGCAGCCAGTCAGTTTGATGCTATTGTGTAAAACAAACATGTATAAAATTAAAAAAAATATAGGCAAATTACCATTCGGAAACGTTTAGTAAGAGGTTCTGCTTGACTCTCTTCATCGCTGCTTTCTGGGTCTGATTCTGGCTCACACTGATACTGCAGTATCGACACCATTATTTACATCTGACATGAACAACACATGCAACTTCGCTCAAAGGTAATGGGTGTGAATTTTCCGGACAACGTGCACTACTCAGTTTAGCCAATCAAAACACACC